GGTAGTGGGAACGTTTATTGGAGCTACTTCAATGCTCATTATATACTATGTTAGAAGTTATGCGAGACGTCAAAGAAGACGGGATGAATACTTGGAAGTGAGTATGATATATATCAAGGAAAGGTTTTATTTTCTGATATACTTTATACTCTCAGGTACCAACTGCGGAAGTGAGGACATCTACACCTGAGGTCATTGAGCTTCAAGGAGTCATAAGTGAAGTGTCCAACCCCAGCATTGGTCGCAATGATCGGGACAATTTGGGTCTTGAAAGTATTGATCTCTGCGCATTATCACCAGCTACAGTTTGCGATGAAAATGTCACGCAATTTGGATCCGCAACATCAGTTATGTCAAGCAATGGAATAGTTGTTCAAAATAAAGTAAAAATAACAAGGGATTGCGCCAAAGTTTTTAAGATGTTTCAGAGTGTAACCCAGAAACTGATTTCCCTCTGTATTCTTTTCTTCTCCTTTATTTGGGTTGAAATCTCTTCTAAAAGGTTTTTGGTTCCTTCCAGCTGTTCCCTCTTGTTTTGGATCCCCTCCCTTGCATCAGCCCGCATTAATGCGTGATGCCCGTTTATGTTTTTTTCCTCAATAGAATTGGCTATTTGTCGACAGTGACATACAACCCTCCTCTTTCTGAAGAACTTGCCAATTTAGGAAGAACCCTCTTGTCAAAGGCACAAGTGTATTTATTAAATGTATTTTGTATTCATATATATACCCAGATGTATATATATTCATTAGTGTTCAAGGAACCCGCAGTTCCTCAATCTAGGGGAATATCTTGCCCATATACTGTGCATTGCCAGAAGGTATATATATATCTTCTTTGCTGCATATTTTTTCTCAGAATTAATCTAGAGTTGTTCACAGTTATTTCTCAGAGAGACTTGCATAATGATTTAGCAAGACTCTCTTTGCATCTCCATATCTTTATATATTTTGTGTGATTGTAAAACTGAATATTCGTGACTTGAAAATATATTGAAGATATAATTTATTTCAAACTCATAATTTTTATTTACCTCGGTCTACAAACAACAAATTGGCGCAGTTGGTAGTCTTTTACTTTTGTTGATTTGACTTGACCTTTTAAATTTTCTTTTTGTGTTGGGTGAGTTTCCCTCTACTCTACAATAGTATACAAGTGCAAATTTAAAAGTTAGTTTATGAACAGATATTGTACAAAAAGTGTGTATTTTTGACCAAGTGAATCAATTGAATTGCATCCCCGAGAGCAAGTGCGCCACAACGTCTCCTCTCCACGTATATCATGCAAACAAGCTAGATCAGATCCAACCAAGGATCTCCACCAAAAATCCATGGCAAAAACCCCTCCAGAAAAACGCAAGTATCACCAGCAAGTGATACACAAATTGTGAGTTAATCGTATCCAAAAGATCCTTGCGTACCCCAACCCAAGATAGATCCCCCAACACCTTCCTGTGTCCACCTATCTAATTGGTAGAGGTCGCTGAATTAAAAGCCAAAATTAACAGCAACTTGAGTGCTCAAGCTAGGATATTTTATCTAAGTAAGTGAAACTCAAGAAAAAAGAAATCAGCAGGACCTGAATTTACCCAGCCCAAGAGGACCTCATCCATTAAGGTCTGGAAGTGCATCTCCTTCAGGTTTATAAGTTGGAAGAAACTTTGACCTCTAGGTCAAGATCCGGAGGGTTGTGTGCCAAGGATAACCCCTGAAAAAGTGCTAGAATCCATCAAATTTCTGATTCTGCACACAGGAAGGGTGAACAGAAACCCAGAAGTGTATTGAAATTATTGTACTCAATTTTTTGAAGACAAAGAAATATATCCTCTTTATACTGAGAAACAAAAGAACTTGGTTATTGGAAAATTGTGATTGATTTTGAGAGAAAGCCAGGAAAAGGCTAGAAATTTTGAACAGCCCTGAGAGACGTCTCAGAGAGCTTAGGAAAAGACTATAGCAATGGGTGGAGTGATTTAAAAATCTCCGCATCTCTAGGAAAGATTTCTTAGGAGAACAAAAAAACTTGAGTGAAGAGGGAAAAAGAGATATTGAATTTTTTAATCTTGTTTTTGCAAATATTTTGAAAGAGAAAAGGACCCAAATCCCATTTGAAATCAGTCACTAAAAATGACTGACGCAAATGATGAATTTAGTGAGTTTGCTTGCCTGCCAGTTAACCAACAGGTGCAGAAGGCTGAATGGAAAATCAATCAATATAGCCAACAGCTGGAAGCTGTACAAAATGAGCTTGCTTCACCAGAAACAACGCAAGCTAGAAAAATTACTCCAACCAATCTACAAAAAGCTCATGAGAAATCCAAACAATTTTGGACAGAAATATTCAAGGACCTCAAACCGAGTGTCCAAGCAATGCAAGAATCAGCAGCCTTAGTGGAAGGCGTATAAACAAGAATATTGGCTCAGCTAAACAACAACAAAGCTGAAAATAAGAGAAGAGAACTCAACGAAATGATAGGCATCAAAGAAGCCTACCTCAAAAACAACTTATCCATTGACCAACTACAAAGACTAAGCGCTGCAGAAGCACTCTTTTTCCAGATGAAAACAAGAAGAGAAGAAGGACAAAGTGCAAATTTACAAGCCACCAATACCATATTGAACAACATTCCTCCATTCTTTGGAGACAAAAAACAGAGCTGGTTTGAATGGTGGACCATCTTCAAACTAGCATTGGCTGATTGTAATTTATCTGATAGTAATTTAAAAACCTTCCTACTTCAAAAAAGCCAAGGACCCGCCAAAGTTCATCTTTTGGGCATATCTGGAATTTTTGAAAAGGACTACAGATATGTTTCACAAGAATTGCAATATACCTACCAAAAAGCAGCTATCAGCAATGGAACAAAAGAACTGAAATGTATCATGCAAGGAGCAAATGAGAGAGTACAAGATTATGCATCTTGCATCAAAAGAATTGGAAACCAAATGCTTGGAGAATTACCAAGTGAGTTGAAGGTGATCAGGAGAGAAGGAGATGAGCCTGCTATTACCACCAATCCTCTTTATTGAGAAAAACTAATTGAATTGCAAGGAGTCAAGAAAATGCTGAACAACCAAATGCTAGAAGCCTTTATGCAAGGACTACAAAAATCTATTTATGCAAGATTTCCTCTGTTTCCTGCCACTCTGGAACATGCAATTGAAGTTGCTATCAATGTGGAAGAATTAATTTCAAAGCCAGAGGATCAGATGACTACAAAATGCATCATCTAAAGAAAGGGATCCAGCAAATTAATTTTTCCACCAGCAACCACAACCAAGAGAAGGAAACCCAGACTTGTTTTACCTGTGGAAAAATTGGTCATTTACAAAAAGACTGTTATCACAACACCAGAAGACATGACCAACATGAAAGAAAACATGTGGGATTCAATGATAGACCAACAGCTTATGGGAAGGATCATACCAGAGGAAGATCCCCTGCTGGAAGACCAAGAAGACCCTCTACTCCCATACAAAGAAGAAGCCAAAATAACACCAGATCTTCTTCTAAAAGCCCACATAGAAGATTCAGAAGCAAAAGTCCTCAAGGAAGAAGTTCCTACAAGAAATCAAATGAGAATTGTCCACAAGGACAATACATGCCCTATGGTTTTACACAAGAAAAGCAAATCAATCATGTTACAGAGAGAAATATTGTGTCTGTAGAAGAAGAAGAATAAGAAATAGTGTTTGCAGGAGAAGATGTGTCAGACTCGGGAAATGAGTGCTGACCGGTATTTCTAAACCAATGCCCCAGAAAAACCTGTCATCTTCCTGAATACATCCTTCACTAATTTACCAGTGAAATTTCTGGTAGATACAGGAGCCAAAGTATCTATATTATCTTCAACAATCCTCAACTCTTCCATTTATCCTGTTTCAACTTCTACAACTATATCAACCTTGGAAGGAAACAAAGTCAATATTCAAGGAGAATTGACTGCAGAAATATATCTGGCTAATCCAGTTCCTCTCAACTTTATCATCATTGACCTACAACAACCTGGATTGTGAAGGGATCATTGGAAGTGATGCTTTACAAAAATTACATGCTATCATTGACTGTAAGAAATTGCAAAGGGGGATCTATAAAAGCAATTTGAAATTCAAGATCTAAATTAAAAAGCATCTTTCTTGAGTAAAATTTCCTGGTGCTATTCTTTCTTTGAACGTTTGCCCACTTGGAGCTGAATAGCTCCTCTGTGGAATAATGGTTCAAAAACGCATTCTTGTTTCCTGCTTTGTCCAAGCTTTCTTAAGTTTTGACTTAGTTCCAACTTGGCCAGAGGGTTAATCTAGTGGCCAGGAGTTGTTTCTGCTTGCTCTAGCTTATTTAATTTATTTGTAGGTTTCACTTCTGTAGTCTGGACAGTTAGCATCTTTCAAAGGTGGTCAAAAGTGAAAACTATAGAAAGTCACCATGATTTTACCAAAATTCCAGAATTAATAGTGGGATCATAATGCAACCTTCACCTAAGCTAGGAGGGTGGTGTGTGTTTGTGAAGTGATTTACCCAGTTGTTTTTATCCTTTTATTTTGATCAGTGTTCTGATGCTTCTGTGTTCTGCTTTTCTAGAACCAGAAGCTCAAAGCTTTCTTACACATTTTTGTCTTATTAACAACATCGAGTTATCACTATTTTGTGTTGGTTCAATCTTGTGATGGTATACCTACTTGGAGCTGGTCAATTTGTCCACCAACCAAGTCAGAGTCAAAGTTGTTGCAGATTGCTGTTGGCCAAGGTTCTTAAAACAGGTCATTCATTGCACCCTTCCTCTGTGCAACTGTTGCACCCATCTGGGAGTGTAGGGCTCCGGACAAAACCGGGTCAAAGCCCCAACCAGTGTTTGGAAGAAAGTATATAATTCTTTCATGGTCCTTCGGAACCGGATTGGGTTCAACAGTCAGCAGGTGAACCTGTTGGTGACAAACTGGTGTTGTGAAAGAGAACGCAGTGTTGCGTCCTGTCGAAAAAGAGAAAGTAAGCGTCCCGTCCCGTCAGAGAACATAAAGGATGTCGCAGACTGACCACGTCAAGTCGGACGTGGCGTCGGAAGGTGAAAGCCTCAGGAAAACTGACCAGGCTGCAAAAAAGAATGTTGGAGGACAGTCCCGGAAACAACAGTGCCGTCTGGAAACAATCATCGGGAAATGCAAGGACCTGCAAGAAACGATTCAGGCTTTTTTGCAAGGTGAGTTGCATAGTGATCCCAGTAAAAGCTTAAAGTTCATATTAAGGATTAATTCCTGGGTAGAGCATGGGGACATTAAGATAGTAGAGATTGAAAATACCAAAGATGTTGACCATCCGGACTTTAAGTTATTAGAAGCATGGAAAAAGCTTAAAGAAGAACTTCTGAAAAATAAAGTCATCCTTAGTACCAAAACTGTTCAGACTAGTCCAGAAGGGAAAGTGCAGCAGGCTGAAGTGGCTAATGTTGGTAAAACTGGCCATATTGAGGTAGAAAATAGTAATGTAGAACCTATGTGCTTTTTTATGGAAACGCCAAATAGTATTGTTGGGTTAGGCACTAACAAAGCACCAGGTTCAGATGTAGGGTCCTCAGTATTGTCAGGTGGTCATGCTAGAGTATGTCCCATAATGGAAGCTATGTTAGAACTATTAATTAGGAAAATGGATGATTTTGTTAAAAGACCCCATGATGCTGTGTTAAAAAGGCAACTCCTGAGGGTTGTTGGGGATGCAGAAGTTCAGTTTGATAATAGCTACTGGAATTGCTCTGTTGACAATGATGAAGAACTTAAAGACCTAGCCTTGTTTGCTGGTCAAGGCCAAGATCAGATTGATGTTGCTAGAGCAGCCCTGGAACAGGTAGAAGGTTTTAATTTAAAGAACTGTTTCCAGAGGCCTGCAGAATTTGGTTTACCTTTGCGTGACCCTGTGGGAGCAATAGAGGGATCTAAGGGATCCCTTCCTGATTTTGGGGATGAAGAAAGGTCAGAAGACTCATTTCATCAATGCTTCCCTGGGGAAGGGAAAAAGGAAATGTATCATATAGGGGGATCTCAACTTGAAAGACTGGCCATGCTTGTTGGAAAAATGGCAGTCTCAATAGAGAAAACCAACAAAACTGTTCTTGAAACTATTAAGAATAAAGATACAGGGGAGAATTGGTATGATCCGATAATGGAACGTAAGAAATTCAATGGTAAAATATTGGAATACTTGGAGTGGAAAGATTACTTTATTAATAATATCTTAGATCACCCCAAGCTATCTAACATTAATCAATTCACGCGATTAAAGTCTTCCTTATCTGGAGAAGCACTCAGTGCTCTCAATTGCTTGCGGAGCAGTGAGAGGGCAGTGTATGAAGCTTCAAAAATCTTAGATAAGCAATATGATTGTCGAGCAATCAGGAATTCTGAGCTGATAACCAGGGTAAATTCTTTCAAGGTTTTGAGGGAAATGAATTCAAAAGACTGGGATGAGTTTTCTGCGCTGATGGGTAACATCTATAATATGTATGGACAAGCTAAAGATGATGGTGCTTTTGGCATCATGGTTGACCTTCTGGTGACCAAGTTGCCAGAAGATGTTTGTCTAGTTTGGATAGACAAAACTATGGATATAGATGATGAACTCACCAGTAAAGAAAAAATGAAAATGCTTTTAGATTTTGTTGCCCGAATAACTCATAAATTGCGCTTATCTGGATTTAAATTGCGCGATGAGATTAAGACCAAAGATGAATTATGAAAGAAAGTACAACCTGCTTCAGAAAATAAATTTGCATCATGTGAGGAGCAGAATGTAGTTCAAACTGTGTCTGAAAGTCCTCGTAAGAACGGAAGCCCTTGTAGGGAAATCATTGGTCCTTTGTGCAAACAAGGGCACTAATTATAGAAATGCGGCATTTTTGAAAAATTAAAGGTAGAAGATTGAATGTGTAAAGCCCAAGAACTGCATGTATGTTTTCAATGTCTGGGATCCCATCGTAGAGGATCCTGTCTTAAACGGCAGAGGTGTCCTGAGGAAGGGTGTGTCTACTGGCATCATCCACTTCTCCATGGAGCCCCTTATGTCAGAAAGACAATTGCAGTTCCTGAACAAAAAATGTCCGTAATTGAGATGAATTATGCCTCTTCAGTTGATGGTGTTGGCAGCTCAATGGTAGCCCCTTATATGGCTGCTGTTGATCGGCTGAACAGTCTGTTTGATACCAAATACACTTTCCAATTAATTGCGCTGGATGTAAGAGGACCCAAAGGGGAAAAACAAGTTACTGCTTTATTAGACACAGGGTGTGGGAGGACTACAATTAAAGAAGAGATAGCTCTAGAATTAGGTTTGGAATTTGAAAAGGTTGGAGCTGTATGTCTTCAAACAGCACATGGGATTAAAAGACAAGTAATGCAACAAGTGCCTTTTGATCTTAAGGGAGCTGGTGAGAAATACTGGTTCCAGGTTTGGGGAGCTGCATCAGTTAAAGAACTCGAGACCCCTGCTGTAACTTTTGATTGGGCCACTTGGGTTATTAAGAATCCTGAATTTTCAGAGGTCAAATTGGTGGGTAAAATAAGTGGAAATGCCCAGGTAATTATTAGCACGGACTTGGAAGAATTAATGATGGCCATCCCTGGAACAGTAAAAAGGGAAAATCAGGTGCTGGCCTACTATATACGCCACTCAGGTGGACTGTAGCAGGCTGCATTGATTCTGAAACAGGTTTAGATAGAATTGAGCCTTACAACTCTTTGTGGGAGGTTGAAAAACAACTCTTGAGAGAATTTAAAAGGTTTAATTCCATAGAGGATGTTGGTGTTAAGACTAGACCTGATGGCCTTGCATATGATGAGGCTAAAGAGTTACTTGAAATGGAGAAAAGCATCAAAGTATTGAATGGTAGATTTAGATTGCCAATGCTTTGGAAGACTAAAGTTAATTTACCAGAGTCCATTTGCCAAGCTGAGTGTAGAGCATCAACAGCCGCAATACGGTTGAAGAAAAATCCTCTATCACTTGAAGCTGTGCAGAAGGGTTTTGATGGGGGCATTATTAAAAGTTATATCAGCAAAATATTGTTTGCAGAAAGAGATGAGATGTTGGCTGGGGATCACTGGGTGCTACCTTGGATGATAGTAACCCACCCCGATAAGCCAGAAAAACCTAGGAGGGTTCTCCATGCAGCCGCCATTAATGGAGGTGAATCTTTGAACTCAAACTTAAGGAAGGGTCCTCAGACTCTGCCAACAGTCGCAGGTTTACTTATGAGGTTCAGAACAAAGAAAATAGTGGTAAACGCTGACGTGATTCAGATGTTCCCTCAAAATGAGGTGAATTTAGAAGATTGGTCTGAGTTAATGTTTATGTTTAGAGACCCAGAAAAGGGGGACAGGTGGTTTGTTAGTAATTGTCACATTTTTGGCGCCACCTGCTCACCTGCTGTTGCCAACTTTTGTATTAGGCACATTGGCAAACTCAAGGGTAAGGATGATCCAAAATGCAGACAGATCACAGATAGATGTAGGTATGTTGATGATGTTTTTCTTGGTTTTGATAATGTTGAGGAAGCTAAACCTATGGTTGGAAAAGTAGACATAGCATTGGCAAAATATGGTTTTATCCTCAGCAAATGGAAGTGTAATGTTAGTGGTGTTCTGGATGATATTCCCTTAGAGAGACAGGCCGAAGAGGTTACCAAAATTAGTGGGGAAGAATCAATGGGTACTCAGGGCAAAAAGCTTTCTAAGGCTTTTGGATTATTATGGAGCCCAAGTAATGATAATTTTGGGTTTTTGAGTAGAAAGGCCATAAATGAAGATAGGTCAATTAATCAGGAAGGTGCAGGATTAACGGTAGCGCAATTCTTGTCAATTTTGGCATCATTGTTTGATCCAATTCGTTTTTTTGGGGCCTTTTACTTTTTTAGGTAAACTTTTGATGCAAAAAGTATGGATTCCATGCAGAAATTGGAAAATAGAAATGGATCAAGATTTGCAAATTGAATGTGAAAGATGGATGAAGGGTATTTTGGCCATGAAAACCTGGGAGGTTCCAAGATGGCTAGAATTGGACACATCTTTGCCATTGGAATTGCACATCTTTTCAGATGCTTCCAAAAAGGGTTATGGGACAGTAGCCTATCTTAGGCAAGGAAGGGAAGCTTGGTTCAATTTTGCTAAATCAAGAGTTGATCCAACTCAACTGATATCTATTCCAAGACTGGAGTTGCAGGGGAACTTGATTGGGAAAGGTATGCTAGAAATGATTATTAAAGAGCATGGGGATCTGCAGTTTTCGAAGGTATTCTTATGGACAGACTCTATGGTTGTTTTGGGATGGTTGAATAATCCAGCTTCTAAATACGTTACCTTCGTAGCAAATAGAGTTGGAGAGATCCAGGAGTTTTTAGAGAGAGCCAATCTAGATAAGCTAAGGATTGAGGTTCGTCATGTTCCCACGAGATTTAATCCCGCTGATTTAAATAGTAGAGGTCTTTCTCCTGAAGAATTTGAGTTGAACAGAGAATTTTGGTTTTATGGTCCAAACTTCTTGAAAAAGGATTACAAAGAGTTGCCTACAAAACCATGTAACATAGAAATTCAAATTGAATTAAAGGGACCCAGTGATGAAACAAATTTTGTAATTTTCGAGGAAGAAGATCCTTACAAGAATCTCAATAGATTCTCTGAAGTATTCTCTGAAGGGGATGCAAAGGATTTGGGAATCATTCAAGCAAAGGAGTTAGAATTAATTAAAGCTGCTCAGAATTTGCATTTTCAGAGAGAAATTAAAATTGCAAAGTCTAACGGGGGGAGAGCTTCAATATCCAGAGGACCTCTTGCTCAATGGATTATTTGGTTGGATAATGATGGAATATTAAGAAATAAAGGGAGGTTAGAGTATGCAGAGGGTTTATCTGAAGAGGAAAAGTTCCCTATCATTTTACCCAAAGCTTCTCCTTTAACTCATTCCTTATCAGAGATGCCCATTATTCAAATGCCCATGCAGGAGCTAAGATTGTTCATTCAATTTTAAGAAAAAGGTTTTTAATCAATAGTATGGCTCGGGCAATTCAAAAAGAATTATTTAGGTGCAAAATATGTTGTGAACTCAATCCAATTGTTGTTGGCACGGTGAAAGCTCCAATCCACATTAATCCATTGGCTGAAGGGCATGCCCCTTTTAGTCAATGCAGGATGGATTATTTTGGGCCCTATGAAGGTAAAGGGGGTACAAAATCTTGGGGAATGTTATTTATGTGTCTAACAAGGGCTGTTCACCTTGAGGCATGTTTGGGATTAAGCACCGAAAAATTTATTATGGGTTTGTCTAGATTTATTTCCAGAAGAGGAAGACCCCAGTTCATTTATAGTGACTGCGGTCTGTCTTTCATTGGAGGGGCAAAAGAAATAGAGAAGTTTGACATAGCTGCAATAGGGGAAGCTTGTGCTAGAAATTGGAGGATTGAATTTAAAACCAATCCCCCTGGATCTCCTCATTGGGGTGGATCTTGCGAAAGGTTAATTTGAGAAGTTAAAAAGCATTTGCATAAATGTTTGGATAGTGGGAATAATTGGGGTTATGAGGTGTATGATACATACTTAAAAAAAGTAGAGTCTATCTTGAACAAAAGGCCTTTGGCAATGGATGAAAGTAACGTAATTCTAATGCCCAAAATGATTCTAATGCCCTCTAATGCTTGCACAAAACCATTGGAGTTGGAAGGGTCAAATTTAATTTTGTTAAAGAAAATTTTAGAAAAGGAAAAGATGTTTTGTAGGATATGGAGATCCTCTTATATGACAGCATTGAATTCTGAAGGTAGGACTTGAAAAGGACATCTGACCCAACTTAAAGTGGGATATGTAGTCTTGGTAGATGACAGAAAGGAAAATTTGTTTAACAATAATTGGAAGGTTGGGAAAATAACTGATGTTAATTCTTCGAAAGATGGAGTGGTCAGGAGAGTAACTGTCAGGGTTGACGGTTTAGATCTTGAGAGGGGTTTGAATATGTTGTCGTACGCTTATTGATTTTGCGGCTCACAGGCTAAAACCCTGGGTATTGCCAACCTTTATGAGGATGATCTTATCAGCGTCGACGTAATTAAGTTAATTCGCTTCCTTTTTACCGGATGCGTCTCAGACCAAGTACATTAAGTACTTAGACAATCGTATTAGAAAGCAATGAAACACCGATATTCTCAGTTCAAGTGTTTATTGGACTTTTGACAAGTATGTATAACATACACTCCTATCCGGACTCTGCTTCTCTCCAGAGGGAAATATCCACTGCTGGATTTAGTATCTAGTCCGCGCTTTTATTAACTCCGTTGAAAACCAGACAGAGCAGGGTCAATGATCAGACTTTAGCCTCGACTTTAAAGGAAGTAAAGAAAGTATGCGACAGAGACGAAAGTATTCCGCAACAGCGTTTCACCATTAGATTATACAGCAATGGACCGCCGACGGCCATAGTTAATGAGCCTGAGGGGAGAGGAAACAGAGTTGCCCGCGCATGCGCGGCGGTCACGCTTTAATGAGCGTGGCAAGGGGCGAGGAAAAAGTGGAGCAATTCAGCACAGCTGATAACAATGGTAGAATTCAACTCGTTCCGAGTGGCAATAAGTGTACGGTATGTACAATTGCACATCATTCTACGGTGTATTAGAACTTATTATGCATCAGTCAACCCTCTTTTACATTTAACTCATATGAGATCCACAAAAATGTTTGACAAGGAGTTTTTAAATTAAGGAAACCAACATGTTTGCTGAAAAAAAAGAGGTACAATTTTTATGTCATGGTCCTTCAGCTACTGGATAAATGAGTTGACAGGATGCTGAACTTGAGGGTAAGGGATACTTTATTTGCCCAATCAGTCACCAACTTTCTTTTCATTAATATTCTCTTTCCTGGGTCCCCAGAAAAATAATGTAAATGCCTTCAGAAATTTGAAAATGAGGTCTATAATACAAGTGGACTCTTTCTACAACAGTCTTGTCTACAATCATTTTCTCACTGTAGCAATTATTTCCCTTGAATTTTGTTGTTGAGTCCACCTGTACATTGTTCTTGAGATTATTCCGACAGGACTGAAACCAAATTTACCAACAGGGGTTTTTTTTAAGGCAAAACTGCATTTGCATTCTGTTAGTTTTGGAGAAGACATTCTTCCCAGGACAAAATGTACTTCTGTTTTTGTTTTGTTATTATGGATGCGTATACAATCTCCTTCATGAAATTTCCCCCGAATAATTATTGAACATTTCGATTTCAGCTCAATTTGCAAAGGAAGTCAGATGGTCTCCTCCTGGACTCATATGAGTTGCCTGTAGGCATCCGAACTGTGTCATGGAACTCTGATCAGTTCTTCATCAACAATTCGCCATTTTACTTCCGTGGTTTCGGAAAACACGAAGATTATCCGGTCAGTTCTCATTCGTAACTCATTCATAAACGCAATTTTTTTTTCAAGCGCTGCACATTTCTTTCAGATTCGGGGAAAAGGTCTCGATTGGCCATATATAATCAAAGACTTCAACCTCCTTCACTGGGTCGGCGCAAACTCTTTCCGAACTTCCCATTACCCCTACTCTGAGGAAATCGTCCAAACTGCGGACAGATACGGAATCGTCATAATTGATGAAGTACCAGCTGTGGCTCTAAGATACTTCCATGCAAGCGTACTTGATGTGCACAAGCAGATGGTTGCGGAACTTATACAAAGGGACAAAAACAACCCTAGTGTGGTCATGTGGTCATTGGGCAATGAATGCAAGACTGCGATCAATGAGTCACAACCATACTTCAGGTGAATTTTTTTACATAAAAAAAATCAAACTTCGTAAGTACAGTAGAACCCCTCCCTCCCTCGATTTCTGCCAAGATTTTGACACAAATAAATCTGCTCAATCTTTACGGGATTGGGAAACCTATAAATATACCGTCATTTGCCGAAGTTTTTCTTGTCTCAAGTCGCCTTCTACCTTCATTTTCTTCCCTCAATCATCCTCGAATGTTTTCATTTTGTCCCGCTAAGGTTTTTTCACATCTTGAACACGATCTTCTCAATCCATTTTTCTTATTAACTGGCAAGGTTTTCCCCATTATCAGAACATGCTCTCATGATTTTCTTTTAGATGAAACGACTGAATACATTATTATTTTCTACCCCGAGAACATTTCATGAACTATTTTGTCTCGATTTTTTTGTGGCCACACTACATCTGGAAATTCCGCCACCTCTTAAAACCGCCAAAATACTTGGCAGAAGTTTGACTGTGATGAGGCGTTAATGATTTTTATTATTTGAAAAAAAAAAAAAAAAACAGAGAACTCGCTACTTTGACTCGAGAGATGGATCCAACACGGGCAGTGACAATCGTCACCAATCAAGATTTTGACAAGGACGTCGTCGTAAGTACTGTATTATGATTGAACTTCCTAGATTTCTTCATTTTGACTTTTTTGAGCCTTTTCTTTTTAGAAAATGCAGTACGATAGAAAGGTTTTAATCATACAAAATTTCAGGGGCAATCAATTAAATATTTTTTCCCGTCATCTCGTGGTGATTCTTCACGCTCCTCACTTTCTCATCTGGAAATTCATCAGGTTCCGGACATGGATTTAGTTTGTGTGAATCGATACTACGGATGGTACATTCAAGCAGGACATACTGAACTCATTCAATCGGGTGTCATTGACGAATACACAAAATGGAGAAGTCGATTCAAAAAACCCATAATCGTCGCCGAGTATGGAGCAGGAGCAGTAGCAGGAATGCATGCCGTAAGATGAATTCGTTACAGTTTTATTTTGACAAGATGCAAATAAAAATTGAGAAAATTATGACAATGAAAATTAATCCCATTAATGAAAACGCATTTTCGTTCACAGGGTCCAGGCGTGGCATTCACTGAGGAATATCAAATTGAGGTATTCAAAGAACACTTCAAAGCCTTCAAACATCTGCGAAATCAAGGATTCTTCGCGGGTGAAATGATATGGAATTTCGCAGATTTCATGACTCAACAAGGTACTGTACTAATACACATCCTCAGCGGTAATTTCTCATCGAATTTTTACGAAATGTTTTTTTCAATCGCCCACAGAGGTCAATCGGGTATTTGGAAACCGGAAAGGCATATTCACGAGGGATCGACAGCCAAAGAGTTCTGCATTTGTTGTACAATCCCACTATTTGCAACTAGCCTTGGAACTTGACAAGCATTTGAAGGATTCCCCGAGCGCGATTGAGCAAAGAAACTGGTGTCTTTTGGAACCCTGAAGAATTTTTGATAAGGGACGTCGTTCGTTTTTTTTTTCTCATGAATAAAATCAAATGATTCTGTAAAAAAAATCCAGTTCAAAGCATGTCAAGTATTTTCTGGCTAAACCCAATTTTCCTGATTACTGTATAGCGCTCGATAACCACATTATCACTCCATTGAAAACAGATGAAAGTTTCTGAAGGAATAATTTTTTGAATTTTAAAAAGGCAATTCAAAACGAGTGTACAAAGATGGGTTAAATTTAGCTACGTACCCTGAGACTATAGCCTGTTGTTATCAACATTAAACAGGTGGAATCTCTCTCTCTCTCTTTTCACAACGTACAAGAGCATTTCCCGCTTATAAAATTATATTTTACATGAAGTACAAAACATGAAAAATCCATTGGGGGTTTATTAGAACCCATTAAAAATCAGGTCGTCATCAATGCAAAACCAGCCCTACTACAGGAAGCATAAAACGAAAATACCTCATCAAAGCAAAATTAGCACCTCTTATTTAAGAAAACCCTAGGTATATACAGTAAACACTTTTTCCTCACCCATCGACGAAGCTGGTTACAAATATGGTTGTCGCTCATCGGATCGTCACAGATCCTTCTGGAGGCAATGCCAAATCACCATCTTCTTCCAGGCACAGTGATTCACTTTGACTTGACACTTAACAAAGAATTGTCACAAATATTCAATCTGTACAAACCGCACAGAACAGAGTCGAGTGTCTGAGAAGCAAGGTCAGCATAGAGAAATAGACAAAATACTTTTCAATGATGTGAAAAGTCTGAAAAACAAAGGATTCTCAGTCTTACTGAGTCCAGCTATCATGAAAATTAAATGGAAAAATGTTATAAATACTTTTCGTAATTTTTCCCTTTAAACTAAAAGTGAGCTCAAAAAAGAATGAATGCTGTAAAAAACCACGCAGGAACGATAGATTTTTGCTTTTCTCAGAGGCACAAACTTCACAGCGGAAATTCAGCGCTTCTTTGCTATTCAAAATAATTTGAATTTGATCCTACTAAGTACTGTAATTCAAAAATTGACTCATAAGGATAAAAAGTCACCATAGAATAAAGAACTCATATTACGCTTTTTCTGAATTATCGCGAGTATGAAAAAAAAACCCCCGCTTCAGAAAAAGAAGACAAATTATTACGGTCGAACCGCCTATTTTAATTTTCAATATCAAATCTTCGGTTTGTTACACATCATACCGACCTTAGATAACAGGCAATTTGAAAAAATACGTCCAAAGGTTGATTTCAGTACAAAAAGAATCAATACAGACAGGAGACACATGGAAGCACGCAAAAGAACCGCATTAACTAATTAATCAAGCAAGCAAGCAATCAATCTTCTCTTCTCGAACGAAGATTGTATCCACCAGCACTACTCGTGACACCGCTGACCCGACCTGCACGGACATTTTCAAGTTCAGTCTCCGCAGATCTCAGGTTTCGGTTCTTTTTCACAAGCTCCATTCGAAGTCGCTCATTCTCGTCCTGTAATGCCTTCCATTCAGCTCGGCCACCACCAGCCGAAATGCCCTGACGTTCGTTGGCAGCCTGTAAGGTGGAGATCTTGCGATAAAGCGACCGATTTTCAGCCCGAAAATTTTCAAGCTTCTGTTCCAGGTCTTTCAATCGTTCTGGCTCTTTCAATCTTTCTTCAGCATGACACTTGAGCCCAGCTAGCTCCAACGCTTTCTGCTTTCGGTCTTCATTCGCAGCTTGCAAATCGTTGTCGATACGGTCGCACTCTTCATCCAACTCTTTCACTCTGCAGAAAGACCGAAAGCATTTACGAGACGAAATTAAAAAAGCCTAAAAAATTACTGGAAATAAAATTCCCAGCAGCCCCGATTGCAAATGTTGCATAACCCGTGCTTTAAAATAAATTGCAGTTTGAATTTTGCTGGCATTTTAAGTCGGGCTTAGGATTCGGGCGACATCTGCCAAACGATCGGGGAAGCAAAGATTGAATATGCAAGCCGAAGACTCACCTTGCTTCCAGCCGCGCAATCTCAGCCTTTAGATCCACGACAGTGTTTTCCAGAGCTTTCTTATCAAGTTCAAACTCCTTTACAGTTTTTTGTAAAGCAGTTTCGGATATGGCCAATACTTTTCTGACTTCATTTGCCTTTTGCAAATCATTGTCCAACTCGTCGCATTCGGCGTCCAATTCTTTCACGCGTTGCTCTTTCTGCCTGAGCTCCACGATGAGACTTTCACGCTCCTGCTCAAATCTCTTAGCAAGTTCCGTCGCCTTCTCCGCAATTTCAATCCTGTAAAAGAAAAATTAAGATGATTAATGAACATTTCACGCAATTGCACGTGAGAATATCGAGATTTACTTTTCTTCCAAGGAACCGACAAGAAGTCGCTTTTCTTCTTTTAATGCCATGATATCTTTGACGGACGCCTTCAACACAGCAGCTTCCTTGGACATGGCTTCTTCTTTCAAACTCTCAGACTTGCGCAAATCTTCAACCAATTTGTCAATATTTTGCTGTAGTTCCATAATTTGATTTTTGAGTTCAGCAGTTTCTTGTTCTTTCAACGCAAGCATTTCTTCACGAGCTTCAAAACGCGCTTGAAGATCGGAATAAATAGCTTGTAATTGGCTCAGTTCTTCGTCCAATTCCCCTCGCGCCCTGAACGTCGACTCCACAAGATTTTTCATAATGCTGATTTCTTCGGTCTTTTCTTCAAGCTGCTGTCGCAGGTTGACTTCTTCCGAGCAGGCTGCTTCCACTTTCAGCTCAAGCGATGCCATCTGGTCTTCTCTGGAAGAAAGGAGAGCCTGAAGATCTTGGTTCCGCGTGACTTCTTCGTCCAGATTCAACTGGATTTCCTGTGCCAAACGGGTTGACTCGGCGAGACGAAGTTCCAACTGGAAGAGATCCGTCTTCAGGGCCTCGAATTTCGTTTCCGAAGCAGCCAAAGAAGTTTTGTACTGCACATTGCTGTCAGTCAATTCCTCAATTTTGTGTTGAAGTTGAATCAGAGACAGTTCAAGTCTCTTTTGTATCTCGTCGAGCTCCACACCCTGGGTTTCCAAAGAAGCGCATCGTTCTTTGAGATGAGCGTTTTTCGTCTCAAGGGCAGCGATTTCGTCGGTGGATTCTTTCTTTTGTTTTATAAGAAGTTCGGTGAGACGACTGACTTCTTCGGTTCTTGCAGCCACGGTCTGGCTCAACATGACAGCACAGGCTTCTTGATCTTCCTCCCGACGTACGAGGAGTTCCGCTTTCCGCGCCTCAGCTTCTTGGCGAAGACTTTCCAGCTCGGCAGATTTTTCCGCGAAATGTATTTGCATTTCTTTACNAACTGGAAGAGATCCGTCTTCAGGGCCTCGAATTTCGTTTCCGAAGCAGCCAAAGAAGTTTTGTACTGCACATTGCTGTCAGTCAATTCCTCAATTTTGTGTTGAAGTTGAATCAGAGACAGTTCAAGTCTCTTTTGTATCTCGTCGAGCTCCACACCCTGGGTTTCCAAAGAAGCGCATCGTTCTTTGAGATGAGCGTTTTTCGTCTCAAGGGCAGCGATTTCGTCGGTGGATTCTTTCTTTTGTTTTATAAGAAGTTCGGTGAGACGACTGACTTCTTCGGTTCTTGCAGCCACGGTCTGGCTCAACATGACAGCACAGGCTTCTTGATCTTCCTCCCGACGTACGAGGAGTTCCGCTTTCCGCGCCTCAGCTTCTTGGCGAAGACTTTCCAGCTCGGCAGATTTTTCCGCGAAATGTATTTGCATTTCTTTACAGGCCACCTCATTCTACAGGACGAGAACGACAGGGATCATATTAAATATTTTACAAAAACTCAGAAGATTTCATCGGATTCAAAGTTCTGCACGCGGCACACAGCTTAAAATAATTCAGCAAACTCCAGGCTGAAAAATTCATGACGGTCACTTGCGAAAGAGAACTAAAGTGAGAATCAAAGAAAAACGAACCTGCTCTCGCTCGGCGAGGATCTCATCCTTGAGAGTTTTGTATTGCTGTTTGATCTCAGATTCTCTCCATTCCGCAGTGGAAATTTTCGCTTCGGACTGATCCAATTTTGCTAGCAGTTTCTCAACCAGGTCACGTTCATTTTTCAGCAAATGCTCAATCTCAGCCAGTCGATTTTCAGTCTTCTCCCTGGCCTCGTTTGCTGACAACAAGTCGGTTTCCAACTGCGTTCGAATGGATTCTGCAGTAGCTAAAGATTCTCTGTAATGACTCTTATCATTGGTTAACAGCAAGCACTTTTCCTCGGCTTCTTTCAGGGATTTATTAGTGATCTCTAGGTGTTCCTGGAGCGATGCGAGTTCGGCCTGAAGGTTCTTCACGGCTGTTTGATCCATAGAATGTAATGACCTGAAAAACGCCAAAGTTCCAAGTACAGTATAGAAATAACGGCAACTTTAAAAAACGTGCTTACGAAAGTTCGTTATTTGAGGAATCTATTGCTTGCTGTAAAGCAATTATTTTCTTCTCGCTCGCTGCAAGCTTTACGGCCCATTCTTGCTCCAAGAGTTCTCGGATCTCTGTTTCGTAGCAGCTCTTAATTTTCGGTAAAAATTGCTCAATCTCAGTCTTCGTTTTCAGGGCGAGTTCTCTTCTTTCTTCTTCAAACTTGGCAACCTGTGAAGCAGAAGAAAGGATTTTAAAAATTTTTTTTCGAAATTTTTTATTCTGAAGGATTTAATGGAAAACATTTTTCAAAAAGATTAATTTGTAATTCTGAGAAAAAAATCCAACAAACCAAGGCGCTGTTTTTTGCCTCTGCAGCACCAAGGGCTTTGACTAAGTCCTCTTTTTCTTCACCCACTTGCTTGAGGTAAGAATTTGCAGATGCTTCCAACTTGGCATTTTCTTTTGAAATGATGTTCGTAAGTCGATCAAATTCGGCATCCCGTTGTTTCTGTTAGAAAAACACAAAACGACACAAATGAGACATTAAAAATCAGAGCAATACGAAAAATACCAGTAAATTTCAAGTTACGTTAATGATCACTAGAACACACCACTGATCATTCACATTTGGAAAAGTCTACTTCAAGAAGACAAAAATGCTGAATTGGTATCAAATAAATTAGATACCTCGAATGTTTTCAAACCGTGTGTATTTCTGACCAAGCGTGATCTATCTACACACGATTTGAAAACACTATATTGTAAAATATTCAACGTAAAATATAACACCTCTGACCAAGAACAAACAATTTGAAATCCGCATTTTATGTAAAAATGAAGCTCTAGATCAAAAATTGGTAAAAAGTGCTTCACTCACTGGCCTCGAAAATGTACCTCAAATATTTTCCATACACCAAGCTCCCTTTTTAATTTTTATAAAGAAAGAAAGAAAATGGACTCGAGACACACATTGAAGGCATCCTCGACATGGGCCTTGAGGGTAGCAAGCTGGCTCGCAAATCGTGCCATAACATGGTCTCCAAACCACGCGCCAGTCACGTCCTCCTGCATCCTCCACACAACCTCTGCCGACTCCGTTTCCCGCACAGTGTCGTACTCAAAAAGTTTCGTCGTCTCGTCAGGCTTCACAGTGACTTCCAGGTTTCCCCGTATGACCGCTTGCACCTCCACAGTTTTCACAGCCAGTTGGTTTCTGAGCATCTCCATCTCCTCACGAAGCTGTAAAACGTTCAAGAATATTACGTTATTTCGTTAAACTTTTTTTTTCAATTTCCAATTGAAGCAAAAAATATGTCCGATCTTTTCATCGCAACGATCAAGTTGACATTCTGAAATGTTTCACAGGTTTCCACAAAACCACTGATAAAACGATTTTTTATTGTAGCCCCACAGGGCTCTCTCCCATTTTATAGGGGTTCTCTACAACAGACATTTTTCTGATTCCTTGAATTTCGTCGTGGAGAGAGTCCACCTGTATTACTCATTTTTAAATTCTATTTTTAGTTCTGACGGCCAAAGCGCCTTCATATCATAATTACACATGCTTTTAAAATCAGAGAGGTTATCAATTAAGAACAAAAGAGGGCATTCAAACCTCAACGTCCTTCTCCAAACGACTCTGCAGTTCCAGCAGCTCGTTTTTCATAGACGCGATCACTTCCGTAAAAGCTAGATTCTCTTCTAAATCCAGCACAGATACGCCAGGAATGCCAGCGACAGCAGCGGTTTTATTAAGCGCAGAGATGGTGTCATTCAAGGCGGCAATACAGCTTCTACGACGATTAAAAGAAGCGTCCTGTTTTTTCAGCGGAGTTTCCAGCACAGATGTCTGGACACCCGCTGTATTCGACTCCACTGGTGCCAGACCCCCGTCGTTGGAAGCCAGCAAATGCACCCTCAGCGTCTGAATTTCCTTGAAATACGATTCACACCTGAGAAAAGAACACGAAATTCAAATTTAAAGCTCAATTAGAGGAGGGACAGAAAAAAAACTTAATCCTCCCGAAAAAATCCCATAGGCCGTCAGACAAAATAGTATCTGTTAAATACGATAGATAAGCGGAACATACTTGACTGATTACACATGCGAGAAAAAAGAAACGCATACTGTGCACACAAAAACGAAGGTGAAAATAATTAAAGGATCCAGACAGTAGATTCACCCTTTTTTCTAGTTGAATACGTACTTCGAGAGGGAAGAGTTGTAAAAAAAAACTGTTCAGGTCATCAAGAAGGGAAAAAAATGTTAACTCCAGTGCTTGGCCCGATTTATTTTTACTTTTTTCAGTTGCACAAATATTAGTCGTCCCCTCACCTTTCTTCAGCATCGTCCAGAGCATCTTCAAGCCCTCGTTTCTCCTCTATGGCTTTTTCCAATTGTTCACTCACAGTCCTCAACTTCCCCGCCAACTCTTCCTCCATGTTAATTCGCTCAGTTGCAGTTTTAGCCTCGAATCTTGTACTTTCCGCGATACTCAAGAAACTCACTTCTCCAGCAGCAAGTGTGTTCCCAAGCAAAAATGCACTTGCTTTGGATATGTGTAAGGGATCTTTCGATGGTTCTTCGAGAACCTGGTCAAAATTGACATCTTCCTCTTCTTCGGGTGTGAAGTATCCATCATTACCGTCTGCCTGCTGAGCAGGTTCTTTAGTTTGAGTTTCTGAAGAAAAAAAAAATCAATATTGCATATGTTTAACATCAACACACCATTGCCAATTTTCAAAGCTTGCTTACATGACTTCTTAAAAAAAATTTTCTCCGCGAACAGCAATATTTTGGCAGGTTTCTCGACATTTTCTCAACGTTACAATGTCTTGAATAAATCTTGAAAAGATCAATTCCTGTATTTAAATTCTTTTGAAACACATTCTTGGAGCCGAAAGATAGACTCATCTATCAGAAAAATGATTCTCAATTGCTTCTCACCAAGAAGGACGTGACTTTCGGAGTAATTCAAAGTGCTCTCTCCCAAGATTTCCTTGGCGGACGAAGAATCAGCGAAAACCGGCAGTGCTTCCTTGACAACAATGTTTTGTTCTTTCTCGGACTCCAGACGTTCTTTTAGACTCTTCACGTCAGCAATAAGCATCTCATTCTTGCTTTTCAGAATTTCCGCATTCGCGAGAAGCACTTCGTTGTCATTCTTTCGAGCTTCCACAGTGGCAAGAAGCATTTCATTGCTGATATTCAGATTTTCCACATCTGCAAGAAGCACTTCATTCTTGCTTTGCAGACTTTTTAAATCTTCCAGAAGCATTTGATTGTCATTCTTTTGACTTTCTACATCCGCGAGAAGCACTTCGTTGCTGCTTTTCAGATTTTCCACGTCAGCAAGAAGTAATTCATTGTCATTTGTCCGAATTTCGGCATCCGCAAGAAGCATTTGGTTGCTGCTTTTTAGACTTTCCAAATCAGCAAGAAGCATTTCATTGTTGCTTTTCAGACTTTTCACATCTTCAAGAAGAATTTCGTTATTGTTTTTTAGACTTTCCACGTCAGCGAGAAGCAATTCATTTTCATTTTTTCGACTTTCCAAGTCAGCGAGTAGCGATTCATTGTTATTTTTTCGACTTTCCAAATCGGCAAGAAGCATTTCGTTGCTCCTTTTCAGACTTTCCATATCTTCGAAAAGCGTTTGATTTTCATTCTTCCCACTTTCTATATCGGCTAGAAGCATTTGGTTGTTGCTTTTCAGACTTTTCATATCCTCGAGGAGCATTTGATTTTCATTCTTCCGACTTTCTACATCGGCGAGAAGCATTTCATTGTTGCTTTTCATACTTTCAACTTCAGCAATAAGAATTTCATTCTTGCTTTTAAGATTTTCCACATCAGCAAGAAGCCTGCCATCGCAACTTTTTTGATTTCCCATATCAGCGAGAAGCATTTCATTATTTCTTCTGAGACTTTCGATATCAGCAAGAAGAATTTCGTTGTTGCATTTCAGACTGTCGACGTCAGCGAGAAGATTTTCATTCCTGCTTTTCAGACTTTCCGCGGTATCCTGAGCCAAGGAACGCTCCTGAACAAGTTTCCTGATGCTTGAACTCTTTCCAGAAATGTTCTGCGTTAAATTTGTTACACGTTCCTCTTCCTTCGCGAGGCGAGACTCGAAATCTTCTGCCATTTTCTGACTTTGAAGGAAAATGTCTCCGCAAGTTCGTTTCCAGAGTTGCTCACGACGCGTTGATTCTTCCAGGTCGGACTGAAGAGCTTTGATTTTATCTTCGAGACTGAGAGTCAGGTTTTTTTGCTCACAAAAGGCGCGTGTCTTTTGCTCACAAGCGGAAAAATCTTCTTCCAGTTTCGATAGCTTCGAGTTAATCGTGATTTCTTCCCTCGTGATCATCTGTGAGGCTTGCGTGAACATTTCTTGAAATGACTGCAAGTGTTTCGACGATACCTGGTTACGTTCTTTATCGAGGCAATCCCGCATTGCTTTCTTGTCATTCTCGAGTTTGATCATGTGTTCTTCTAAAAATTTATGGCTTTCTTCCAAGGCCTGCAGGCGAGATACAAGCCGAGAATTTCCCTGTTCAAGAGTTTGAGCCTTTTGCGTCTCTGCTTTCAGCATTTTTTCTAGAGCTTCCGTAATCTGAATCAATTCTTCCCGTTCTGAGAGAAGCTGCGACATCTTTTTGCTAAAGCTGGGTGATACGGGTTTCAAAGGGGTTGACAGCTTCTGAGGTGGTTCACACACAGATAAAAGATCCATCGACGCGTTCAGACTAGACACACCAGGGTTCTCCAGATCACTCGTGTCGGAGTCGAGAAACTTCCGCAGGCGATTCATGACATGCTGAAAACCAACGGGAATGTTTTCCTTGTCTAGGTCACTGTGTTGCAAGAATGTGACTATTTGAGCCTTGATTGACTTGACAGCGTCGTTCTTTTCATTCTGAAGTTCAGCAACACGAGCTTCAAGAGAAACGGCTTCTTCCGCGAGTTCTTCTTCATTTTTGCGCTCGATTTCAAGTTCACGAAGTCTCTCTGACAGATATTCTTGATTCAAAGATAGCTTGAGGTTTTCGGTACGAAGACGAAGGTTTGTTTCACGCAGTTCCTGACGAGGCGTGTGAAAATTTGGCGTCGAGTCGCCACCAGGACCGTTCTTGACGGGCGTAAAGTTTCTAAGATTCTCCACTCGTTTCGGCAGAAGTGGAGACGCCGAATTCAGGTTATCACCTAAAATTATAAGTTTCCATAAATTAACTAAATTGGGAATGCTGCAAAAATACGGTTCAGGGTATTCTGAATAAGTCAGGGTAAAGATGACACGAAACGAGAAGACATGTATAGATTCTTCAAACACGATAAAAAAAAATTCCAGTACTCAAGGACATCGTCCACTCTTTGCCAAGCTTAACGTCAACAATGTTAACGATTCCACTTGAAGAGTTTGCAAATACTGTACGTAAACATTACTGCATAAACCAGCGAATACCAGCTAAGAACTACGTGTAAGTACACTTACTCGGCTTCCCGTCAGACCAGAACAAACACATTTACTTAAATAAGAAATACTACACAAATGCAAGACAGCTAATGATTTCGTTCGCTCCTATATTGAGACTATCCTCCATTGGGACTGGGACTGGAGCACTCGGACGGACAAAAACAATTCTACAACTGGTATTTTAAAACTTTCGTCTCTCACATTTAACGGCGAAAGGAGCCTGGTGGTCACCAGTTTTGAATTCCAATTTTGCAGGCTGAATCACCACCCGATCCAAACATGGGATCGCCATTGTATGGCGTCTTGCTGTCCTCTTCGTCACCTGATAAATGAAGATATGAACTCAGAAAAATTTCAAAAAACTTGGAAAAATATGACATTACTGGAGGTCTTTCTCTAAGAGGAGAATGAGCAGAACAAATCACAAGTTCTTGAAGTTTCTTCAGCTTCTCCTTCAACGCGTCATTTTCCTCTCGAGCTTTCTCCACTTCTTTAGCTTGCGACTGCTGCTGCATTTCTGCAATACGCTTTTGCAAGAAAGCGATTTCTTTTTTTTGTCGCTTCAACTGTGCCTCATCCGTCACCACTTCATTGACTAGCGCCTTGTTTCTGATCTTCTTAGCCAAACTCGCGAACTGTAAAGTCGAAAATGTTTCCGTAACTGCAGCAGGAGTGACGGCACAGATTATGGCAGTCAAGGAATTCCCACCGAGGGAATTTTGAAGTATTCGTGTCAACTTGCAGTCACGGTAGTTGACAAATGGGCTGTTCAAAAAATGAAATAAATGTGCGCTCATTACAATGAGGGTAGATAGAGCTGTAGAAAATCCACAAGATTTCCAATTTTGTTCGAGGTTCTGAGTGAAAAAAATCCAGGAATGGAGGAGGATTTTCTTTTAATCCTGAGATTTGTTGACTTACCTACTTTCAGAAAGCTGCTTGATTACGAGCGCCAAAGTTGACAAGGAACGATTAATATTGCAGCCTTCTTTAAACCTATCTCCTTGCGCACCAGTCTGTGACGCTTTCTCACTTCCAGCAAGATCCACTAAATTCAATTGTGAAACATTCACAACCTCGTCTTCATCCACAGAAGCCTTGTTACTTTCCACGATGATCCGGAAGATTGTGTGAGATCTTGAGCTTCTTTCGTTCATCTCGGTTTCTCCATACGTGCGATTCTGCTCGCCACGACGCAGGAGGCTAAAAATTTCATCTGGATGTCGGCAATTAAGTTCTTCGAGATTTTTCACAATAACTTCATTGCTTTCGTTCTCGGCTACCTTGAGAGGGACTTGAGCATTCTTCAGAAGATCATACACGTTCTCTCGGTATATTTCCATGTATGAAACCCTGTAGGAAAAAGAATCCCGATTAAGTATCAGATGAGGTACATTATCAACAAAAATATACCGTAGGACGAATTCGCTCAGCGGTGATTCTTCGATGGTGTCAAATATTTGGTTCACAACCATTCTAAGGAATCCAGGGGCATCAGGGCAACCATTCATCGTATACGTCTTACCTGAGAATACGACAGATCGCATCAAAAAATCGTAAAACTTTGATTCGAATAATTTTACCGCTTGATGTTTGCCCATAGGCAAAAATGGTCCCGTTGAAGCCCTTCATGAAGTCAGCGATAATTGGAGCACCAACGCTTTCATAGATATCTGCCGTAGTGGCCTCCATGCCGAACACATGGTCTTCACACAAAAACGAATCAAGTACAGAAGAAAAACTTGTGAAACTCAAAAATCGTAAATGATACAAGCTCTGCAAATCTACTGAACTATTTCATTTTTTCAAGGTCAGTTAAAATTAAAAATACCGAAGAAGAAGGGTTGTGACACATGGCCTGTGAGTGGATGCTGCTGCCGAATAGTTTGTGATCCACATGTCCAGTACACAACAGCATTTTCTGCCTTTTCGCGAGGAATCAAAGGTCGAACACGAACGACAACTTTGATTTGGCCCTCCTGGACCTTCTGTGACATGGTGTTCGCCGAACTTCACACCTAAATAATTGTATCAACGGGAAGAAAAATCTAGATGAATTTTCAAGCTTTCATTCATAAAGAAAGGATAAAGACGGATACGCGCACGCACATACATTTTCTCAACAGGAAAACACATGAGGATAATCACTCGAAACACTAGAACAGTTGATCAGTCTGAAAATACGCGCGGCATAAAATTGCCGATGTGGGCGGCACTTCGAATCTGGCGCACAATGAACTGTTGCGAATCAAAACGAAACCATGCGCGCGGCCACATTTAGGCGGGAAAACGGGTGGGAGAGCGCGATGCAATTACAAAGAACGAACTGAGTCACATGTATGGCAGCGTTCAGTTTTGGAACGGAGTGCGTGACGACGTTCAGAACTGAAAACGGTGGATTAAGATAGTGCGTGCGTCCCTTCGCGGAAAGAGTGACCGATTGAGGAAAGGAAAACTATTTTGTATTCTGTTCTTTCCGCGTGATGAAAAATAAATCTGTGGCGCGTAGCACAATTTTTCTGTGATCAAGAGATTTTATGAATACAGTAATGACTTGCTGTTCTGGTTCGATTTTAGATTATGATTGATGCGAAGCATGAGAAGCAGCATCTATTTTCTAGTTTATTGGATGCTGTGAAACAATGTCAAATTCGGTTTGGTGGTCGTCAAGAGCTAGCAACCGAAACAGACGTTCGGGTATCCAACTTATGTGCGCGCTACGAAACTGTTCTGCAGCATGGTTTTAGACGAAGCATAACCAGTAACGCACCGTTCAGAAACGTAACGTCCGGCCTCTGGAGAGATCCTGACGTATTAGGTAAATTCTCTTTCAATCCGTATTGATCCCTCGATGGGCAATAGTTCGAAATCCCCGTTTTTCAGTCTTTTGGATCCTTGTCAAAGACTTGCTGAGCAAGCATGAATGTGAGCGGTACATGTGTCTTCAAAACATTAAATCGGATGTTGGAAGGGGGAGAGCGTGGCTTCGATCTGCTTTGAACGAGCGATTCCTTGAACGCAGTCTGATCGGATTATTGCATAATGAAGCGAAATTGGAGGAGTACTACGAGCCGTGGTCATTACTTCGCGACGAAGAAATAAACTCCATGCTTCCGACAACAGCTGCAGGTAAAAACGGAATTCATCGGTGTGTTGGATCCATCAAAAGCTTCAGATTTCATGTTGTTTAATGATTCTTCTCAGGTCTTGGATCTATTTTGTTCGCCATTGCGATCGACAGAGATGATTTAAATTCCATGCCACTGCATATGACGCCTTGCGGAATCAGCGTTTCCGCGGATCAGAGTGCAACGGATCCTGAGCCTGTGTTTGCCACATCGCTTAAGACAATGGCTGTGAAGAAATCTCGGAAAAAGAAACTGCACGCAAATCACGTGATTCTCAGTGACGACGACGTAGAAGGAAAAACTGTAACTCTTGCAGTACCCATCCCCTGCGCGAGAATCAGAACCCCATCAGACACTGCAGCGAGTGAAAATAGTGGCTCTGGTTTCCTTGGCTCATCTCCTCAAAGTTTTAATTCTGACTACCAGAATCCTTGTCGATTGGAAGATTCTGGGAAATTTTTGGATATCATATCTACATCTCTCCCGGAGACATCACCGATTGCAGAAGCTGGTGTTTCTGTTGCCTCTCACGCTCTCACTCCAGTAACAGAACCGTCCATAGGAGAACTCATTCCAGTTTTTGATGCCCCCAGCAGTGATGTTGATGTTTCTTGTACGAGGGAACCGAAGGAAGAGCATAAGCGGAATCTACCGGATGAGCTTGAAATGGATTCCGGTACGGTATATTATCCCCCTCCCCTCTTTCTGATTACGGTATAATTTACCGTATCCCGTGAATTATCTCCGTGAAGAACAAATTACGTCTGAATGTACATTACAGTATTTCAAAAATGAGACACCAGAATTCTATTTTGGGCGAAAATCCAACCGGAACTTTATTGATTCTCCATGTTCGATACGACACTTTGTGCGCAGAATTTTCCCATCAGATTAAAGTATGATGCACACCTTCGTTTTTTGCTTCTCGATTATTATAGAAAAGATGCGCTTAGTACTTGAGCGAATATGGGTACAGTATCCCATAAAAATTCAATGATGTTTGATTGAATTGTGTAATATAATGTGATACTTTTTATTTTGTATAGGAGAACTGCGAAGAACACTCTTCTCCGTTCTGTCGAGAAACACTGATCTGGAAACTGAGGTAGAGCGTTTAAAACAGGATCTGAGAGTGGAGATGGAGAAAACGTCGACGTTAATGGTTGAAATTGTTGAGTTGAAGCGACGATCTGCGGAAAAAGCTGATAAGGCAGAGTTGAAGCTCAGCACATCCATGAGGTAGTTATCGTATTTTTTATTTATTTTTTTTTACCATGAAGTAGTTATTTTACTGTGTACAGTACAGTATTGCTAAATTTTGACTAAGTTTGGAGAGCCTGTGATTTGCATTTCCTAGAACGTTACTTCTCTGAACTTCAATCATCCTGTTATTCAGGTTTTCAAAAGTCAGTCATCCTCCCTCCAAATGCAGTCGAAAAATTCTAACATATGTCTGACGTATACCTTTTTTTCCTCAGAGAAAATTCATTGTTGAAGCAGCAATTGAAGAAATACGTCGGCGCGGTGCAGCTTTTGCGGAATCGAGAAAACGGGTTTAATGCACCGGATGTTTTGGAATCTCTGGAAACCGCTCCTTCGGCCTTGCCAGCGATTCCCCACAACCAACGACTGGAGACACGCCGAGAAGCTGCCGATTATGAACAGAAATTGATCCAAGTAGCTGAAATGCACGGAGAACTGATGGAGTTCAACGAACGCTTGCAAAGAACTCTTCGTGCCCGAGAGACTGTGATTGCTAGACTGCAAGAAGAACTGGTGGACCTAAGGGGTCCATTACCTGATAGTCTACACTTGTCAGAGGACGACGATGCTAGTTCGGTTTCTGATTTCGACAACTCCTCGTTGTCGGCTGCGTCGAGAGTGTTAATCAACATCTGGATTCCGTCTGTGTTTCTCACCGGCGGTGGTTCGGATACGCATCACGTGTATCAGGTTTATTTGCGTATCCGAGATACGGAGTGGAACGTGTTTCGGCGCTACTCGCAGTTTTTTGTTATGCATAAGAGCCTCTGTAAACAGGATCCGATTTTGAACACCTTCGACTTTCCGCCGAAGAAGGCTATCGGCAATCGGGATGCCAAGTTCGTGGAAGAACGGCGACGACGATTGCAGCATTACGTGCGCTGCATTGTGAATTTCATGGTGCAAAATAATCCAGTGTTGGGTAGCAATCCTGATAAGGAAACGCTGGTTCGATTCCTGCCATTTTTCAAGTCAGTATTTTTTCTTATAGCCCTTTTAATCTGCGCAAATCTTTTTTTTTTTGTGCATATTTTAATCAGCTGATTGAGAATACATTACAAGATTTTTATGATTGCACGTCTTCGAAGACGAAGCGCGAGGAAAATTGCAATGAAACATTTTCAGGAAGTCGAATAGTAAAGCTTGAGATAGCGGCTGTTCATCTGTTAAATTATGAACAGATCAAATTAGTAGCATTAAAAAAATGTATCAATGCAGAAGCGCTCTGCTCTTCCAGTCCATTGATTGCATTCTTTATAGATTCTTAGTTGTGAGACATGAATTGAACCTTCCGTATGTACAGTATAGGAAAATGATTGAAGAGCATTTTGAAAAACCAGGAACAACAGAATGAATCGACTCGAGGGTTTCAATAAAATAAAACAGCAATGTTGCCGTGCATAAAATTTCATGTGCATGTACAATTTCTCGTCTTATTGTGACTCTGAGTACTTATACAGTACCGTATTATGGTGAATGATCGCCTTGTACTAGAGGTCATTTTCAAGAGTTGGAAACCGACATGCGTGACTCCTCGGCAATTTTCAAAAATTATTTTTTGTCATTTGGGATTCTAGTTGGATCGAATTGAGGAGTGAAGTCCATAATAATTTTTTTAGGGAGCATGCTAATATGGAGGTCAAGAAACGTCCAGGAAGATCGTTCTTTCGTCGCAAGCCGGAGAGAACTGCGTCTGCTTCTCAAAGAATATACACTGGACTATGATCCTCAGAGCTTGCTGTGATTTTGCGGAGTATTTCGGAATTTCCCTTATTGATCGAGTGCTAATTGTCCTCACCTAGCTGGAACAAACTCAAGAAAGGTCGTTTGAACGATGGCGAACACGAGAATAATCTCATTTGTGCGTTATTACCTGTGCTTTAAATTTGAAAGATCCTCGATCGGTAGGATTGTTATCTGCAATAAAGTTCCGCCTCACAGAAAGCTTTAGAAATGAAAGCTTAGGTGCGAGAAACTAGCTTCGCTCAGGGATTATATGAACAGTGTTTTGAGTACAGAGGATAAACATGCTTGTTTACGATGTCTAAGAAGCGTCCCCTGTTCATGAATATTCTCCCTCATGTTGTGGGCATTCCAATAGTTACGTTCTTTTGTGAGAGAAAAAAATGAAAACAAGACTTGTTTCGTGGAATCTGTGAGTGTTGATTATTTCGTGTGTCTTGTGTAAATCGAGGCTGATTTCCAATATTTCCTCTCTGATTTCAAGAGTTGACGATGTTGTGATCAAGCTTTTGTGAAATATGCACGATGCTTACGAAGCGACCGCGATTCTGAAGAAGTTGCCGCTTCAGATCGAATCTATAGCGTCTTTCGGTGAGCTATTCGAACACCTGTTTTTGAAAATTTCCTGATAAATGTAAGTTTTTTTTCCAGTTCCTGATGGAGGTTCTACTGCCAATCTTCTTCTTGGGACGAAGGTTGGGCATCTTCTGCTGTATGAGATTGATTTGAAGAAAGGTGATAATTCTTCTGTGCGACTGCTGCAGTCAGTGAAGAACTTTTCAAAAAAGCCCATCATTCAAATTGCCGTGGTTCCGCAATACCACATTCTGATATGTCTGACCGGTTACCCAGGTAAGTTCTTTCCCCTTTCTGCTGGACTAATTCAATGTCGATCAAGAAAATATTTTTCTTCGAAATCTTGTTGTATCAAGGAATATCAACAAGTCAAATTTTTGCTCCCAGGAGCAGACCAAAAATTAAAATCCAGCTCTGACGAAGAACTACGAAAATCGTGCAGTTTGTGGCTGTGGTTCTTAAATGATAAATAATTCCTGGAAGATTATGGAGGTTCTTAGTCATGTCGAAATCTGATTCAAAATTTTGCCGGATATTTGTTTATTATTGTTCGATTGAAAGACGTTGAAGAATTCAATCTTTTTGAGTGATTTCTTCGCAAGACCGAATTTTCTAATTTTATTCACAGACAACATTCTGTCAGTTCACGACATGACGAAGGCTCGCTTCCCAGCGTTGTCTGTCGTCGAAAGAACCAGGGGTTGTCACCTCTTTACGCTTCACGTGACAGAGGAAACGTCTCAAACGGGGGTCGTGAGTGTGATTGTGCGACTGTGTGTGGCCATCAAAAAGCGGCTGCAGTTGTATTACTGGAAAAACCGAGATTTCCACGTATTACGGGAAGATTTGTGTCTACCGGAGAATCCAAAAACTCTGGTTTGGAGCGGCGAATCGATCTTCGTTGGGATGCGAGGAGGATGGAAAGAATACCTTCGAATATCTCTGACGGGCGAGAGTGAGGATTTATTCCCTGTGGGCACGGATGGCGAAGCGAAAATAGTGGCCATGGGGCAGGGCAAGATTGGATTGATGCAAGATAAGAAGCTTGTGATTATCAAGTCGGACGTGTTCATGAAGTCTGATGTGATGAAGTCGGATGGTCAGCCGATTTTAGATAGTGTTACGTGGACTGATCATCCCGTCGCGATTGGTAAATTAATTTTTCTGAACTCGATTTAGTTTCATATTGCTCTTCAGCGAAAGGATAAAAAAGGTCCTTTTGATTCAACATTTGAAGCCCAGGATTTCTGGATTTTCTGGGCTATTTCATGGGCAGTTACTGCAGTTTTTTCATGCTTTTTGTTTGAGATATTCAAGCATTTGAGATGGAGATATTGAGAGTATTAGTTTTGTTCAGATTATGTTTCAGGCGACAAGACCCTGACATTGTATAAGTTGAGTGGGGCGTTGAATTTAAAAGATCCCAGAAAAACTTTCAAGCTCTAAATTGAACCATAGTAGTGTATCATAAAAGTCACTTGCGATGTGTGAAGTGAGAGTTTTTTTTCACTGAAGCCAAAAGGCTCAACGAAGCTTAGAAGTTTCAATTTTATTAAGAATTTTTATAACTCTATTGTATTTTGGTCAATGGGTATCTTACCGACATTCTCACTTTTTTCGACCTTTATATTCTCAGAATGTGATGGACCGTATTTGGTGGGAGTGATGTCAACCGGAGTGGAAATTCAAACCATTGAACCACGCATGATCATTCAAACACTGGCGTTGGCCTGCGAAAGTCGAGAGAAACCGAAACTGATGTCGAATTGTCAACTCGGGCTTGTTTTCCTCGCCTCAAATTACGATGTGTGGGCATTGAAGGCCACTCCTTTCAACGATCAAATCGGGCAGCTTTTGCGGTTGAAGCAGTTTGAACTAGCGTTGAGATTATCGGAATTTGGTACTTATGTGGACGGCGAACGGGAAAAGCTCGTGCAGTACATTGAGACGCTGCATGCGTTCGACTTGTTCTGCAAGTTCAACTTCCAGGATGCCATGAGTATATTTCTCGTTCTGGATATTGATCCGTCGAATGTGATCGGATTGTTTCCGGACTTACTGCCTGCCGTTTTCCAGAATCAATTGAATTTTCCTGATAAAGTTCCAGAATTACGTGGTCATTCCTTGGAAAACGGGCTTCTCGCTCTTAAAGGTACGTCCTGTCATTTAATTGTTATTACATTATTCAGTCTAGTACCACGCGCACTCCGACTTGCACGAGGGCTTTTCAAAATTCTGCTATAGCATTTCATTCCCGATTAAGACACACACCTCATTTTTAGTGACTCTAAAACTGCAATACTTTGAAAATTAAGAACAAAGCCATTTTAATTTAGACATGAATGGATCCTGATTTAAACCAGTTTTCAATTATTTCCAATATGATAAGTTTTTCTTTTTAAATTGGTCCAAAATTTCCATTAGAATCAAGTACCTAAATTTCTGAACCTTTTTTCCAAATTTTTACCTGCTTATGACGCACACTCCGCTCGATTGCGCGTGTTACGCGAGTAAATATATATGCTAAAAAATTTAAAATGTATTTATCCTGTATCTCAAATTATTGAAATTTGTGTTCCCGTATTCTGCTAGAACCGAGAACCTCTAGCCTGGATTAATTTTCCAGTCATTATTATGAACGAGTAAATTACTTGGTATAATCAACCCGGGGAAGGGAACGTGCTGCATGGTTGTGTTGATATTTTTTGCGATTTGTTTTTCTTGTTTTTAGATTACCTTGTGGAGGTGAGGAATCGGCTAAAGGACAACCGCAGCAAATTTTCACTGAAACCCATCGCCGAAGGAAGTACGACAATTCGCTCGAAAGAAAAGCTTCTGCAAATCATAGACACGACGCTTGTAAAATGCTTTTTGCAAACCACCGACGCCCTCGTTACGCCCTTCTTGCGCCTCCAGGACAACAAGTGCCATTTGGAAGAAACAGAACGAGCATTGACGAAATTTGGAAAATTGAGCGAACTGGTTATCTTGTACAAGGCGAATGGTCAGCATAGAAAGGCCTTGTTTTTATTGCAAAAACAGGCGAAGCGACCGGAATCTCCGCTAGCTGGAACAGAAAGAACAGTATCCTATTTGCAGCACCTCGGACAAGATCACTTGGAACTACTTTTCGAGTTCTCCACCTGGGTAATGTTGGAGAATCCCGAGGACGGGTTGAAGATTTTCGTGGACGATGTTCCCGAGGTGGAACAGTTGCCCAGGGCTCGGGTCATGTCGCACATACGGGATAAAGCGCCGGAATTATTGGTGCCTTATTTGGAGCACGTGATTTTCGAATGGAAAGATGAGTCGCCGGCGTTACATGACACTTTGGCAGAACGGTACCAAGCTACTGTTCAGGCACTGCAAAACGCCGTTGGACCAGCTGGAGATCGCCTAAACGAATGCCGGAAAAAGCTGAAAAAGTTTCTGGAATTCTCCACCTGCTTCACGCCGGAAAGAGTTTTGATGCGTCTCCCCGCTGAAGGCTTCTACAAGGAACGGTATGTTTTCTAAAATTTTGAAATTTCTTGAAATGATGATCTATGAAACGAGAGGTTTTTCTCCGAATTTAAGGAAGATCGTGCGCAATATATCGTTTTTTAAATCGAAATGGCATCAGTGCTCATTACGTGTCAGAATGAAAATTATCGTGATTAATGAAGCAAACGTGTTTTCTCAAATACCATGTATGAAGTAAGTTCTGTAGATGAAAATGTAGTTTTTTCGTGTTTTGAACCGGAAATCGCTGGAAGTTGGAATTTTGAGAGCCAAAGTTACACTTTCATTCGAGTACAAAGTCAGTATACTGTATTCAGCCTTCACAGATTTTTTATTGTACGCTGTTCGAAATGACCATGTTCAGAAAAGTATCATCTTTAAGAAACGTGTAATTATGAATGTGTTCCAAAGATTCTGTTTCGGAAAATAAGATTTTACAAACCGATGTCATACGTCTTGCTCTAACAAATTTTTAGAAATTATTATAAAATTAGTGAATTTCAGCTTTTGGGGATGGGGATGGGCGAGAGCTAGTGATGTCCGAAAATTTGAATGGCGATTATTTTTTTCATGAGGCTAATTATCATTTTTTGGGGAAAAGGGTTTTGTCTTTTCCTTTTATTGGCTTAGTTTATTTCTTTGGAATGGAAATTCCATCGCGTCGAGTTAATTTTTGTAGCGCTGTTAGTACTTATGAATCTTTTCCCTTTTTTCTCTTTCATTTTTTTTCTCCTCCTGTTGAACCGGGACAAAATAGCGCAATTTTGTACGAGAAGATGGGCAAGCATGACAGGGCTCTTGCGGTGTACGTGTACCTGCTGGAGGATTTGCCTGCTGCGAAGGCTTACTGTCAACGGATAGCTAAGCTCGGAGAAAAAACGGCAGCCGGAGAAGCCTTTTTATCTCTCCTCAAGCTGATGATTTCACCCCCGAATGCATCGGTACTCGGGTCTCAGGTGACGCGGTTGAAACACGAGGAGAATTTCTGTGCTGACGCTGGATTGAGGAACGCGATTCAGTTGCTGGAAGAGCACCCGACATGCATGGACCCGTGTCAAGTTAGTTTTCCTGTCAAGTTTTTGTGTGTGCAAGTTATGCTTTACGTGAAGAACCGAAGGAGGAAATTAGACCTTCGAGTTTTTCCTGTTTCCTCACCCCATTTGAAGAAGTGCCGCCTCTCACCGTAATAGCGAATTTTTTTTTCTTGGCTGTCGTGAAGGTGTCGCATGTTGCCTAAACTCGCCAGAAACAACGCAAATCATCCTTTTTTATTTTGCGCTTTTTTTCATTTCATTTCAAAAATTCCCTTTATTCGCTGTAATGTCCAGCCGTTTGTTATGGACTCTCGTGAAGGTGTCGCATTTTTTTCTGACTCGAAAATAAGAGAATAATATTTAAAAATAGAGCAACCCGAACTATCATGACCCCTAAAGAGCCTGCACTATCTAACAAAGTTTGAGCGACACCTATGGACCCGTGTCGGTGAGAATGGTAGAGTTATTGACGTTGAGCGTTGAAGAGAGAAGAGTTGGGGATCTACGTGGTGCTTAAACCCTTGTTCATTTTTGAAAGTGCGTTGATATTTTTTTTTGTTGAACTTGTTCCAGGTAATGAAGTTGTTGCCGTCAGCTGTTCCCCTGGAGAAACTTTTCCAGTTTTTCAAATGCAACTTGTATCATCTGTCGAAATCTAGGAAGGAACTTCAGTTGCTGAAAGGTCTGAATTACAGTCAGTTGCTCCAAGTGCACGTGCAAAGGATGGAACTGCAGTCTCAGAAAATTGTTCTTACCGAATTGCGCACTTGTCCTGGTTGCAAGAAACGATTCATTAGCCATTGGTGAGTTTCGTTTTTTATAAACCTTTTCGGATTTGTAAAATTGCAATTTATTTTGTATTTATTTCATCCCGCAGTGCCTTTGCCCATTATCCGAACGGGGATCTAGTGCATTACTCCTGTATGGAAAAGTATGAAAACCTGAAGCTGTGATTTTGCTGACTTGAGTGGAAACTTACGAAGAAAGTAAATTGATACTTTTCGCTTCCAAAGGGATCCGCATTTATTTTCATCGATTTTTCATTCAATGTTCTACCCGTAATTGAAAAATCTGTGCGATTTCTTCTCTTTTACTCTTATTTTCTTGAGATTGGAGTGAAATTAGTTGTAGTGAGGCTAAAATGCCTACTCCATTTTTGGGGCGTTTGTTGGACTCGTACCGCAAGAAACTAGTGCATTTCGCATTCACGTTCAAGGATGTGTTCTACCGTGGAGCTGTTATCGTGTTCTTGGCCACCGTCATGGTCTGGATGAGTGTGTTCATGTACGGCGTGTTCTATTACGTGTACATGCCAGATGTCTCGCACATGAGGCCCGTCGACTTCAAATTCAAGTAAATATTTCAAACCTTTCAATCTGATGCCTTCGATAAGCGCTGACACACTCATCGATTCTGTCTAATTCAACATTATTTAATGTGCTTATGAAAAATCGAGAAGTCCAAATGCTGTATTGTATTTAATTTTTTTTTTAATTAGGCCGTGTGGTGAAAAACCTGGGCTGTGCACTTACCCATCTGCATACGTGGAGCTTACCCGAAGATTTTCGGACCAATTACTTGCAAGGGGGCAGCCGTACAGAGTAGTTCTTTCTCTTGATGTTCCAGAGTCGCACGTGAATCAAAATTTAGGTAAGAATCATTCATTTTTCTTTTAATTGGCTTAGACTGCGCAGCCGCTGCATTCTTGCTCGTCAACTCAGAATTCAGATACAACGACTGGGTTAGTCTTCTTGAAAAGTCAAGATTTAAAAACAGTAAAATCTCGTTACAAAGAAGTTGCTGGGACTGGGGAAACAGCTTCGTTATATGGAGGAATTTATTGCAGAGGGACCTGAAAAAATCACTTCGAATAACGACATTTTACTGTAATACGAGAACTTTATTTATTCGTTTGCCTTGCTTCACTTGTCAGTCTTGGATGGAAGGAATTGAAGGTACTGTAATTTTCGCCGAATTGTATCGGAGAGAAGACGTAGTTGAAACCTGGAAACGTAACCTTTTGATGAGGTTCACTTACTGAAATTTTTGTGTTTGCATTTTCATGGGTTTGCTGGCAGTCTCAAGTGCTACCAAGTATTTTAAGCAATTCAAGAATCGTCTTGGTTGCATTTTTCAAGTTCTGACAAAATTCTTCCATTGCATTGATGTTATAATTGAGCAGTTTACATGTTCGAGATGATGGTTGTAAAATTTACAGAATTTCAATCCGCTCTTCAAAAGCTGCGCACAATTTAAAATACTGTTTTGTATAGTAACCCTTGGAAATAAATGAAGATAAATTTTCTGCATGTCTTGTCATTGGCCCTAAGAACTTCCATTTCGAGTCACTGGCGAATATTTTGAAGTACTGTACTTTACTCCTCGTGTTTTTAAAGAGGACAAGGAGTTTCAACGCTGAAGTTTTTTTTTAAGTTGTACAACAGATTTTCATTTCCTTACTGTGATTTTATTTTATTTTTGCGTGTTTCAGGAATGTTTATGGTACATATATCCATGTTGAACAAAGCGGGTGAAGCTGTGGTGAAAAGTGACCGGTCGGCCATGTTGCGTTACAGGTCGGGTTTGCTCAGGGCGATTTACACGTTTTGTTACGCGCCTATGCTCGTAACTGGATCTTGGGAGGAGAAACAAACGGTGGACATTGAACTCGTGCCAAACTTCAACGAGAATGCGGTAAATATTTCCATTTTTTTCCTCTTCATCGTCCGATCTTGCTTTCTGGAATGTGTCTCGCAAATGTAAAACCTGACGAAACCGAAGACTTACGTAATGAAAATAGGTGAAGAAAAAATCAAGTGACGTTTGTCGTTTAAACTTGAATCGTGGATTCGACAGCGTCTGGTATCAAATTGAAAAGAACCAAGTGCATGATTCTTTAAAATTATCAAATTTGTTTCTGTTCATATTTGAATTGGTTATTTTATTTTTCCAGCATGATCCAACGGTTGCAGCTTACATTGAGCTGCAAACTCGGTTCATCGAAATTTATTCGGCAAGTTTGCACATACACGCGCATTTCCACGGGTTGCGGTTCTTGATGTACCATTACCCCGTGCTTTCTGCGGTGTGTGGTGTGTCGATGAACATGGCTTTCCTGCTGCTTTTGGCGGCGTTTTCTTGGCATCACTGGTTCCTCACACCGTTTTTCCATCAGCAAAGCGTCGTTCGGATTGGGTTTGATGACGAAGTATTTGCCAGAAAACCCTCGACCAGCTTGGATGCCCGGAGAGCCGAGCTGAAGGAGAAACTCGAGCAGAGAAGTAATTTTCACATTACTTTTACATGAAAAAAATATATAGTATTGTACTTCTTCGTTTTTTTTTCTCTCCATCTGTGACGATTGATCATCAGGAGGAAAAAATTGAATATTTTCATTATCTAGAAATATATTCTGTATTTTATTTCGATATTTTAGAATATCGTTGTTGAGGGTTTAAGAAGAACGTGCATCTGTAATACAGTACATTATTTAAATCTGGAATGATCATAACTGTTTCATCAGACAGCTCCATTGAAATCCCGTCAACACCGAAAAACTCCAACTCCCGATTTTCTTTATCGTCACATAGATGTCGACTGGATTTTGTTGGCATCAACTCATCAAAACGTTTGGGAAACTTCAGTTAGGTTATACTGTACTGTATCGGATTGATTAATGTTGGATTATTTCAAATATCGTACCTAGGGTTAGATTAGATCCAATTAATTTGTTTTGTAATGAATTAATTCAGTTTTGTTTCCGTATGGATATTTTCAGATCACGTATTAACAATTAAAAATCAAGGCAAAGCTTTGAAAGTAAAAAACTTGAAATTTTTTTCTATGACTAGAATGAGTTGAGTTCAACTTGAAGAATCTCTCGAGCTGCAAATATTTTCTTATTCTTTTCGCCAAAAGGACTACAAGCTCAACTTTCAATGTCTGGAGATATTGAAAGAATTGGGATGAGTGGGCGAAGAACGCAAAGCTTCTCAGGAAGTGCCATTGATACCGTATCTGAGGAAATTCCTTGGACAGCTGTTCGGAAAGGTGTCTCGAAAGAAGATCTCAGTGTTGATGACCGAATTGCAGATGCAAATTTACCTGCTACTGTCATTCCGGATTCTACGAATGGTTTGTCGATTTTGCAAACTTTTCCATATGATTCATTTCACAAAGAAGCAACATGTCTGTGAATTCGGGAGACGTGTTTGGAGTGCCTGAAAAATTCATGCTTGCGGCTTTTTTTATTTTTTGGGAATATTTAATTTTATCCGTTTCTGAGTCTTACAAAAAAAGATTACGAATCATACCTTTTTAAAATTAAATACTGTGCGTGACATTTTTTCGCATTACCCGGTCATGTCTGATTAGTCGTAAATTATGTTAAGTTTATGACACTAAATAGAAATTGAATTATTGATCAAGAGTTTGTCGAAGTCATGGCTTTAATTGAAATAATATTGTACTTAGCGAACGGGCAAAGGCTTGCTTCAGGTCCTGTCATCGATCCCACATTGACGTAAAAATCTGACTTAGAAACTAAAATTTCCTAAAATGTTTCATTTCGAGGCGCTAACAAAATTTGTGGACAAGCTGGCGTGAATACACCAAGTTAATGAAAGTAACTTGGAGCCAAATACGTGAATCGCAATACCTAGTTTGTGTTCTGAATTATTCTTCGGGGAAATTTTGCAGAGATTCTGGAAACCTCTGACGAGAGTCCGGAAAAGGACAAAGAAGCGTATGTCTGTGAGCCCGAAGATAACGCTGATCCGCTATTCCCTCGAAAGCGTCGAGTTTTTGCTTCTGCCGCAGACTCTTGATCCAGCGGAAACGGATTTAGTTCATGGAATGGGATACCAAAATTGAGCAAAATTTGGGATTATTATTATTATCTTTTTTATACGCAGCGACTGTTTCCTGATGGGCGGACGGAAAAGGTTGAAAACGATCTCGAAAGCTGACTTCACGAGTAGCCCCGCTGGTGAAATGCTGTGTCCGTTTACATTGTTCGTGATGATTGATGGGTGGGACTGCTGCAACAAAGCGATTACGCTAAGGCTTTGTTTAAATATTTTTGTGCGGGGATTTCGGAAGAAGTGTTCAGAAAATTCGGAGCGATTTAGATTTCCTAACCGATTCTGACATTCTAACTTGTCTTCGTTGTCGTATGCTGTATTTTCATTCCGAAATCGAGGTCGATTCTTTTCGAATGCCTACAATTTGTTATCAGGAATGAAGCTTGCCGAATTTGTGGCGCGCATAAAATTGCGGACTTACGTTCCAGTGAGTAACAGGGTCGTCCAGTCCTCATTGTGCCATGTACCGTGTTTCCCCGGAAATGAGGCAGGTCTCTTATTTCTATTTTGCTTTTGAAGGCTGTTATCGTTTTAGTGATCAGAGTATGTTGAATTTTTTCATCACGTGATTCTAGGAAGTATATAATTAATTCCTCAGAAGTACGAAACTGATGGCAGAATTTTGTTACTTCGTATGGGGATTCACAGTATATATGCATTCAAAAATTTTGATGTCCTGTAATTGGACTATTATTTTCTGGTCTACCGTCGATAGAAAAAATTGAAGTTTGCTGCACGAGAAAGGAATTGGAGTAAAATTATTTTTGCGATAAGAAGTGAGATTACACTTTTTTCATGAAATCGGTGAATCATAATTTGATCATTGCATTGTGTCGAATTGAATTTATTGATATGATCATTGAGATCTTATTTTGGTTGTTGGATTCACGTTAGGAGTGGTGCTAGGGCTATTTTTCAGGCCATATTTTTGGGGAAGTGCGGTAATCGAAAAGAAGTATTTTTGTAATGAGGGCACTTTTTTTTTTCTCGTGGCAGTTGCATTTTTATTCATTTGATCATCTTTCGCAGTAAACGCAGCTTTCTCCAAGAAAATACATTTTGTGGAGTATTTTCAGAGGATTCTTTTTCGAAGTTGGGTCGGTTCTCTATGTACTATGTACACGCGTTTTTTTCTTTTGCCGCCTCAAGACGGGACCTCTGCAGTTAGTGACCTTGTGGGTCAAATCCCTAGCGATTATAGTGAGACTTGAAATTCCGTTTGGCGGGGAAAGTAGTTTTTTGTGAAGATTGGGGGAAAAAAGCTAGTCCTGCCTTTTGTGTGGTTTTTGTAAATGTCTTATAAGAACTGCACTCGAAAAACTTGTCGCTTTTCTTTTTCTTCATTTTGTTTACGTAGGATCTACAATTTTTCGAAGGAGGCTCAATTCTTGCTTGGGATTGTTCCTAATTTTTAATTGACATCAGTTGAATGTTTTCTTTTTTTTTCTTCAGAAAATCATACTGTGGTGAAAAAATGACGTTGTACCATTTCGTTAATTGCTTGGCGTTGGGCTACACGCCCTACTTCCTGACTTACAAATATTCGGGAATGTGAGTATTTATTCCTATTTTTTACTTGTATATTAATAATGAATGTCTTAATTGTCATGGTCAGGTCTGAATACGGAGTGTTCTGGAAGTGCGTTCAAGCTGGGATTGGATATGTTCTGACACAGTTGGTAAAGATGCTGCTGTTGGCCACATTTTTTCCGTCTATGGAAGGTCACACTGGGGGAAGCAGTTTCGACTTTTTCGGGGTTTGTTTTGCCTTTTCCAGTTACGCTCATTGAGTTATTGTTCCAAGGTAAAAAAAAAAAAAAATTATATACACAACTGTACTGTATATATCTTTTTTAAAAAGTTTCATCATGTCAAGTTCCAAGTTCATCCTCGCTCACTCAATGGAATTGAGGAATGTATCTTTTTGAAACAATTATTGTTTAAATCAAATTCTTCTTAAGGTCCCTGCTGTATAGTGGCAATTTTAGTTGAGAATCATAATTTTGCTTCCATTTCTAAGTATAGACTATGGGTAGGGGCATAATGGACGAAGTATAGTGATGAATTTAGAACAGTTTTCTCGTTTTGGCCCAATTCGAGTTTTTCATGTGTAAAACAGATCGTGCTGTTTATTTAGACGTTTGGTGAAGGTGTTCTAATGGATAATCATGAGCCAAAATCGCATAAATGAACTCTTGTTGTAGGAGTATGTGCAAATGTTATTTGATGATGGACTTTTTATACAGTTAAATATTGTTTAAACAAACCAATTGGGACAAGGAAAAAAAAAGCTTCTTCACGTCTTAAAACTTTTTATAAAGACATTGGGCCTTGAAACAAATTCGTCTGGTACATTGAAGTATTAGAATTCATTGCACTGTAGTAAGATTGTTCAAGAAGATAAGAATGATGTGAATGTCCATCAGCATGAACTTCCAAGGGGTTATTCTTTGGGTTTGATTATCAACAATACTGTATATGTTTATTAAGCGTTCTTTCTTGAGAGCTCATGTAATTGGATGACACATTTTCAGGAATTTTTGCGGACAACGGTGGATCTTGGAGATTTATTAGGTATCTACTTGATCCTGAGCCACATTGGAGGGAAGAATGACATGCGCCTGATGGCAGTTGCGGTTGGTTGGTCTATGGCTGAATTTGTTCTCACGAAACTGCTTCCGCTTTGGGTTGGCGCGAGAGGACTCGAGTTTGACTGGAAACACATGCAAAGCGCGTTGGATTCCAACGTGGCACTGGTGAGATCACGTTTCCATGTCATGAGATGAGAGTAAACACGGGAGAATTCGTCGAGATAACCATTTCAAGTTACATTTTCGGCAGAATTTTTGACGTTTCCGTGTGTGATAAACTGTTTGATCGATAGATTTAAAAACTCAAGAGATATCATGTTATTTCAATTCTCGATTGCATACGTAACGAAAAATGCTTGCTTCTGTTATGCTGCACAAATTGTGATTTAAAATTTTAATGTTACAGGTGGCGAATTTGGCTTCAGTCGCGTTGGTGTGGATGTGGTCTAGGAACGATTTAACTGGTGGCCTAGTTCCGTTAGTGTTGCTGTTGCTTCTGACATCAGCCTACAAGCCCTTGATAGTGAATCTGACCTCACATGCCTTGGAGTTGGGCAATTGGCATACGTTCTTTGTCAAAACTTCATTAGTTTTCTCATTGGCTTTGCTATCCTTCCAAGTTTATATTGGTTTAGCAGGCAAAATTGGGAACTAGATGTTTGTCTTCTTTTTCCCTGTGTTCACCTGTATAAGTGGAATGGATGCATCAATAAATATTATCAGGAAGCTAATACTGTAGTATGCTAAATTTGACCGGATTGATTTTTTTCATTTAAAACACAATAGACTGAAGTTTTTGGAACAAGTTACGATCAGTGTTCCTAGACAGAAGGTGCGATATACTTCATTGTGTTCAATGTGAGTTTTTCTGTTGAATCTTGGTACAGTATACATCTAACATAATTTTACAAAATATTACGTTAAATGCGTGATTTCCTGTTTTTTTAAAGACATTACGTAAGGATAATGAAAAAAAATCCACGAGTGCTTTAAACCTCAACACATATCATCCAGATTAGTGCCAGTAACTGAACTCTGCTCCCCTTCAGAGAAATTGTCTTTTTTTTTCTACACTCCAAGCACACAGTTCATTGCCAAACAAAAAACTTCCTGACGGTGCTCTTTTTCCGGGTGAATTATAAACAAAATATACCAAGCAAAAGAACCCGTTCATCATCGGGGGAAATAACGCAGCTGAATAAACGGCTCTAGAAGTCTCACACAGGCGTGATCAGATAACGCTGACGTCATCCAGTTTTCTTCTGAATTATGTCGAACGAGGCAGATTCAGTTACACACATTCAAACTTAACCGGGAACGTGACGGGCGATTTTGCCAAGCACTTGATTAAAAAGTGCACACCGGTTTCATTCATCGTACGGTGGAAGGCCGAAATCTTCGGGCTTGAATTGGTCCATGGACTCGAGTATTTGCGTGGCACCTTTTCGTAATTCTGCGTCCGTGCGTGGGTCAGGTATCATCACGACTTGCATATTTGCTGCAACCGCTGCCTGAACGCCGTTTGGCGCATCTTCGAAAACTAGGCACTGGAAAAATCGAGAAACGCTCCACTGAATTCACATCACAAACAGTGGCAGAATTTTGCACTCGAGTTCAAAAATGTTCGAATGATGCGGAATGAAAAATACGCCTCCGCGAAATTTTCGTGATTGTTCACGAAAATTTCGTGGTTGTTCACGAAAATTTAACACAAAAAATGATTTTTCGGAGTTCAGAGAATTGAGATGGTGGCTACAGGTGGACACTCTCCGCAACCATTTTTTCGGTAAAACGAATTCGTTCTTGGTACCATAGGGTTCTCACCCGATTGTTATAGGAGTTATCTACCACGAAATGTTTTCTGGTCCCTTGAATTTCGCTGTAGAGAGAAGAGAAGGTCCATCTGTATTACAGTAACAGAATTTTATTATCGAGGGGTTACTCATATTTTTTACAGATGGCTACCATAACTTCAATTTCTGGTTCTAATAAGAGCATTAAGGTAGAAGATAATTATCAGTAGTTCCAAAATAACTTTCTTTTTGCCAATATTCATTTTCCCAGAAATCAGATACTTGAAAAATTCAACAGTCAATTCTGCATTGAAACTTTACCAAGTAAAATCGCGTCAGGAAAACTCGCAAGAAGTTTGAGAATATTTGCACTGCATGGCAAAAAATATTGTGAACGAACGAATAATTCAAATTATGTTCTATAAAATGCCAAACATAACTTCTAGGAAAATAACTATTTATGGGTCAAATTCTTCTTTCTGAGGCTCATAAAAAACGGTTTCTAAATAAACGGACAGACGACGTCTCATCTGAATTTCAAGTGATATTGGGCAAAAATCAGGAGAATGGCAGATTTCTAAAATCTATTCAGGTACCGTAAATCTACGATGAGGTGCTTATTTCTAATGAATAACTTTAGATCATGACTTTAAAAACTTTGAGAACTTTTCTTGAAACAATACAAGTCCCAGCGACAAATTCTTGATTACATAGAGTATCAGTTGTCCTTTGACAATACAATGTTTTTCAATGGACCTCCTCATGAGTTTGCGTGACCCATCAAAAAATTTTAAACTTAATTCCATACATAAAGAGAAAAAACGCGTCGCAAAAATCCCTCACCATGAACTTCTCATACCTGAGCATAAAGTAACAAATGAAATAAAAACCATACAACATGAATCACATATGCCATGATTTTAAGGTTCAAGTATTCTCGCTCAGATTTTCAATTCTAACATCGAAATTAAAGGATTTCTTGACAAATATTCACCTTTTCGGGTGCGGGATTTTCCTTGAACCTCTTGGCAGCAACGAAAAATATGTCAGGAGACGGTTTACCGTGTACGACTTCTTCGTCCGAGCTTCCCATCACAATTGGATCGAAAAACTTGACAAATTCTTGATGATTCCGCATCTTGAGGTCAAAAGTGCTCTTTGCACTGCTGGTTGCAATGGCCATTGGTACTCCTTTGGAATGCAAGTGTTTGACCAGTCGTTCAACACCTCAACAAGATAAAATTACAATTTATTTTAAGCCAACGATTTTTCTTTTTTTTTTAATAGATTTGAAAGAGAGAGAGAGCGAGAGAGTCATGAACTTGATTATGCCGCCACAGGACGGATAAACTGTCTTGAGTATATTCTCAAAACTATAGAGCATTAATCACTTGCGAATTGCTTCGAACAGTAATCGACTGAAAAAAAAGCAGCATCCGTTGAACTAAAGATTCTAGAGGAAATCTAGGCGGATTTTCATCACTTCAAAAATATCATGCAAACGTGGATTTTCAGAGGAACACGGGTCAGGGAAGCCAATGCAGAAGTTCATCACGAAAAGCTGATCCAGATATTCAATCTTGTGGAAAATTGTGAAGCTTCTTCCATCATCTCTTCGAGTTTTTATTTTTTTTTTCAAAAAATGATCGAAATCTAGTGAAAATATTCAAGTTAGCTGTTTGGAATGAGAGGCACCGAACAGTTCACATTTGGAAAAAAGAGGGATTAAGATCTTGAATCGTTTTCAAGATTAGTTCAGAATTTAAATCACTCATTGAAAAGGGACCTTTGAATTCTGACCATGACAAGAAAATTACTTGCTCATACAATAGTTCCACTGAGGATTAGACAAAATTTCACATTTGCTCAATCACTAAATAGGACAATCTCTATCTTCTTAGGATTGAGCCATATACAGTATACAGATGTGAAGTACTGTACAAGTGTGCAGTACTCATAGTGAAGAAAATTACCTGTTTTGATCATGCCTCGCCACTTGAGCAGAATTCAAAGGGACTCGAAAACTTTCTACTAGAGGAGTTTTTTAGATGGTGAATACGGCCTAATTTGTTAATGTTAATGACTTTTAAAATTTTCTGACGTTATTACTCAGAGGTCATCACTCTTACATTACACGCCTACAGAAAGTTGCCAATATACACGTGGAAAGCATCAAGCTAAACATTTCAACGTTTTCTGAGTCAGGTCTTCTAAAATCTAGTCCCATTTTAATAGTGCAAGAGTAACTGGAAATTAGACAAAGGGACGTCGGAGCCAAAACGTTTTCAGTCTCGGAGATTAAAGATATTGTACACTCATTTCTTCACATTACGGGTATTCAATTTAAGCAGGTTTTTTTTTCACTCAAGAGCAGATTTTCAACTTTGCGAGGATGAACTGTATTTGTCTTTACGTGACAATATTTTCAATTTCCTACCTATACACTCTCGAATCAACAATCCACTGATTAAAACTACTAAAAATGTCAACAATTTGACTCTTGTCTAGTCTTGTCAGATGAAAAACGCGATCTCACGCATTTCTAAAAGCGCAGTTCATCTTATCCCTTATTATTGTTCGCATCCCATCACACCTCCCACAGCAGACATAAGAGGGTTGTCCCAATTGGAAGCGACCTATGATATTTTCAAGGTAGACGTAATTGTAAAAAAAATCATGAAGTAGCCCATGATGTTCTAAGGTTCTCTAATTTTATTTTCGATTTTTAAAAAGATTTTACAATTTCCTGCATGATGATAGGTGAAAACTTTCCCGTTACAGCCAGATATCTCCACCCATGCCACAGTGTGCTAAAATTTTGGCAGGCCAGCTAAACAATTTTTGTTGATACCCAAAAATCATCTACAGTATTCTAAATTTTGGATAATGGTTTGAACAACAAATAAATTTTAATTTTTTACCTAGCCTGACAAAGTTGTTACTCCCTCTGACATGAATGGAGAATTCCGGCAATAACTGGAAAGTTTTCACTAATCATCACGCAGTAAATTGAAAAACGTTTTTGAAAATCCGAAAAGAAAAATGCCAGAACCTTAGAACATTCTGGGCTAAGTCACGAGCATTTGTTTTAAAGCACACTTACTCTAAAGGTCGCGTCCAACTGAGACAACCTATCGCATTTTGGCAAACCTCTCAACTTTACACCCGTCGTACTCGCTTCACACCAGCAAAGAAAGCAAAACCACAACAACAACAAAAAAGGAGCAAAGGAAATAATCTTTTCGGAACTCTTGAGTACCCGGTAAAATCGTAGCGTTTGGCAAGCAGATTTGGAACAAGTCTCTGCATCGGTCCAAGTATTCGTCCACGCTTAAGGGCACTTGGAAACGGGACACAATTAGTTCCGCAGACTCCCTCGCCGTGTGCCCCTGAATCACGGACGAGTCCGCCCAAGTGTACTCTTTCCCGAATTCCGCCAACAACGTCTTGTTGACGTTTATATACAACTGAACAGAATCTGCGCAACAACAACAAAAGAGGCGATCCGGGGATCTCATTAATCCAACATCACTCGAGGAGTTCAATAATGAAATGCAAAATGTTAAAAAAAAATATCAATTTTCTCTTTTCCGAATCCATCGGATGCAGATAAAGTATTTACTCAAGTACCATGCGCAAAATTTATTCCCTCAAAATTTAAGAGTAATAAAGGGGGTGCACATCAAAGGCGGGTATGAATTTTTTCCAAGTTTTAGAAGTTTAGGTGTGCATTATTTATAACTGATTCTAATGAGAAATGTTGGGACAATTTTCACAGAAAAACTTATTTTTAATGTAAACAATTGAAAATTTGTCGAATTCAGGTTCAATTCATGCCTAAATTCAAATTTGGGAGTACAGTACTTATTTTTGAAATATTGCAGTTTTAGATGCACGCCTTCCTGAGGGATACAATTTAATCAGAATTTTAGCCTGAAAAACCTGGGTGCGCGTCTTAAGTGAGGGCGAGTGGTACTTGAAAAAATACGGCAAATATATATATTTTATAGAATAGGGTAAATTTGCCCAACTAGTCACTCACGTCCTTCTGAAAAGCATCAAGTTATCTTTTATTTTGCTTTTCTCTTCCCTGGGTCCCCAGAATAATACTGTAGATCAAACGCCTCCAGAAATGCAAGTTAGAGAAAAAAAGCCCTTCAGCTATGTGGAGGACTATACAATAAATTTGAACCTTGATAACTTGAACCTCTCCAACTAAATTTTTTTTTCAAGACCTGGTCTGAATCCCCTTGAAAGAATGCATTAAAATCCTCCCTAACTTCCCTGCTTTCCCCCTCAAATCTCCCTAACTCAAATTTTCTGAGGCCTTTTGAAAGACCCTTTTGGCAATTATTTTAATAACACAGGAAAGCGAAGAACAATAAGAAGTAACAATGTTTCTTCAAAGGGAGTGTAAGACTAATTGGACAAAGCCTTAGGATTCTATGCATTAAATCCTCTCCAACTTGAAGGCTATCCAACTCAAACCTAAATAATTCGAATTTTTGGAGGTTTATTATTATTCTTTATTTTATTTTCCATTATTTTCTTGACACAAGAAAAAAAAGTAACTTGCTGGGTTTTGAAAAGAAATGAAACACTAATTGGGTAAATGAACCCTGTCTCCCAAGCTCAGATTCCTGTAAAACCATTCAAGGGCCAGAATATCAACTATTAAAATGTCCTGCAATTTTTCTTTCTTCCACTCCCAACAAAAAAATGCTTTATTCCCTTACTCAAAACCTCCCCAACTTGAATTTGTCCCTGGTCCCTTCAGATTCTACTGTAATACATTTTTCTCACGAGAATTCAGACATCGACATACAAAAAAAATCGACATGGGGATAATTCAATTATCAGGGTCCAACTATACAAAAGTTTGAGAACTACTCTCAAACGCTACCAACACGGTCCACTTTTTCTTGAATCCGGAGCTTCCTCGACCATCATTTTCCTCTGATAATCTTCAAATGCATGAAAAATCCGCCTTTATTTATTCCAAAACTCCTCTCAGTTATTTTCTCTCTCTCTCTCTCCCTCTGGGCAGTAAAAATACAATACCTGGCATAAGCGTCGAAGTAGGGAAAAGTATTTCGCTGACCTGATGAAACTGTTCCATATACTCGTCGGCTTCCAGCGGGAGATCCAATTCGGTTATTATCGTTTTAATCGACTCTTTCCCCGGAAGGCCCATCAGTTTAACTTTAAGATCCCAAGTATAAATTTTCCCGTGAGGTCCAACCACGGCTTGAGTGGCTTCCGTGTAAAGCTTCTCAGAGTCTTCATGGATCCCATAAAAAGATTTCTCATTAAACGGGCATTAGCTACTTTAAGCTTTCCGTTTTCGAAAAATAAAAGACATGATCCAGTAAAAAATTGACACTTGAGCAAGATGAGATTTTTAAAAATTCTAAAAATCAAAAAGACTTGAAAGAATTTCCTTTGAGGGAAAAGGGCAGGAAAATCTCATTTTAACGAATTATCGCTCATGATGAATTTTATTTTCGGTCCTCCTTTAAAAGCCATAACGTTACTTAACTTTTTATAGCTATGTTTTTGTATCGTGCAGCTTTCCAGGTCCCGAACGTTATTGTAACGATATTCAATTCTATGAGAAACGTCTATACAGTATTAATTTTCGCTTGAGAAAGATTCAAGTTCTTTATAGATTCGACATTACTCCGAGAAAAAAATATTAAATTAAAAAAAATGACGCGTCCTCTGGGAAAGCACAGCCAGAATCCAAAAATTTCAACCTTACTCACCCAAGAGTAATCCATCCATGTCAAAAATGACATGAGAAACCGGTTGGAACACCATTCCGAACTCAAGAAAATGTCCCTTCGCACGAATGACAGTCAAATCCACCAACACGAAACGTACTGAAAGTAATGCGAACAACGTGTGACAAGGCAAGCTGAGAAGCTTCAGAAAAAAAAGAATAAAAATAAACCAAGCCCCAAATGCCGCGGGTTTCGAGCAGTCAGCATCATTTCCGTAACACGCCCACAACGGCCTTGGAATACTTCAAATAAGAAACGACTGATACACACAGCTTCATCGTTTGTATTATTCACATACACAAATGGAAAAAAATCCAAATTTTTTCGATTCCTTCTTTTTTTTTTGAGCGCGCGATGCTCGCAGGAGATTCAAGGAGCCTCATTCCACAACCAGAGCTAAGTTCCGAGTCCGCAGGAAAAAAAACCAACAAACGCGGAACACATGATCACCTAGCATTGAAAACTATAAATTGTTCCAAAAAGCTTCAAACCACATACACAAGTTTTCTTCTATCGACACAGTGAAGCAGGAAAAAAAATTCAGGAAAACCGAGGCAAATTTTCGTTACTCTCTTAATTGACTGCAAAGATTCTTTTCCAAAACATGAGACATGCATAACTCAGCATGCAAATGCAAGAGCTTCCTTCAAGATACAGTGATTGCAATTTGATAGGTCAATAAAAATCAATCGAACCCTGGCCATGCAATACTACTGTATATTGTATAAATATATAAGGTGTCCAAAAACGTTACTGTGCATGCAAAAAGTCGGTGGTATATGTGATCCTATGAGAAACTCAAGCAGGAGTTAATAAAATGGTGTGTGGTGATAAAACGGAGGTTCCTTAAAACGAACCACAACAGGAAATAAACTTATTTAAGATACATTTATTAAAAGATGTATGTACTAAAACAGATTTAATACATACGCACAGCGTTTGCAACCAAATAAAACTTCCTAAGCTATGTTAAACTAAGCTTAGTATTTGGTTGCAAACGCTGTGCGTATGTATTAAATTTCAACAAATTTAAACGAGCTACAGTATTTTTAAAAATTCTTTAAAATATACGCGTCGTCGTGCTAGCCAGCGACATCTATCCCAATGAGAAAAGTTTCAATGATAGGATCACTGCGCAGCAACTTTTTGGACAACCTATATACCTTTGATTCACAAATTTCGTTTCAAAGCTTCTCGTTCGGAATTTCTAAGCCTCAACCGATAATTCTCTGAATAAAAGTTGCTTCAGGATTCAATTACGAGAGCCAGAGTCACAGCGACAAATTGTCAGCGAGAGGAAACAAAACAAAGAGACAAAAAAGCACCAGGACCAGAAATTTAACGGGATTCCCTCGCCATCAGCTTCTCGAGTAAATGCGTTCGTTTCAGTGCGTGGCTCCGCGTCCAAATTCAGAGAGCATTTTCCGCAAATCGCTTACGTAGGCGATTTGGCTTCGCACGGTGCTCAAGTATTGCGAGTAACTGATGGAGTTGTCCACCGGGGTCGTCGGGGCTCCGTCCAACTTCGCGGGATTCACAGGAATCGGCACGAATTTCGTGCTTCGATAATGGGCCCGATTCGTTTCCATAGCAATTTTCTGCAGAAGAGTTTCGAGAAAATTTATTTTTCTCAATGTTGTAGTCGAACCTCTCAAAGTCAAATTTCAAGGGACCATCAATTTTTCACAACAGAAATGCTTGTTTCCCAACATCGAAATCTACCAAACTCAAAACTTCTCGTTCGGAATTTCCAAGCCTCAACCGATAATTCTCTGAATAAAAAGCTGCTAGGGAAAACAATTTGAGTTTGGGAGATTTCGAGGTAGGAAAACAAGTATTTCCGTCGCGGGAAACATAGAAATTGCACATGGCGATATTCTGGACCATAAATTTCTTCTTAAATACATTGACAGGATGCTGAACTTGGAGGCAAGGGTTCATTTGTTCAATTAGTCTTTCACTTCCTCTCAAAACACATCGATATTTTGTATTGTTTTTCTCTTTCCTGTGTTGAGAAAATAATCGCAAAAGGCCTCACAAAAATCGAGTTGGGGAGGTTCGAGGGGGAACCCTTTGAGTAAAGGAGGTTTTTAATGCATTTTTCAAGGATATTCAGACGGGGACATGACAAAAATTCGAATTAGGGAGGTTCGAGTTATCGAAGTACAACTGTATTGAAAACAGGTAATTTATTTTTAGCAACCATCAACACGATGCTGCAACTATAGCAAAAATATGATAAAATATAAGTCAATACTCCGTAAACAAAAGTTTTTTATGCAAGAAATTTCTTGAAGAAATGACTACAGCGCTAGTAAATGAAATCTGAAGACACACCATCCTTTTCTAAATGGAATTACGGTAAGCGGTGGGATTTTAAAATCACGCATAACTTCAAATTTTCATCAACATTCTTCTGTATGCTGGGAGTCATATTTTCTCATAAGTCTGAAATCGGTCTTTGTTCGACAGTGTAAAATACAGTACTGAACTTTCTCACAAAGATAATACTATATTACAATAAACTTCTGAATCAAGTTCAAGGTGAAGTGATGCACTTCTTTTAGTAGTGTTTCTAATCCTCTTCCACTTGCACTTCAGAATAATCCTGAGGCAGCATAATGAGCGAGAGAGCCTGAAACTTTGAATCAAGGTCTTAAATCTGAAATAAACAATACTCGAGATTTTTTATGCATCAATTTCAAGACCGAAACAATAGCTCGATAACGACTGACAGAAAAAAGGTAGGATGCCTTCCGATACATGTACAACATAATCCATTCATTGGTAAACAAAATGAGAACTAAGCAGATTATCATAAATGTTGCGCAGTAATTGTCACGCAAGCCGGCCGTGACAAAGGATTACAGAGAAAAATTTAAAACGAACAAAATTAAGTCAAAATGAGGAAAACTTGATTTTCTCGTTTGTTTACTAATTCGTAACACATGAGTCGCAATGAATCAATCATATCTCGTGTTGAAAACCCAGGATTTCATAAACTCACCAAATGCAATTGAAGTTCGTCACATACGGATAGAAAATCTTCTAGGGCCTTATCGAAACGAAGAGCTCCAGGATCTTGAGACCGCCTGCAACAAAATATACGTCATTCATGATTGTTCGTTCATCTGAATGGAATAACAAAAACATTCGGTCTCCAGAAAGGCTTGTCGATATTTATGTTCCCAATGAATAAATCCGATCTTTCCGTAATAAGCTCTTCATTCTTTTCTTAAATTTGTTTCCATTTTCATTCCTAACTCGGACATGTACGACAGTACTATGTATTTTCCACTTTTAGTAAAATTGATGGGAAAAAAAGAATGGAAGAATCTCTAATTTATTCGGTGCAACGAAGTGGTTTTCTCAGCACCGACAGTCGCGATTGTCTCAGAATCGGGACAGAAGTAAACCCGATTTACTTCCTGAAAAAATTTGTCAAAATTTGATTCCAGTCAATCCCTTATTGAGGGGTGAATCATGAAGCTGTTGTCTAATAGCTGGACAGCACCCAAAGCTAGATAAAGAAAAACGTTCATCACCTATTTTTGAATGCGAAAGAAGGTTCAATCATTCACATACTGAGTTACTTTATTTCTTCTGCACTTGAATTGTGAGTGCAGATATTATGAGCAGTTCTGTGGCAATCGTTGAACCGTTGAATATCAACTGCATTCATTCACTTACATGCAATTTGGAAATTTAGGACTGTTGACATCTTCATCATGCATCATTGAAGCTTAATATACATGCACAGTATGCGCTCAAATATTGGTTTTCTGTCTGACAGATATTCTCGTGAAAATCTCGTTCATCGCCTCATTTCAAGCAAACAAATATAATTCAAAATATCATTCCCCAATTGCTATCAATATTTCAACCAAAAATGTCTGCAGAGGAATATTTTATAAGACCAAAAAGTTCAACCCACCCAGGCCATGATACATTTTTAGAATTAATTTCAAGTCAAACCGGAATTTAGGTCTGGTCTGAGATGGGGGGATGGCAACATTTCAGAAAACGAAGACGAACAAGAAGAAATTTGGGAGAGATGGGAAGAAAAATGAATGGTGAAGGGAGTTTGGAAACTATGGGGGTTATTGGACCCAATTTTTCAAAGAAGCGGTGACCAACATTCCCAGACGGCTTAAGCCGTCTTAGGGCTCTTGGTTGGTTTCCCGGGTGCCCCCACTACCCTCAGAGTTACCAAACTTCCTTCACCGTTCATTTTTCTTCCCATTCCCATCAGTACGTTCTCCCAAAGATTAAGCTAAATCGGTTTCATCCTTCCGAAAAACAGGAAATTTTCAAGCATAAATTTAATTTTTGAACGAAGGAACAACACAAGGCCAGGGGAAAAGTGAGCCTTGAAGAGGCAATTTTTCATTTCTGAGTACATTTTTTCTGTGGGGGAAAAAAAAGCGCCAGGATTCTTCCCGAATTCGCCCTGCACAGCCTGGCATGGTTTTTTAAAATGCGATTTTGAAGTGCACCCAAAATCTGCAAAAAAAAAGTCCGACTTCGCCGCAAAAGGGATTTTTTCTCAAGAAGAAATCACCAATTTTGAAAAAAACTGTAAAACGAGCTCCCTTCGCTCAAACAACTCACAATACTCCAAGATCCATGAGCGCATTCTGATGCAAGTTTTGAGCAGCAGCTTTCACAACGTCCTCAAGACACTTCTTGAGCGGATCGATCAAAGCTTTACACTTGGTAACACTGTCGACTTGGCTCAAGTCCGGCCCTTTGATGACCGGCTGCGGTGCCGGCGGCACCTGCATCTGGGGCGAATGCGCCACCAAAGAGTCGTTCGGACTGCCCATGGCCAGACCCATTTGATTCATTTGAGCAGGGGTACATGGACGAATGGTCTGTGGCGCCGGGCTGCGAATGTTCATCGACTGCCCGGCTTGGACGTAGTGTTGCACACCCGGTCCCATAGCTGCCATTTTGATTCGCTTCGCAGGTTGCCTCTCGATAAAAAAAGTCTACTCGAACCTCACTTCATCACTCCGCCGACAAACAACGACAAAAAGAACCATTCCTGCGCGAGAGTCGTGAAAAGTATTACAATAATCACGAGCGGAACACTTCGTCGCAAAATCAATCACAACATATCACTTGAGAATTCATCCGCTGTTATTCATGATTCTACAAAAATCGTGATGGAAACTTTTTGCTGAAACTCGATGAATGAATGCAAAACATTACAAAATGTGAAGCGGAATTGTAAATATGTGTTTTTTACACTTATTCAAAAAAATCGTGCGAACAAGGTTTAGCGCGTCCTCAAAACGGCGAGTGCCAGGATAGCGGGAGTCCGTAAAAAAGCTAAGTTCAGAAAAAATTGGCATTTTAAGGAAAGATCCGCTTTTTGTGATCAAATGCGCCAAAATGTGTGTTCTAGTCATCTAGTACAAAAGAATCTCATGGGCAGGGAAACTTTACAGACTTCATACACAAAACTGGTTTCCACAGGCAATTTTCTGGGACGCGCTCAAATTTCTAGTGACGCATCTCAATAACGAGATTGAATGACACATTTGAAGTTCTGAACCCGCCGATTTTTGAACAATTCCAGTTCGAGCTTGTCTCAGGCTTTCAAACTGGTGTAGGATTTGAATTTGTGAATGTTCATCACATTCCGTAGACGTCTGAATCAAGTTCACAATACGCTCGACTTTCAAACGTCAGTAAAAAAAAAAATCCGTTCGAAAAGTTGAGTACTACGATAGTTGCATTTGAGATCCGTCGCATTTTCAAAAGCTCCTCTGGATTCTTTCACATTAGTACGTGTATATACCGTACACGGATGCCACGCAAAACATAGTGTCCTGGAAGAGAACATGGAGACAATCAACTTCAAAATTCGCCATACGAAGGAAATGAAATTTCCGTACATCGTATAACAAGACTGATGCAATAACTAACCCTAGTTTGTACCGATTTTCTCGATAAATGCCGCGAAAAATCGCAATGACGAGATGCGAATTAACAGGCTAACGCAGAACCGCGTAATAAATTGAGTATTTTTGGATTGCCAAAAACAATTATGAATTTTATTATTGTCTATATCAGCTATATTCGGCAATCTGTGACTTTTTGTCGACCCTGGGGTAAGCCTCCCACAAAAAAATCGCATTTTGACGTAAGAGATAAAAGGACAGATTCAGTCAATATACTACTCCAGACTTTCCACGCGTGAAAAAATATAGTTGTGCGTGAGTGGACGAGAAGCGTAAATTTAAGGTTAAAAACATACAGTCATTGACAAATATCCGAAATAAAGTTTGATTATTGAATCAGTCTTAACGTTCGATGGACGGATACAATTTTCAAAAGTTCTCGGAAGTCTATAGCGGTGATTCTAACTGCGATATTCAGAAGTTTATACTCTAGTGCGGATTTGAAAAAAAAATTACTACAGTACAATTTTCAACATTTTGGCCGCTCCTTCAAAACGAAATAGGCCACAACGAAATTGGTGAAAAAGGCCCTGCATGGCATCGAGAGGATCTGAACTTACTTTTCAAAACGGTCTTGATGATTTCGAAGTACGGGACAGTATATTTTTTCTCCTCGGACCATTCATAAATGGTATAGATGAAATTGCACGCCACTCTAAGGATACGATGAGCCTTCATCTTTTTTCTGATTTTTTACCAAATCGATTTGACAAAAATAAAATTCCTGAACTTGTCGGGGATGACAGTTCGTGAGTTTTAGCGGAAACCCGAGAACTTTCGAAATCGTCGTCGCAGACGGACCTTATCCACCACCATAACTCACATTAAGAAACACATCTGAACTGTAATTGTCAGTGTCCAGGTCCCAAAGGCAACGAGATGTCAGTTTGACGCCGGAACCCCGCTGTTCACCGATGACAACTTGCACAACATACTTATATCTCTTATACGGTAATTCTGAAAAAAAAAAAAAAGGAACGGGGTGCGAACGAGTTCGAAGAATGAATCAGAATCAAAAATGAGACTTACTCAGAACACGCGTTTGAATTTCGTTCACAATTTTGGAACACCAGGCTTCATTTTCCGTCTCACTGTAGCATTTTCCACCAAGTTCATCAATGAGAACTGCATGGATAATTTCCTTCACTTCATTTCGTTTAAACCTGCAAAAAGTCAGATTTTTAATGGAATTGAACGCTCCACAAGGCTTATGAATAGACACCTACTTTTCTTCATAAGGAGGACGGATCTGATACGAACTGGACATGTTGTTTGCCTGAGCAGCTTGAACATCACTCGATATCGCAATTGACATTTCTGAAATCGGAACTCTTGACAAAACAAAGCTAGTGAGCACTTCTGAAAAAAAAAATCAGAATACAGTACACTCACAATCGCACGGGAAGATTTGGAATAAGATGTCGAAGTTGCCTTCGAAATGAAAGCGAAGACCGAAAAGCGTAAGTAAAGGTGAGCTCACTTGAAACGAAGAGATGATTCTCAAAATTTATCAGGAAATGTACAGGTTGGGTCAAAACAAAGGACATATTTTCAAGTTGTGGTATCTCTGATCCAGGAGAATCTCCATCTTTCTTTTCGACATATAGTCAAACGAGGAAACAAAAAATAATAAAATGTCTTTAAAAACCAATGAATATTTTTGAAGAATACACGAGCATTGTCTGACAACTTCTGAGTCGATTCAAGAAGACCGTAGACGTTACGAACATTTTCAGGTGCAGTATTATCACACTCAATCCTCGAAAAACAGGTTTTTCTGAAGATTTTTTCTACATCTGCACGCTAGTCACAGTGCATCTGAAGCAAGAGATTTTACAATTAAAAATTATACAAATACATTTTAACAGAATTTTCAAGACGGTAGCTTAAGAGGTTCAGGATAACACAATTCAGAAGTCTGTCGTTTTTCTGATACACCCCGCTCTTTGCCACGCAATCAACTGTTAGATCGCTAATAAATCACTAAGCTCACCTAAACATCCATGGGGAAAATTTCGGTTCAAATCACTCAATAAAAAAAGCTGGAATCCTTTCAGAATTGGCATTCTGCGAATTCCTTTTGCTGTCCTCCAACTTTATTTCACACGGAAAATAAAATCGGAACGTACACAGAAACATTGAACCTTGACTAAATTTCAACCATTTGATCATATATAACGAAGAAATTCAATCAAAAGCATCAACAATTGAGAAAAAAATTGCCCCATCGCTGCAACCGAACCACGTGGGCATTTGGCTGCTGCTCGTGCAGAGAACAGCAAATCAACTTCTGATGAAAAAAAAAGATGGAATTGCAATGCCCACGCCTCGTGCAGGAGGCTTGATGAACCCACATGCTAACAAACGTGGTTTGAGCACCCAAAATGCGACAGCGTTTTTCCGCGATTCCCCAGAGGCATTTGTGGGATATGATAAGATACCCAGAATGAGACCAACCAAGACACTTGCACCTGATCCGCGATACTGTTGTTCCCTCGTAAAAATAACATAGCATCCGGTTCGAATGTCGACAGCTGAAGTTTGATTTCTAAAGACCCTCTTCTACATCACACTAGACACGAGTATAGCCGCTCAAAAAGGCACTGGTCTTCTCATTTGTCCAATGGAATGACAAACCATCAGCTCAACTCACGATGAATCCTTTTGTGCTTGTTCAGGTGAACTGCATCGTCGGAGACACTCTGCCAACGATCCAACAGCCCCAAAATATCCTTCATGTTCGAGAAATAACGCTCTCAGTTTGCCGTCTGACCAATAATCCATAGCATGGCTCAATAGTTTCATAGAAATCGGATTGATTCGCAAAAAGTTTCCCACGAACAGTATTTTATCAATACCCTCATTCTTAGCTACCATTCGTGCAATGGAGCCGATATTGTTTGTGATGGTTACTAGGGTAGCCCTGGCTAAGTCTGCTTTATCCACCACATCTCGCTTGGGCTCCATGTTCATTTGGCCGAAGCTGGAAGCCACCAGATTTCCCGACAGCTGAAATCTTTGGTAATCCCCACCGTAAATATCTTTCACCAGCTTGTCCACCTAAAACAAAATATGTTCAAAAAAGTGGATTACAACTCATCAAGTACTGTATCACTGAAAAAAGTAGGTCCACCTCGAGGTAATTCAACAAGATTTCAACAAAAGATGCTCAAGACATAACTATTTCAGTTAGTTATGCTAAAGCATAACTAACTAAAATGAATTTCAATACTTTCGGAATAAGCCGTCTCGATAAGCACCCATAACTGCTCCAGGAAGCAGTAATTAACTTCAGTGCAAAACATGAAAATGCTGGCCTTACCTTATTGCTGTCACCTCTGGCAGCAAGCTCAATCGCTTCTTCGTACGATTCACACCCAGTCAGGAGACAACATAGACCGAGGAATGTTCCACCCCCAAGGCTGCTTCCGGTAACACGCTGCAGGCAATCTCTGGCCCGAACACTTAAAATGCTCACACCGGAGCCGATGTTGACCACCAGGAATGGATACGGATGAGAGAAATCGTACTTCACCTTGAGGCCCAAGATTGATTCGCTGGTAGGAGAGTCCCGATTATCCATTCTAACAAAAGTTTAGATTCAATAAGAAATTCGGCACGTATGAAATGGATTGACGTGCACTGACTCCGCTTCTGAGTTGGGACTCTGAAATCCATTGCAAATGTAAAAAACTTCGTGCGAATTGTGCTCCTCCATGAAAGCTATTCCCCGCGTTAGCGTTTCCAGCTCATCAAGCTTCACCAGTCTGAGCCCGACTTCGTCGAGAAAGGCGTTTTCAAATTTGAAGGCCCCTCCACCAGTGGCGAAGAGAGAGATGGCAGTTTTCGCAAGTTCTTTCCTCTTGGCTAATTCCAAGAATGCAGACATTTCGCTGGTTTGGAACCGAATAAAATGGAGCGTTCCACGGCGACCAGCGATCACACACTTCATTTGTAATTCCACATCGCGGTGACCAGTACATCCGTAGGTAGAAGAAGACATCATGTAACGCCGTATATTGGCGATTGTTTCACTTTCGGGATCCTCATACCCACCACAACCCGGAGAAGGTTCAAAATAAACGAGTTTCGTCAACGTTCCACCTATGTCCATGCCAAACCATGGCATGGGGGGCACATCCGTACTTTCCTCCACTTCATTGTCGTGCTTCATGACACACGCGAACAACCTATATTTTCGGCAAACCAACATTTAAATCACATTTCCGCGAAGTACTTCCCCGAGAACGAAGCTAACGACCGCGCTTGAAAATAATTGTCCGAAATTATTTTCAACTGGAACAATATCACCGTACAAGCACGTACACTAACACTCAAATATCACGGATAAAGAAGACACGATCCATCCCCTTCCTTCTTCGAAATGCACAATGGAGTGGGTTGACAGTTAAGAACTGCCAGACACCCCCAAAAAAAAATTAATCTTCCATATCCATCCAGACTTATCAACTTCTTGAACTGACACACCTTTCCCCTCGGGGAACCAAAATCGACAGAAGAAATCCACTCGAAATGATCGAACCGCACATTTTTAACGCTTCAGAACAGCATTAAGATCATTTTTAAGCACCTCTGAAAAAAAAAGACAGCATCTAAAAGCAGGTACGTGAATGGAATTCAGAAGATTAAAATGAATTCGAATTAAACGTCTCGAGCACTGAACTAATAAGAGGAACAAAAAAAAAGACCAGAATGAAAATCCTTTAATCAGCGATCTTTTGACAGAGTTAGGCATTCCGATCACCGGAATGTGACTAAAGTTGGTATCGGTGATTGATGTTGAGGTACAGGATAGAAGGCAAACATTTTCACTGCAAAGAATCCTGAGCATTAGACAGTGAAAAGTTCCGAGTGAAATCATATTCAATCGACGGGATAATGGCTTGTACGAATTTCAAGAAAACTATCAGATACATGTGAACCCCTAGCTCCTCGCCGCCTTCGGCATACATATCCATGAATTTCTTCATTCCCTTCGCATGACGACACGGATGAATTGAAGCGTACGTGATCGGGAAGAATGGATGGACTTCCAGCGTGATAGTTTTGTTATTGTGATCTTCGCTAAAATCTTCAAACATCTTGTCAGATTTCAGCGGTTTTCCATCCTTTCAAAATAATGAAGAGTTAGTCCTGTACTGTATATCATAAAGCTAAATTTACTGATCTCACATCATCGTATCCAAAAAGCCACAATCGGGGCGTGCGGTAGTATTTGTCATATGCTATGTGAAGATCATACGTCCGGTGCTTCAGCACGTCCGCAGCCGCTGCTTCCGATCCTCGAACAGATGGGTCTACCTGCACAACCTTAACCGATACATATCTCAGCTGAAGTACGTAACGCAGAAATAATCAAATACACACTTGATCATCATCTTCATCCTCGCAGCCCTTGAAATCATCGATATCCACAGCTTCTTCGTCATCGTCATCATCTTCATCATTATCTTCGTCTTCCACTTTCAATGAAGCCTGAAGATAAAATATTCTTGATCACGTTCCGGATTCCAAGAGAAAATTCGTAATTCGTCGCTTACTTTGCTGACGTCCACAGCCACATCATTCACCATTTCTTCCGGAGACAAATTATGGTGAGTATCAACCCAACCACCATCGGCGTCGTCCTCTACAATTGCTTCCATCTCCGAACGGTGCTCCATCTGATAGAACTTCCATCAGAGGAGCTCCATAGAAATTCATTAACAGGACGTCTGTACCTGACAGCGACGGTAACAAGGAAGGCTGTTCGTTTTCAAAAACTGCTTATCCTTCGGGAGGTATGCTACTTGACGTGATTCTTCAGCAGATGACCACTGCCATGTGGGACAATGATGCACTAAATGGTCTCCAGCAGCTACGAACTCCTCGGGGGTGATGGTGCCCGTGTCGCGGAACTCCGATTCTTTCAGGATGGGCGTGAGATAGTTCGCCACACCGAGTGAAACGGATTTCACCGAATTAAAAACGCTTTGCATAGACATCTAAACGGTTGCCAACACGTGGAATTAATCAACGAAGCACGTGGTACGCGGCATTTGTATTGCATATTATCATGAATGAGATCACCTGAAGACGCACAGAATCGTTCACTTTCCAATCGCGAGAGTGAAGGATGAACGAAATCGTACAAAGGGCTTCGTTTCCGAACTTCATCGTGACTTCCGATAACCTGACCTACTCCATGTTACAGTAGAACGTCCTGAAACTATCGTGGGGCGCGCTACCTTAGTTACAGCCGTTATAAGCACGCATATTGCAGCGCTAGATGTCGCTGCTGGATTCTACGGTAACGGTAGCCCGTCTTTCTTCGGCTCCTCGCCTCCTGCAGGTGACGTGCAGTACAATATTGTACTCTGGAGTACAATATAGTACAGTAATACAATGCATTACTGCATCTTCCAATCCTGTACAGTAAAGTATTGTACTGTTTAAAGAATTTCACACACGGGACTGCATACAGTACCTGAAATGCGTTTTCACGGAATTGAAATTTTTTGTTCGCATGATTGAATGTCGCCTACAAAATCGCCACATAAGGCACTGCGATTCATGCTTGTCTTCATCGCAGTCAGAATTACCCAATTGTGAAAATAATAAGAATCTTCTCAAATTTTGAGTAATTTAGCCTATACTGTATTCGACGGAAAGACGGAGCCAAACTTGAACTTATTCGTTCAAAACTTGAAAATAAAATTTATTTTTCCGCTATTTATTTGGATATTGATCATCGAACGCAAGATAATTTTGTTGGTCATGCCGCGCCAGAATAAAATGGTACAATATATGTATACAATACTTTCATTTTCTAAGTTTAGCTGGATACGAATGTACTGTAGAAATATTTCACCCAGCAGTTTTCACAATGCTGAAAAAGAATACCATCAGGTCGGAAGAAAATTTAAGAGACTAATTTGATTTTTTCACTTTCTTCTATTGCACAACATCTGAACACAAATACATTGACAGATTGCATATCTTCCTAACAGCTCGATCTTCCATGAGATAATAACATTAACCATTCACTGAACGCTCCAACGATCCAAGTACAGTACATCTCTATAAGCTAAGATGTCCATGCATTCATTGTTGGAAAAATCGCGCGAACAATCGACTCCCAAAACGCGACATTCCGAATTGCCCAATTTCCACGCCGATGTCCCACTATTACGCGTCTTTCTCTTTCGATTACCAATTGAAGTTTTCGGGAGAGAAAAGCATCAGCTTCACCGGGGAAGGCATTCATTCATGCATGCTGATTAAGCAATCATTGATTCCGGTTTTGCTAGACTGTGCTATTGCTGCTGACATTGAAAAACACCGTTGGAGGTAGCGAGCTGCTGAAGCTAGTCAAATTGAAAAAGTCGCTTTCAGAGCCATAACTGGACATCGTTGGAGAAAAAGATGAAACAAGAGCTGAAGTTACGTTCGGTGTCATCGGCGAGAATTCCGTGGATAGTTTCGGAGTTCCACACGGGAATAACGGCGGTTTTCCGAGCACGAAGTCCAGCTCGTACGCGAAGAGTGATCCAGTTGTCAGCCCAACACTGTACGAGAGCGTCATGATATTTCCTGCACAAAATCAAACACATAATTCAAATACTCAAGAGCGAAGGAAGTCAAACAATTCGGCAGTTTCCTGATAGGGCATTTTACAGTGGGAGTGAACTCCACGAAGGCACAGACCAAAGTTTCTGGAACAGAACGGAGGTGTCACTTCATTGTCAAACTATGAACAACCTTGTCCGACCAAATTCGACATTTACAGTACTGTACTCTATTTAAAGGACTGTGAAGTTGAACTTCAAGGGACCGGCAATAGCATTCGACTTAGGGAAACAGCTATTTATTCCTGGATATGCAAGTATAAAAAAAAAATGCAGAAAGTTGAACGTTTTAATGTAAAAATTGCTCTGATCGGGCCAATTTCTGTGTCGTGGATGCTGAATGATAAGGTTATCCTGCGATTTTAATGGGTGTGTCAGAGATAATTTACCTCAGTCAGAGATGCGATTGAAAACCTTCAAAAAATAAGAGTGACTTGATTCTTATCTTGCTAATGATCCCCAGCAGTGGCTTACAAAATTCGATCTCAGAAAATTTAGGGAGGGTACCCCGAAGAACAGCGATTCGCGATACTGAGTATTGCAGAGGATTTTTCATGTTCAAACGAAAGCCGTCGCTCGGGTGTTCACAGACCTGTGAGTTCTTTAAGCTCATCAGGAACTTTGGAAGGAGCTATGATCATTGGCAAAGAACCAGCAACACCATTCGTCAATCCCAGAACGGCCGAAAACGCAACCGCCCACTTTTCTCCAGGAATCAGAGGATCATTCCTCGGGCTGACGCATAAACACATCAGTGGTATCAGCACAATGCGTGCTGTCGACAACGTTATCAGCTTTGTAACAGACCAGTTGTACGACATAGATGCCTGTATCTGTAAACGAAAAATGTATCAAACCAAATAAGAGGGACACTCTACAAAATCCCTGTACTGTACCTTCCCGATGAAATCACAGACGTTGAACGATGCCATGAGGATTACTGGCATCCATGAACCGAGAGAACAGCTCACAACCTCTGCTTCTATCCCGGGAAACAAAGTTAAGGTAACAAAATACGCTAGTCCAAGTGAGATCATGTATGGCCACACTCGTTTGGCTACTTGGCCTCTTGCTCGAATTCCACCTTGATTGAAAAGAACGAATACATGATTAAATATCAATCATCTTGTTGGAGACAGAATAACAGGAAAGTTTAGCATATTGAAAACCCTGGACCTCTCAGTAATTTTTGGTTTCATTCCTTATCGATAGACATGTTAACGGAAGCAGGAGAAAATCACGTTAGAAAAATATTCCGCGGCTCAAACATCCCGTAGACCTAAGAATCTCGCGGGGTACAAAAATCCCGCAGGAAAGCCCCGAAATATGAATTTATGCAAAAGAGGAATCCCCTTTGAAAACTACAACAAGTAATGTTCTGTACAGTATACAATTTTTACGTTTTTTACAAAATCTAAATGCAGCTTGATCGTGAAATTTAATTGTCAAATTTCAAATTGAATATTCCATGAACATTTCTGAAGCTTTCCCTTTCAGAGGCAAAGTTTACTGTGTTAGAAATGTGAACAGTTTATACTAAAATTAATGCAGGGATGAAGGCTACATATTTCTCAGGCTTCCTCATTTTTCTCTTGAGAAAAGTAATCTCAAGGTTTAGGTAATCCTAAGCCTTCAAAACCGTTGGAAGGAAACCCCAAACACACTTTTACAATTTTGAAATACACGCGATTTTAGTTCCTTCGAGATTTTCTTAACCCGCGAGATTTTTAGGTACATGGGATCATCCGCCTCGCAGGATTTTCGAGCCTCCGGTTTTTTCTCTTAAATGTGATTTTTTCATGGAGCGAAGAAATGAAGAAAGATGATATCCTCTCACCCCCAATCACGGCTAATAGCCGATGTTTCTATTAACTTTCCAATGATACGAGAGTACATTATGGGATAATCTCACGGGTGTCCAAGCGTAGAAATTTTTGTCAACATCGTTCTATTAAAACGTACAAGAATGATACACAACGAAGGGAATTCTCACTTTGAAGCTTGGCGAGAAATTTTCCTTTCCCGTAACTGAAATCCGATTCGCAATTGTGGATTTCCCCAAAAAAGTCATCAATGCAAACGTTGTTCGTAGACTCTGAAATCCGCAACGTCGCAGCTTCGCTAGGCCGACTTGAACTTCCGGAAGAACTCGTGTTCCCGGGCGCGGCCTCAAAGGCAACTTCGTAAAGCGGATTCGACACGTAGAGGTCGTTGGATTCTCCGGATGGGCTGCCTGCGCGACGCAGATGAACCGACGTAACACCTCCCAACGGAGATACTTCTCCAGCTGGCGGTTGGGTTTGCGAAGGTGATGCTGCAGACGATTGTCTCCTCGCATACTTGGTCTTGTTGGTCGCCAAATCCAGAATATCGACCTGCACAGTTTTATCTTTTTATGAGCTCAATCTTATTTTTTCAAAACTCCATGGGATAATTAGCGACACTTTAACAAATCTTCAATTATTCCTTGACACATCTCAAAGCATCATCGGATCTTGTTTTTGTTGATTTACGATGATTTGTATTTATTGGATTTCAAGATAAGCTTCATACCCACGCTGGTTTGAAAAATTATGTTAATGATACATTTTTGATTTTGAAAAAAAAAATTTTCTTCAAGATACACCGAACTTTTTAAACCACCTCTCGGATAAATAACTTCACTTAAAAGAAACCGTTTTCTTCACTGATATTACGAGCTAAATTTATGTAAGAATCGAGAATGTGAGATTCATTCCCTCATTCTGAGTACCGAAGAAAACTCCAATAATTATAAACGACTCATTCAAAATATGGCTAAATTTCTTTCAAATTGATATCTGAAAGAAAGATCAGAGATAAAAATATCCTACTTCTTCAGTCGATTCTGCATTAATCTTCATTCTCATGGATTCGTTGGTGCCAGTCGCAAGCGAAGTGCTCGAAGATTTGCACAACTGAACGTAAAATCGGACGAAATCCGACTTCTGAACGATCCCGAAAATTATGAAACAGGATACGACCACAACCACCGAAATTCCAAAAAATACAATAGTGTTCGTGCGGGAGTCGTGCATGAGAAGTTTCGTGAGGATCCTGCTCACTGAAACTATGAGACCGGCAGCACCTGAAATATTCGAATCGTTTTCACAGCACCTCATTAGTGTTCGGCAACTCTCCACAACCTACTTTCACCGGTCATCACCGCTTGTGTGTATCTGCTGGGCAGCATACTCGTGAAACCGTAGAAGCTGGATTGTTGCACTATAATGGTAAAATTTGGAAATTATACTGAAATAAAAATGTACTTTCTTATGGAAAATCTAACACACCATCGCGAAAATCAGGAAAAAGGCACAGCAAGTGTAAGAAAAGTTATTGAGCATTAAAATGATTTCCAGAAAATATGTTTCAGGCATCATTTCGCAGTTCGTCTCACACGAAATACTTCGGAATGATGAGCATTAATTCTTCCAATCACATTTAAATACAGTACAGTATATCCCATCCAATATATACAAATGCTAACATCTTTGAGCTTTCCCAGCACACTAGTGGGTATAATCTGCCAAAAGCCATCCATTTGCTCAAAGATGCATCCCTGACATTGAAAACAAATAGTCCCTGTGATATATAATAATCTCACCCGTACATCCAAACGCCACTACAGCTACAGCAAGCAGATTGACACGGTAAGCGATGTTATGCGGAAAGATTTCCAGCCAAATTTCGAACACAGCCACGAAGAGAAGGGTGCCAAAAGATATCAGGTAACCTGAAAATAAAGAAAACACAGATTTGCTTTTTGCTTCTCTCTACACGAATTTCCCGTCTTCAAATATACTGGAATTCGAAGCGCAGATATTTTCAGGAGAGTTCTATAGCTACGCCATTACTGGATCACGAAAAGTCAAACCTATCGTAATTCGAGTATTCAGAGCCAGCGCCTCCACGAGAACATTGTTGAGAAGCACAGCCCCAAACGCCACCATGATGTAAGTGAAAGACATGTCAAAAATGATGCTGCTCTGATAAAACCGCTCCAGGTAGTAATCCGCAGCGATGATAAAACTATAAAAAAAATAAAGCCATTTTATCAGTATGTATCGGAATATTTAAAATTAATTTTGGTCTCGAACCTGTTGTAAGGAAGAAGAAATCCGACGCCTGCGAGCAGGAACGCCCCATAAACTTTGTGGAAGTCATCGTGTGGAGGAGATAGTCCGTCTATATTCCGGTGTCGATTGAGAAGCTGATTCCGTCTTCTTCCTCGTGCCAATTGCACATAACCTCTGCTTAAGGTCTCATCCATTGTTACAGAATTCCCACAGAACAAGTTTAAAGAACAGGGGAAATTTTTTTTATTTCAAAAACCAGGAATGCCTCCGAGCATTTTGCAGCAATTAGTTGAGATCAATTGCTAAATGAATACTTCAGTCGTTTCTGAATCAGAAAGAAGGAATATGCCAACTAAATACCGAGATGTAGCACATTCCTGGAGAAAATTTGGCTAACACCGATCTTCCCGATGCATCAAGAATAACGCCATCACCGCGAAGATTTCATTATCAAATCTCAATCGAATGTCGTTCAATTTTTCAGTCATATCTCGGGAGTTAAAACGTCGAATTCAGAGAATCAACCTTCGAACTGATTCCCCCTCGTACAGGGCAACCTGACTAAAGCATGCAAAACTAAAGCGTCTGAATGGAAACAAAAACGCAGAAACTAACACAAACTTGAAAAGAAAGCTGATTGGAGATCAGCAGCGCAAGTGTCAGCGAGTGAGCGTCGAAAAGCCGCAGTGCAGCAGCTTGAGATCGACATAGAACGGGATACACATTTTTTAGGAGACTTCTACATTCATTGGAAATATTCTACCAGAGAAAATGCGGCTGGCGTCGGAAGTTGAACCGAAATTGATTGCGACTCATTACATAATATCATCCAAGGGTGATAAAATGAAGATACTGTTCTGACAAACTTTTCTTCCTCGTCTTATAAATTTGAATAATTTTCGCAGTTCGTGATCGCAACCTCTGCGGAAATGGGATTTGAGTCAAACTTTGTCTTTTCGAAAAAGTTTTCCGACTTCTGCATTGAATTCAAGTGGGAAAACTAAGTTCCGAAATATACCCGGGAAATTCACTCGACGTGTAACTCGGACAAAATGAACTTGAATTACGCTATGTGAGGGTACAGCACTGTGGAAAATAGGTGAAACCAGAATGATACCGATAAATAAAACGTCTATCGACTGTTAACATAAAACAAATATTTGAAGTTTATATGACAGTAACTACAATACTGTACAATGCATAGGTAATAAATTGAACAAAGGAAAATGAACTAATACACTGATGCATGCAAAAGCCAGCAGTAATTTTTCGCAAAATCATAAACGTGTCCAGCTTCATCGGGGTTCCGTGTCCACGCAGTAACCATCCATTTCTGACTGGTGTGTCTGGAATGGTGCAAGCTGAAAAATAATCGATCCACTACATTTCGATTGACATAATAATCAGAAATACATAGAAAAATCGAATAGCAATCCCACAACGGAAGAACGACCAACGAAGATTCCAACGTTTACGCTTCAAAATATCAACACCGACGTAGCTTAGGGACTTTCGACAGGTGGACTGGCCAAAGTCCCTGAACACCTCACCGTCTCTCATTTCGAGGGGTGGACAGAGAAAACTCGGATTGAAAAGGCAACGCTCGTGAATATGAGAAAACGTTTTTGAACAAAATTAATATTTAGACGATTTAGAACATTAAAAATTAGACGCACCCAGTTTTAGAACGATTCCACACGTAAGAAGATGACGCCGAGCATCTTTTGACAATCACAGCCCCGGAATGGAACGCATCAAATCATGGCAATGTAGTCCATTCTTCACCAGAATTCACGCCGTGAAGTAAGATTATCTGCGGAAAAGAAGAGCAATGGTCAACTGCTAATCCGTACATGCAAATTCAGCGCGTTACATAATGGAGATGGATCATAATGTAAAACAAAGTACCTTGAACGTTTATATTCAGAAAAACGACTGATGAAGTGAACATCGAACTTGATTTCTTATCGAATGTAAGCTCCCTAAAAGGTATCCTTGACCATGAATTCGAACTCTGGTTAGAACAACTAAGTCAGTACTGTTTTACGATTCAATGCGTCGGAAAATGATTACAGGAACGGGGGAGCGCAAGCAGATCAAAAAACATTCATACCCACAGGATATGTCAACGAAATGACGATATCTTCGAGAACCGCGGAGGAGGCCTCTCCGTGCGAACGGAGACTGAGTCTGTCTTCCATTTCCACATCGTCGCGATCATACTAGCATCCATTCTCTCGAACACTGTAGAAATCGAAATTCGAAAAGTCCGCAACACAGGCGGATTTAATCGGATGGTAGAATTTTTTGTATGCACCCGACAAATCTAATCACCCGATTACAGCCATCGATGTCCCAGGGGAATTTTTGAAACTGAAGAAGTGCAGGAACTGCGGAAAATAATTGACTGCATGGTACCAGTACTGTAATTGGTCATCAACTGATGAAAGCTGAAGCACAACCAGTTGAATCTGAGGCAATTACAAAGCTTGGATGGAACCATGGGACCAACACCGTTTCACTTCTACAACCCTTTCGCAGTTGATCCGCATAAGCTACTGTACGGCTCAATTCACAGAAACATAAATGTACATATGTACGCAATACTGCACTGTACTGTACATTTTAGGAAAATCGTGAACACCGCCATCTTCGCAAATCGAATGACTTACTGCGATTGTTCTATTCCAGATGACGTTCCTTTGCTTTTCATCACACATGTACCTGTCGGGCACAGAAATTTCTTTACTCCGTATACGCGCAGCCAATTCAATCTAGGACAAAGAAAATTGAAAAAAACGAACGAATGGAAACTTGGTTTCCAAAGCAAAGAAATTACTTGTCCTCGAAACAAGCAACTTTTATGGAACAGGGTTGACGTCTGAGAGGTTCCAGCACTATGAGAGTTGACTTGAATAAAAGCTCTATTACATAGATCGGAAGTCAAAAGGGTCGAGGAAATCGACACTTCCAACGCAAATCGGAAATAAATGAAAATACTGTAGGGCCTATCAGCACAATCGAATTTACTTTCAAGTTCCAACACAAACAGTTCCAGTTTTTAAATTCAACAAATCAAGATTTTCCAGCTTCTTGTCGGTTCTCCCAACCACCCAGTTGTTTCTCCTCTTCGTCGATCAATTTTTCAGCAAGAGATGCACCACTGATCGTCTTGTAAGCCATCATTGCCTTCGGAAGGAAAAATTAATTTCCAATATAGCGCAACACTTTGAAGTAGTTCACAGGAACTAGGCATTAAATAATGCAAGATAATACAGGTAATTTTTTCAAACATCGCTTCATGCACGAATTGCCATATAACGGCCCGTATTCCCTCAACACCTGATATTACCTCCTAGAGACCTAGACTAACAAGCTAACACCGAAACAACCAACCAGGTCAAAATTGATGAAAGTCAGCCAAATTTAACCCAATCCACCACCAACAAGAAGAAACATTAGTCGCGGTCTTTCGACAGTTTACAGGAAGACACGATGAACTGCAGCGTAATGCGATGAGAATACATGAATAAAATGTTTCAATGATTCTTTACTCAAGTCTCACCTGAGTTACCATTGCAGGCACGTCAGATGAGTTGGAGGGTAAAATGAGAGTATTCGATGCCTTGGCTAGTTTTCCAAACGCTGCTACATATTGTTCAGCAATCGATAATGATGCCGCATCCATTCCATACTGTAATATGGAATAATAGTTATACGCAACAATAATAAATCTCCTCATCAAAGAAAATCCACAAACCGATCCACGTAATCTTTCAGCGACAACTTTCAACGCATCGGCTTTCGCAGAAGCTCGAGCTTTAATTGCGGAAGCTTCACCTTCTGCTCTGTTCATTTGTTCTTGTTTGTCAGCTTCGGAAGCAAGGATTCTAGACTGCTTCCGGCCTTCGGCAACGTTGATTTCAGCTTCTTTTATACCTTCCGACTCTAGAATAGCAGCTCGCTTTTTTCGCTCTGCTTCGACTTGCATTTGCATTGCTTCTTGAACCCTTGTCGGCAATTTTATGTCGCCTGTAGGTTGAGTTATTCATAGACGTCTTAAGTAATTTAAAAATCATTAAATAAAACACAGAAAAAAACTTACGGATTTCGTAACGAAGACAAGCAATACCCCAAGAATCACTCGCCTTGTTGATTATTTCAACTATTGCCAAATTCAAGCTTTCACGTTCTCTAAAAACGTTATCTAGCGGAATTTTCCCGATTTCTGATCGCATCGACGTTTGTGCAATTTGAGTAATCGCGAACTCGGGGTCTTCGACTCCGTAACTTGCCTTGTATGGATTAGTTACGCGAAGGTAGAGAACGCCGTCCAAATTCAGCGTCACGTTATCTGTGAAAAAGAAATACTGGTCTTGTACTTATTGTCACAAAGTTACATGCGATACCTCCCAAGAAATTCTGGTAAATATTAAAGTATCTGGCACAGAAAAACACTTACCACTAACGACAAAAATTCCATCATAAAATAGGTTACTTAGTGAAGTAAAATTTCGAAAAAGGGCTTAATGAGCAAGTCTTGGCAGAGCGGGTGCGTCTTACAAGACTAAATGAGGAATTTCCGCATGTATATTCGAAGTACTCCGTCCAAAACGACTAATGAACTCATATTGTTCGGCAATCGGCTCCGTGAACATTGTCATATCGTCACATAAACCGCTGATACATTTCAGAACTGACCTGAAGTAATAGCAGCTTGCTTGGGTATATCGATGGCGATTTCTTTCAAGCTCTGGACATACCTAATTTTGTCTATCATAGGAATCAGGACGTTCACCCCCGGTTGGAGGATGCGATAAAATCGGCCCATTCTTTCCACAACCCACGCCTGAAACATTAAAAGGATCGTAAAAATTGTGTGAAGGCAAAGATAATTGGACTACCTCTTGTTGCGGAACGAACAATACTCCAGTATTCATGGGCATCCGTGAAGCGAATCTCACAGATTGTAGGGGCTTTCCGGTTGACAAACTTGATCTTATGCTTCGCTAAAACATAAGTTTACTTACGTAGAACCATTATTCATAATAAAATAATTCTAAGAGAAGCTCATACCAACAACGGTGAACCCTTGGCACAATTTCGAAGTAAATGGCTCGTTTCTACCGCTAACGTCCCAGCCATTTCGGAGTATGTACCTGCTTCCTGTTCGAGGGAGGAGACAAATTTTTGAATCCAATGGAAAATCTGTTTGACCGAATTCACCCGTGCAATAAATAACGAACTCTTCTTCGATTTCAAAAAGATGGGTTTTGATCCAATGTTCCTTTCGCACTTCCGCGTATACCAACCAATGTTTACTCGCTTGCAAACCAAGAACAACCAACAGCTACAAAATGGCATCAGGTTCAAAATTTCCCGCGACAGTGAGAAAAAATGCTCGTCCAAAACACACAACAGACGACTCATCACAGGGACTCAGTGGAAAAAAAGGAATACAAAAAACGACAGAAGGAAAAACTGTAAACAAATGACTCGAGATCCAAGGGGCGCGAAAAATGCGCGATTCAACCAGCTGCGCCGTATCATTCAAAATTTACTCAGATCCTTCCATGTATTCACAATTAAACTCCAAAAAGAAAAACTCTAAAACGTCCGAGATTCCAACTGAAATGAGGTTCAAAAACCACTTATAACTGATCGACAATGAATCAAATTTTGGACCAATCTCCTGAAACTCACGGATGCCTACGTTCCTACCAAAACGATAGATGGCAAGCAACTATTCCCTGTTCGAAGCAACGAGATTCACGAACAATTGAAACTGGATAAGCAATATTAGAGCCCCCTCTCATCAAAATGGATGGGGGGATTTCAATCTTTGTTTTTCCGAGTTGCAGTTGCATGCCCACATTTTTAATACTCACTCAGACCGAAAGTTTACCACCATAAACAAAAAACGAACTATTCATCTTACTCCAAAGGAGCACGATTGAAGGTCGGAATCTCATTGGACCTCCCGTCTATTGCTCCGCACTGAGCTTGTTTCTTCTCGAAATTTTTCATTGCTGTTTTGTATCTCTCAAATTCATTGCACCAATCAGAGTACACTTGCTGAAAATCCTTGGACTTTGACGGAGCCAAACACTTTTCCTCACCGACCGTAATGTTGTAGGATGACAACGTTTCTGCGCCGAGTCTGCAGTCGTACCTCCCACTGTCTCTTCCGTTTATTGCGACGATTACCAGGCCTTCGTCCTGTGTTGCAATGTATTTCCACGAACTGCATTCAAAGAATATAAACTGTATTTTTCTCAGTCAACCGAAATTTCTATCAATTCAGAAGATTTTTTCCTTTGCAAAATTCCATCCATGGAAGGCAATCTTCAACAACTCACTTCAGAGTCACAGGATAAAGAGATCCAACAGTTGGCTGTTTGTACCAGGTAGGAGGCCTATCGTTGATTCTCCAGTAGCTTTTCGAGACTGGACAATTCAAGTGAATCGTTTGGCCCCAATGAGCAGCGATATGTTTTGACTTCAAACTGGTTTCGCATATACCAGGATTTGCATCAGGTACGTCTTGGATCAGTCTAAAAATCATTCAAATTTGAAGTTAGACTGGCAGCGTATTAATCAGCATACGCCGACAATTAATGATAGTAATCAGCTCGCAATGATTCTCGTAAATACGAATTCCTATCACATCAGGACTTGCTTGTCTTCAGCCAGCAAGAAACTAAGTGCAATACATAATATTCTTGGGCATTTAGAGATATCAAAAAAGAATATCGAAGGCCAAAAAATTCAGGAGACGATTCTTGAGCGGCTTTGCTGATTTTACACGGTAAAGCTATCAATATATGCCTCTCGATCAATCAAGTTTGATACAATAAATCTTTACAAATTTTCGCACTAAAACTTTGATCTGAAAAATTCCATTAGAATATCGATCGAATTATAAAGGGACGATCGAGTCGGGAGCCCAGTCTTCAAAAAAAGGACATTACAGTACAAGTTTCTTCAGAACGAGATTCCTCGCATTGAAGATACGAGGAATTTTTTTATTCACCACGAGGACTTAGTTTCCCCAAGACGCAAGAGTAAAATTCCAGGTGCGAGTAATTCAAGTTGAATGCCTTTCAGTACAATGTAAACACAAAAAATAAAGGTACAAATCATTTATGAATGAACAGTCGGGCACAGAAATGGTACCTCGGTCTGATTTTTTTTCTTCTTGGAGTTGAAAAATGCAAGAATTTGGCTGGAGAAATGGTCATGCAATCAAATGAACGACTCTTATTTCGAAAAGACGCGTAATCCATGAGTTGATACGGTAGGCCAGTTATTGAATAACAATATAAGACAATTTGTAAGAGATACTGTATAGTTAATGTCATAAAAACTCACCCAGGAAAATACGACCTACACAGGCCCAATTCATTGTCCCAACCACAGTAAGGATCTCTAACGCATCCAAAGCAGCTCTTGTAACGTAATTCGCACATCTGCAAACTGACCTGCTTGATCTCCGAATTAGAAGAAACATAAATAGACTTGTGCTGTAACAAAAATCATTTTCATTAACGAAACCGAGGGATCACAAATGTTTTTTCACAGAACCACAAACCTTGGTAGATAGTTGCATAGCGTTGACGGGTTCAGGAGTTGTGACCGGGAATGTATCCACAAGCCGAGATTCTGCTCGGCCAACTTCGTCAAACCACTGTGCGATTTTGTACACTTCCCCAGTCTGAGTTCCCACAAAATATACCGTGAATTCGCGACGATCTGCAGCTACTCCCGCGGTCACAACATCCACAACAAGCTTCGTCAAGACAATATTTCGTTTAAACCACACAGGCCGCTGGTTTTCATGTTCGACAGAATCGTCCATTAACGGGTGCGACCGAATAAAATTGAGGACTGCGTCTTGCAATTTGTGAGTATCATTGACACATGTGCCCGGTCTTGGGGTAGGAACCTTGGATTTCAGAACAGGCAACCAGGCAGACGTTGAACTTGCTTGTTCTTTGAATTTTCCTTCGAATGCTTTATCAATGGAGTCCATGGTAAAAACGCAAATTGCGGAGCCGATCAACCCATTCAATGGGGTTGTGAATGTAGCATAAAATTTTCCAGTCCTGCCCGGAATTTCGTAAACGTCTTGAATTTCGTTGAAGTAAAACGGGAATTCGCCAGGAATAGAGCAATTCAAACGTGCTTTCAAGTAGGTCACCCAGTTCTGATTGAGAATGTGGCGTCCACCTGTATCTGACTTGCAAATACGCCCAACGCGCGAATAAACGACTTTGCCACAATTGATGTATTCCACTGCAGTTTCTCGGAAGAAGAAATAGACATAATCGCCCACGTCGAAAGATCCAACGAAATTTGGTTCTGAAATATTGTATCACTCATAAGCAACAAATATACAGTACGTTTAGATTTGAAAGCAACTTACTGTCAAGCCAATTTGAATCATATTTGATGGTTCGCTTGAAGGGAACATTTTTTCGACGCGTCTGACGATCGTACAAGTCCATACGAAATATGACGGTATCTGCTTTCGTAAATTCTGCGACAGTACCGGAGTACAGCCCTGGTAATCCACCAGGATTTCCATTCTCAATCCAAATAGCTGTCGAATTATCCCGAGGATCAAAAGGACATTTCGCAATGCCATCCCCAACACCAGGAACATGCTCTCGGCGGGATATCAGCGTCAAGTTTCGATAGATCACCAAATCTTTCGGCTGATGAGCACTTGTACCACATATGTACAAGCGTTCCCCGTCACCCATGGGTTGGATGACGCGAATGTGGTTGCGGCAATCGAACTGTTCAGTTTTTCCTTTGGCCACACAGTCCTCAATATTTGTAGCTTCCAAACGTAATGAGTCACCCTAAACAAAAATTACTTTTTCATACTTTGGCCAGGAAAATGTAAAATAAATTTTGATACACACCGTGCAACTTGTTGAATTCACATTCCCGAGGTTCAACTTGAATACATAATCCATGGCACCGACATACAGGAAATTTCGAGGTTCATCGAGGAAAAACGTATGGTAGTAAAGCTGTCCACAATTAAAGCTTTTCATGACACCTAAACAACAAATGGGAAATTAAGGAACTTCATTTAGAAATTAAGAAAAACTTCGAAAATACTTACTCGACGGAAGATCGTCATGCTGAGCCGCTATAACCGTGCCAAACACAACAAAATAAACGGCAAGATTTTTGGCGACCGATAGTTGCTTCGACGCCATTTCTAGGCGGCTATTCAACAGAAAAGAGAAAAATTAACCCTGCAGTTTACAGTAATACGTGAGAACAGACAGCTTCAACACTCTAATATCCCCGGGCGAATACAAAATAAAAATTGCTGGATCAATTTAAAACTACAACAAGCACTGACCCACCACCTTGGCGCGTTACATACATCACTTTACACGTTCAAGTTCGAAGAAAAGCATAACTTGCTCAAGCGTACACCGAACATTTAAAAAATGGACCATTTCCTCCAACGATTCTCGACGTCGCACATCATACACCTCTCGCACGACCACACACTCGCCTCGCCTCACCACAGACCCTCTAAAACTGAATCTCGACATCGATTTTCCGAAACAAATGGTCGAAAAAGAACTTACAGGCGAAAGCGGGTGGGATCCTTGACGTTCCAAATGAATTGTACGATATTGTACTGTACCTGGTTTAATTTAGCTTATGGCGGGTTTTCATGCAATAAAAGGATATCTTATAATCGGATGGATCACGGGTATAAAGTACTGTACTGTAATGCTCGAATATCCATACTGTAATTGGCAATCTATGCACGCGCATTTTCAATGATGACCTGACTTGAGGTAACCAGAATAACCTCCTCGAGGTCTACATGTTTTTTTCTGCTTGGAAAATATAATCCAATAAATTCTTGTTCAAAGGCTTTATAGTAATATTTGAATATATATTAATGTACACAACAGTTCGTCTTTCAATCTGAAGGACACCATAGTTTTAGTCCAGGGATAAAAAAGTATTAATTTATATATATGCTATATGTAAGAACTGCATGCATCATCACAATAAAATAAGGATGAGAAACACAGACATCATGTTCCACCTTACCATCAAATACTGTAAAGTTACATACTGCACATAAAAATCCCCTGTAATTATAATTTCACATTATTATAAGCCACATCATATATGTGCCATCTGCAAGGACAAAGTCCAGTATATACTGGACACTAATACAGTTTATAAAACGGTATGTTGAATGCTGTGATCCTGTGAAGAATGCAAAACCATCATTTAATTATGAAAAGTTTAATTATTCAGAATTGCACAGAAACCATATGCAGCGCATCATATAATTCTTGACAGGACTGAGAATACTGCATCACATTACATGAAGACATCATCCACATACTCAAACAGTAGAAATGTACACTTGAGTGGACTTCTTGCCAACATACACAGCATTTATTCATTTTTAGACCACAAAAACATTGAGACACGTGGCTGAAAAACTGTTATCTTCTGTCCATTAATTTCTTTGCTTTAAAGCATGAAATACTCAAATAAGAGGTCATGCACTGTAATAAAATCAAGTCACATTTGGTATTACAAGTTACTATTGGAGTTTTGGTACTGAAACCTTTAGAAGAGAAAATGCAAAGCATCAAATTGTGCTCACAATAAAAAGAACATTCAATGTAAAATTTTCAAACATACAATGTAAACAATTGCTCCTTCATGTTCTTACATTGGTTGGCAATAGCTGATAATCTATTGGCAACTGAAGCAATTCAAGAATTTTGGATGTTAACAATATCAGAAAACAATTGGCCCCCTAGTGTAGCTTTATAAGTACAAGGGTTCACCATATTCCTTGATGAATTATCTGTATTTCACCCAGAATTAAATACAATATCATCAACAGAAGATTTTGTTCAGTTTCTCAAGTTCATCATCAATAAAGGCAGAGAAAAGATTCTATAATTACTCAATTTTTTGATTCAAGTAAATTACTAGCTGATCTTGCTTAAGGTACATAAAACTAAACCATTACTATTTGTGACATCTAACATCCCCTTGGTACATGATACCATAACTCTTTTGACAAACTTGTGGCATTTTAATATAAAGTTCATCAAATTCTCAAAAATGTCCGAGTGGTGTCATTTTTGCACTTCAGAGACATTGGTTGATTCATCACCACAGCACCTTCTCTTCTCATGCCCAGCATTCCACAGCTACAGCAATGAGCTCCAAAAAGATTTTGGACACTTACAATTCCATGAAGACTCTCTCCAAAATTTTAGAGGTCTAAGATAATCTGTTAACCTTATATGATTTCTCATCTAAGAGTCTCTCCAAATTGTTTAATCATCTAAACCAGGGGTGCCCAAGATACGGCCCGAGGGCCAGATCTGGCCCGCAGAGGCCTTCAAACTGGCACGCGGACCATCCCAACAAAATTGCCTGTGCTTTAAAGATATCTAGCAAAATTTTCCTGTTTTCAGCATGTTTTATGATACATTTTCATTATTCTTTCTACGAAACTCCTAGCAATAATTTCCTTGATCCTTTCAGTCTACATACAAAATACCAAAGAATATGTTTGGATTTTTGGAAGCTTCCAGAATTTTCAGTTTTCAGTCAGGAAGTGTGCATTCAAAGTTGCACACTCCCTGCTCCTTTGCTTTCAATTGGGACATGCACCCAGCTTTCTGTAGCAACTTTTCTCATTTTCAGGAAATGTAACATAAATGAAGCATAATTCATTTATTTGCACTACATTTTTTAAAGAAAATCAATTGAGAGTACCATGCATTGTGCCAATATATATTTGTAATGAACTGAGTATTATGTTGTTAGTTCTTCATAGTGTTTAGGAATATGTGATTTTTTGTGCTGGGAAATATGGAATAAGGATGAGAAAAAATGCACTTGAAAAGAAAAGTCTGAGTTGAATTACAGCTCTTCCTCCCGAGAAAAAAATGAAAATATAATTTTTCTTTTTCAAAAACATGCCAAGCACAAATATGGTTTGAGCACTATGAGATAAACGAAAAATGCTGAAGGATTTAAGGGTAAACAATGCTCTTCTGAAGGTTAAAGGAAGTAATCAATAAATTAATTTTTCTTTTTCAAAAACATGCCAAGCACAAATATGGTTTGAGCACTATGAGATAAATGAAAAATGCTGAAGGATTTAAGGGTAAACAATGCTCTTCTGAAGGTTAAAGGAAGTAATCAATAAATAATTTCGCTTTCAACAAGGTTTTGAATAAAAAAATTGGCTGAAAGCAGTGACACACAAAAAATTGAAAGTTAGTACAGTGTTTAACAAAGAACGGAAAAACAAATATTCCTTCACAACCTCCACAAAATGCTTTGCTTTTTTGTCATAAAACAATTTCAGTTTCCAAGGAATACAATCTTTGCTGGCATTATAGGCCCAAACACAAAGACTTGAGCAATATAAATTACTCTGAGAATTGCCAAGCTTGCTCAAAAAAGGACTCATTTTTTACTTTTTTAAATTCAAAGGACTCTAACATTTTGAAGTTTATAAAGAAATTTATTTATTTTTACCATTGTGGCCCACAGAAAAGTCTTGCTTTTCAATGTGGCCCTTGACCACTTTTGAGTTGGGCACCACTGATCTAAACATTATCAAGGAGCAGTTTGAATACCTTGTGCTTTAATTTGGGTTTAGTAATTGCTTTATGCTGCAATTTGTATTATTGATATTTTTTTTCTGAAAACAGAGAAAGGAAAAAAGGGTACATATTTATATCAGTTATGCAGTTTCACTTTTTGGGATGTACAGTATCTTCTTTTCTTTTAATATCCATGTACATCTTCTTTCTCCATTTTCCATTCTGGTGTGAAAATGTGTTTGGATGAATGTGGGTGGGGAGGGGAGGGGGACTAGATTTGGGAACTTTGTTTAAACCTTGTGATTGCTAAAAAGCAGAAAATAAAGTTTGATGTTCAATTCGATTCAAAATTTAAAAATTGGTCAAACCTTTTTTTCAAGAACATCGAGGATCCATGAATCCAGACTCAACCTTTTCAGATCTCAATAAACGCACCAGAATTCCGTCAGAAAATGATGAACACAATTCCAGTTCCCAAGACGTTTCTATAGTTTTAATACAAAATGATCCTAAAAAATAAAATTGCACAAATCCACCTTCTGAAACTATCGAACACACTCCTGCTCCTGAACACTAGAAAAAAAGTAATCCCCGTAGCTTTCAGTCAAAACGGGGAATTCATGCCTAATTTGGTTCCAAATTCCAGCCGAGCCCTCTTCAAGTACCGCACGGTAACTCTGAAAATTGGAACAAACTATTAATATCCGGGAACTTTCGAAATCGGCATACAGCACTCACAAGATTTCTCTCCGCTTGACACCTTCGTTGATCACAATCGCCAGCATGGGCCACAAGCCAGCAATTATAATAGCCCACAAGGGTATACTTATGCTTGGCCCGTCTTCAAGATCTAGGTTTGATACGAGATCAATCACACTGAATAATACCTGCATCATCACTCTGAAAAAAAAAAAACCAGAAATATCAGATAAACCCATAGTCATTCAGAAACAACATTTCCCTGCGAAAAGGGGAATTTCCGTTTCACACTTCCAACTAACGTTACAGCTTACAAGGCAACATTTTAAAGACACAAGACGAGAACACTATCGCGTTTTTAAATACAATATACGCCCAAACCTTTGAACAACAACATAGCACCAAACACAATTATGCAACATGTACTAACCCGAGAACAACACCACAGCACCAAACCCGATTATGCAAAGGGTTCTTCGTCCATATTTGATCAACTCTGTGCACAAAACTCACAGAAACAGCAGCTGTGAAGCAAACAAATTTTCAATGACAAAACACTCCTCAAACTAAATACAGCACAGAGAACTCACCGTAATAAAGAGCTATCAAAATAGCGCACAAATTTTGCGCCATGAGCAAAGGAACAGCTCCGTCTTGATTCCAACCTCCCCAAGTTCCAACATCCCCAATTTTGAACACATAAACGCAATGTTCACCCCATCGGGTGGTACAAGTCTCTCGCAAGGTCAACAAGAAAATCGCCAAAACAGCAAATATAGAGGGAAAGAACTTCATTCCATAGAACCACAGCGCATAAAGGAAGAGCTGAAAATTAAAAAAAACGAGTTTGTAAAATTAGGCATTCTGGAAGATAATTCTTGATTTACGGAAAATAGGCACAAAAAAAAGGAATTCCATGCAGAAACGTCAACCATCCCTGTATCTCCAAGATTAGGTGATAGGAATCGAAATTTACAGAAAGTAAATCAAGAAGGTTTGAAATCCATTGCTCGAAGCTTGTGTAGAGAAATGTCTTGCCTTGCAACTAAAATAATGATTTTACACATAAGCGATCAACCTCGAAACCTTTCGTAACATCGCGCGAGAACACATAGCATTCAGGAGAGTTAGCACGAATCAACACAATTACATTCAAAATTTAATTACAATAGTGACTCCCAACGCCATTGTCATTCATCTGCTTCAAAACAACCGTCATTTTAATGAGGTTTTTAAATTACCCCAGACTAGTCTACACGAATTGAAACTTGTTGTTCTCTGAGAAAACTGCCCGACAGCTACTTGCAGTCTAAAAAAGCCAGGAAAACGAAACTGAATAAATACTCGCCTCAGAATTCGCCGTAGTTTGCAGCTTTCCAGTTGGATTTGTCATGACACGATCATCGACTGGATTGGCAACCAACCCAACGGCCAGCATTGGGGATATGATCGAGCCCAAAGTTAGCAAATGATTGGGTCTCAGGATCGGGGGCAGCAAACAGCAACTACTAAATAACATGATCAAACACAATCCTCCGGAAGCACAAAGCCAGAACTGGAGCGCATTTCTCGCGTTTTTCATGAAATTTCGAGCCTGGATAAAAAAAAAAACTCGATAATTGAGACGGCACTTTTCTTCCGCACAGCTAATCTGACTTACTTCACTGATCAATTCAAATATCACTAAAGGCTCTCCCGTTCGGAAGCTCAAGGCACAAGGTAGCGACATGATCAGGTGACTGACATCCGTCGGACTCGGCATGCCTTTTGCACTTTCCTGCTCTGTAGTTACCGGCACTTTCATACAAACTTGTGGATAAAGCGGTTCAATGCCCAACCTGAAAAAAGATACATTTTTAAAAATAAATGCACAATAAATAAATTGATGAAAAAATCAATTAAGTATACTGTACAGTAATCAAAAGAAGCAAATCCCTTCAAGGTTGAGGAGTTTTTTCCAATTCATAAAAATTTATACAGAAAGAAAATATGATATGAAAAACGGAGTTTCACGTGCCTCACAATAGAATAAACTTGCACTAAACAAAAATTAAATCATAAAGGGTGACCCAAAAAGAGCGAAAAGTTGTAAAATTATAATGATGCCCGCTACAACTTTCCTCACGGAATAGAACGCATTGCGATGATGTCCAACAGATCAAGTCTCAAAAAACTACGATTACTAAATTGATCTTATACTATCTCATAATGATTAAACTACAGTAATACAAGAAAAGGTAAACGGGTGCTTGCTCAAAATTTATTTTTGAATGGCCGGTGTTCCATATCAATTTTAGATAATGCACCAAACTGTTGCACTAATTATAAAAAAACTCTCCGAAGCCTCAATGATGTAATTTTTTCAAGTAATCATTTCTGAAACACCCAGAAACCCAGAATATGTTGCATACAAATCTCCGACGTCGCGACTTTTCAGACGCATCCTGATTATTATTTTTTGAATAGAAAGGGAAAAAGAGTGCACTCCTTACTGGCGTAAATACTTCAAAATCAGCAATTCTGATTATTATTTTTTTACTTATAGAAATAAAATCTACGTTATTTCTGAAACGTTTCCCGTCGGTACTACTCACGCAGCGTCAGCTTGTAGGAATATTTCCGTATTGTGAGCCGATGCAGTGGAACCCAGAACACAAACTACTTGGTCGTAATCCTGCATTATCCGCACCATTTCTTCACACGCAGATGGGGTACAATCCGTGAACAAACTAACCAACAACGGAACGTTGTCCACTTGATTCAAGTGTGGTCTGATATTCTCAATACCTCGCGGCAACTTCGCCTAGATTATGATAAAGAACAATCAAGTAGCAGAATTACAACAGAAGGTGGGGGAACACACAAGAAGAAAAAATGTGACCCACCCTGTTGGACATGTCGAAGGGAACTGGGGCGGTTTGATCCGTGCTATCGGTGAAATGACTCGACTCCTGAGAAACCGACGAAACTGCTTTTCCCATGCCTGAACTGTTCCTCATTTCTGCTGCAATATCTTTATCTACGGCTTCGACGAGTTGCATATCGTTGATCGTCTCCTTGCTAAAATACACAGCCTCACTCACGTTTCGCTTGCTACGTAAAAATTCAGAATACAGAAAAGTAGAAAAATTAGAATCCAATAAAAATCGAATTCTGTACAACAATCCATAGAAGTACATTCAATAAAAGTAAAGTAAAAAGGGAATTTTTTGTTTTACCCCCGCTTGTCCAAAATCGTAATGTACTATACTGTTTTTTGTTTTAGCTAAAAAAACATGTTTTCCAATGTAATTTGTAAAACGTTTCGCGATGTTCAATTTAAGCTAGGTTTGCAACGCACAATTCATTTCTCGATAGCCACGATAAATTGAGAAAAAAAAGAAGAATGTGGGTAGTAGAAAATGAGTAGAAATTATCAACTCCAAACGTTCAAGCCTCTGATTTGACGGTTCATACTCAGGCCTTTATGTTTCGTTGACACAGAACATATATGATCCGGTTGTAACGGTTATGCTTTATACGGGTTCGGGATTCATGCAGTAAATGTATCATGGTCGAAAATTATACAGCCGGGATGAATCGGGGGAAGAGGAAAAATATTTGGATAAACGCACTGTTGGATAACGGTTGTGTATTCGAAGACGTCATCGTCTTGTTGCGGAACTTCGAGATTCATGTTGCTCGGCGCAGAAAAGCTGTGTGGCTTCGCTTCCACAAGGCTGCCGGCTCGTTTTTCACGCCTGGTTAACACAATTGAACAGATATTTAAGAGGAAAAAAAAAAGCTGAACGCTCTCGTAAACTTCTTAAAAGATCCTTCGAAATCCAGCAGAAACTGGAGGTTCGACGCGTATAAAAAGCATCGCATCAGTTGAAATTATGATCCCCCTGAAATCAACACGCATGAAACTCTAACATCAAGCCGGTAGGAACAACAGAAAGAAAAAGGAGTATTCATGCAAACTAAGAACAGGTGCGTTAATGAAAACAATGAACTAAACCTGAACGACGGTTTCCGGTCTTCAGATCGACTAAGTTGTGACGACTGACGAGTGACTGCGTCCTTGCTGTTAACCAGATCTGATCTGTGAAGAATACAGACTCGCAGGCTGACAAAGCATGCTAAACAAGTTAACTCCAATTATTTTTTCTTCAAGAAAACAGTTACTCAGGACGGGACACGGCAAGAAAAGCCTCCTTCTCTCTCAAATATTTGACATCCTCGCCGGCTACAGTAGAACTGAGGAGCAGCATTTAATTTCGACTTTCTTATCCGATTCATTCTTCCTTGGACAAATCAATAAAGAATTTTTAAAGAAAAGTTAAGGGGCGAGGCAAGAAATGCCCGTTCAACGGTTACAGAGATTCCCAGCAGTCTACGGGAAGATAGATTTCCCTTTTCAATAATAAAAATACCCCCAGGTTTTTAGAGGACACTTCCAGGCTTTCCCACCAGAACTGGAGTACTATAAGGCACAAGATGTGGGACCACTGCAAACGCTAGGCAAACTTAAATAAATGGTTCAATTGAACGGAATCTTTTTTTTTTTGAACACAAAAAAGTTCAGGAATTGCTAAATAGTCTAAATGAATACATGTTTGCTTCGTGTTATAATGAAAAAAGTACAGTCCTAAGAAAGTAAAATACTTAGAAATCTAGTAAACCATTCTGTACGATCTAGTCTGGAAGACGAGAAAACTAAAGCTCCACCATTTTCGATCCCCAGGTTTTTCTGCAAAGCAGAGACACAACTAGGAAGAACCACGGTTACACAGCATTCCCGTACGAATCACGGAAGCCACTATCAACATCCTAAGCAGGTAATTAATATCTCAACACCTTAGTATAAAAAAAACCGGAACAAACCGCAAACTGATGAGTCCCACTCACTTGTTGGATTTCATTTCAGAAAGAAGCGATACGTGGCAGTTCCAGCCACTCTCCAAGCCCATCTTCTCGCTGAACACCCGTGAACGTAATTCATTCTCCTTGCTGAAGTGCACAAATCGGATACAAGCAGTCTCGAGTTGTTCAACAAGGTGAACGAGAGGAGGACGAGCCTATTCATGGAAAAGACAGACACTTCATAATTTTTCAAAAGAAACCTTCGCCAGGATAACTATAATCGGCTGAGGAGAGGTTGATGGCTCGATCATCAGAACGGATTTTTATCCAAAATCTTAAAGAACAATATTACCGTGTTTCCCAAAAATTTATGCATTTGCGAAATATTTTATACAGTATACTGCACCGTAAATATTTAAATCATACGATGGTCAGTCTAAAGTAAATTTCTCATTCATCACAAAAATGACAAATTTCACAGGAATTCGAGGCACTAATGAATCACGTTCATCGATATATTTAGCTTTCCAGGATTCCGTTTTCTTGTTACCAACTGAAAAATGTATGAGGATTCCCAAACTCGCCAATCAAAATACAAGAAGTATCGTATCTTGAAAATTATTAGGTGCCTTTAAATTAATAAAAATGTATATGAATCTTGATAACTTGAACCTCCCCAGGTCGAATTTGCTTCAAATTCCTATCTTGATTCCCTTAAAAACAATGCACGGATAACCTCTGTAACTCGAAGGCTTTTCCTCTCAAACCTCCGTAAGTCAAATTTTCTGAAACTTTTCGGCAATAAAAATGTAAATTGATGCGTTTTGAAAGTAAGTGAAAGACTAACTAGGCAAATGAAACCCTGCCTCGAAGTTCAGCATTCTGTTAACTCATTCCAGAAGCAATTTAAGGCCCCAGATATCACCATTTGAAGTTTCCTGAAATTCGTCTACATGCCTCACAACAAAAATATGCTTGTTTCCCCAACTTGAAACCTCCCTAAACAAAAACCTTCTTAAGTCGAATTTTTTCCTGTCCCTTGAAATTCGACTTAGAAAGGTTACATTCTATAATTATATACAGTATTGTGATGATTATTTACGGGGGAAGTAAGATACGGATTCAAGGCAGCAAATGATTTCACCTGGTATTGCATGGTTACCATCCCAAGAAAAACTTGCTGACTCTGTGCCATCAAACAAGCCCAAGCACTGGAAGATGCAGGCTCCTGGTTTGCTTCGGTTATGTCGAACGGACAGTTGGTCATCAAAGAATCTATGAGGGGAAAAGTAAAGAAAAGTAAATCACATTGCAGTACTCACTGAAACTGAGTACCGTAATAATGAAGTATAAAACCAAAATACAGTACTAGTTAAATCACAGGATTAGGTAACACACCATTGCTCATATACTGTCCCGAAATAGACCGCATTTGACCAAGTTTTCCTCCAGGACCAAGGATTTCACTTTGAACCAGAGGAATCGGAGTCGGAGACTGAGTATAGTTTACTTGATGACCTTCGGGTGGCAGTTCGAGATATTTCATGGACACGTCTCCGCCGAGCGGGAACAGGATAGGACAGTACGCAAATGCGGTGCAATACGCAGTCAAGCTGCTCCGATGATAAAAATCCAACACCTTCTTCCTACGAAAAAAAAAGAATACAATACAACTTTTACACATTAGCGAAATTTGACTTACTCTAAAATGAAAGGAAAAAAGTAAAAATTCTGACATCAAGATTAACTCAGCGGAAGTGAATATTGTAACACTGTACAGCACCAGGGTTGTCCCAGTTGGGCGCGGCCTCCGATATTTTCAGAGTAGGCGCGACTGAAAAAAAATTAACGAAATAGTAAATGATGTTCCAAGGTTGTGGGAGTTTTTTTTTGGGTTTTAAAGAGGTTTTTATTTACTGAATGATAAAAGAAAACTTACCAATTGCAGCTGGAGTTTTTCCAACCATGTCACAGTATACTACAAATTTGTCCGGTAACCTTAAAAAATAACTATTTTTTTATTCTAACCCTAATCTAAAATTTAAAAAAGATAATGGATAAAACAAAAATAGCACTCTTTCAGGCGGTCTGACAAATTTGTTGCACCTTGTGACATGTGTGGAGAAATCCGGCTGCAACTTTTTATTCACCATCATGTAGTGAATTGAAAACCTGTTTCGAAAACCATAGAACATCATGGGCTATTTCATTTTTCACAATCAAACGTAATCTAAAAATATCTAAAGCCGTACCCAACTGGGACAATCCTCGTGTAGTCATCAAAAAAATATTATTATTTTATTTCCTCCATCAGTTCATTCGGACATGGGCGTTAGTGCCTGTGCATAAACGAAGAATGAAAACGAGACGACAGTACAGTACAGTACAGTATTTCGCTCGTAAGATCAAGAAAGGGCGCTAGGAATGAATCGATCGAACAATAAGGTGCCGTTCCACGTGAACTCACCGGACACCGTCATTGAGCGGAACTAAATCTCTGCCGTCCCACAGATCGATACAACAGTCGAGAACTATATCGGCAGTTCCTTGACTCAAAAGCTGACAACCTCCAGCTTCAGCCTCCCTCACAACAACTCCAACCATGTGAGGAAACGGAAACTTCAATCTTGCACTAGCCGCAGTCGACAATGACTTCGCCAGTCTCGAACTTTGGACTAACGAAGCTTCCTGGATGATAAAAAAAACTGTTAAAATCTTGAGAGACACGAAGAAATACGCGAGGAGGTCCGAGAGTTCAACAGAATGCCGCTTAACTCGCCCACACCCACGACATTCATGTAACTACAGCTAATGAACAATCGAAATAAAAAATTACGACGGAATAATCGACAAGCGTACCACGTGTCGGAAAGTAGCCAATTGATCGCAAAGTTCGTAACGAGACCCAGCTCTTGGAGAGAAACCAATTTGGTGAGCGAGTTCGCACAAGCATCTGAAAAAGAGAAACCGTTTTTCTCAAAATTCGAACCGAATTAACGGATAATGCATGCTAAAATTCCACCCTCCCCGAAAGCGAATTAAAAAATCAAAATGAATTACAGCAGGCAATGAAATAATGCCACTACTTTTGCTCAAAGCTACATGCGTGATATTCGAGTGGAACTACGCTGCTATAATTGTTTTGATCTCAATAATTTCAGCTACATCTTTCTCGAATACGTTTCCACGACGTATCAAGCACAACTGATCTCAGCCTGGGTTTGCTAGTCGCTATTCTACAAAATGCAGGCACAAACCGAAAAAAGTATCCATACGGACGGAGTCATGGATTTAAACACGCTTACCCTCTACTAAGTTCGTCGACAATGTCAAGTGCGGTGCGACACGTAGGTTCCATTGGGCAATTTTCACTACAAACGGTGAAGGTTGCATAACGAGCGGGGAAAACAATCATTAAGCAAACTTAGAAATTCAAATTTCAGAACGAATTCAGAACACAGGGGAGGACATACATAAGAGCTTGAAAAGCTCCGTCCACAAGGCGGATCAGAGAAGTGAAACACAAAGCGAGGAACGCATGCAAACGTTAATACGTTAAGGATTCGCAAAATAATTCATAGAAAATTAGAATTCACCAGCGCACGATAGAAGTAAAATCAACGAACAAGAATATAAATACATAGGGGCGATTTAGGAATTCACAGAATGTCACGAATTTTTTTGTAATTCCTACATCATACACGTACTCACCTGCGATTGGTAACTGGCACTAAGGCTTCGTTGTACATGGCCTGCGCAGTTATGTGCGAGCAAAAATGCGCATAATGATTCTGCGTTTCGGGATTGCAGGTATTAAGCAAAGCAGCTAAGCCCAGAGGTTTGAGGCATTTCAAATGTCGCCCCCGGCCCACATGGGGATCATCAAATTGCAAATGAAACGGTCGATTCGGGTCCAAATACAAGTCCAACACTTCAGGAACCACTGATCTTTCACCAATTTCAGGTGGAGGCACGGATTCAAATGTGCCTTCATTTTCAGCTGAATGCGACTGAGGGACGTCATCAAAAGAGAATTTTCTTCTGTAGCGTTCTTCATGTTCTACACTTGACGGAACATGAGGAGAGGAGGCCTCGTCAGTTTCTGAACTTCTGTCAATTTCAGTATCAACGTTTTGATCGCTGTCCAGCTGAGCGTGATGGAAAAAGAATACTTTATCAGCCACCGGATTCGGCCAAGAGAGGATGCCCTTTTTGTCAATGCAGCACAACGCCTGAGTAATGAATTCGAAAATTATTTCAAGTTATCATGATACTATGAATCCAAACAAACCATACCGTAACTGATCCAAGAACATGAAGAAGGTTGGAACTAAGCCACATCCCAGGCAAGTCGAACTTTTCATCATCGTCAGCTAACAACATGCGCTTCATCCGCTTTAAAACGTCAAAAAATCCAACATTTTCTACGCATGGATCTGGCAGAATGAGATTCGTTTCCCCTATTTCTTCATCCAATGTCGACGTCCTGTCACAAGCGTCTCCTTCAAAACATTTCCTATTCTGAAAATAAAGTCGAAGCTGGAGCTAGACGTATGAAAATGTTGTGATCGCGAAACAAACCGTAGTATTTATCAGAGTATGGAAAGTCGCAAAAATCTTGGCACTCCCGAAGAAATTAGCGAACAGCCAAAAAGCGGGAAAGGCCAAGGGTATCAACGGCAATACGGTAACTGTGGGCAACTGAACAAACATCTCCATCCAACAACCGCTCCATTCCTCCAAGTAGAAGTAACGATATACGTTGACTCCAACAGATATTATCTAGAATAAAAGATAACCGGCTTGTCACAAGATTCCGTCACGATTGCGAAATACGAAGTAGACTTTAAAAGAGCTGACTTTCAAACGTGAATATCTCCCGACCGATAGAAACGAAGTTAAAAACCTTTCCAAAAAATATTTTGATCATCCGTAGTCCGGATGTCAAAACCCTATTTTTAACCTTCCTCATCACTGGGAAAAGTGTGGACACAAAACCATGCATTTTCACAATTGTTCAATTCCATTTCCACAAAAATTATCTCGGAAAGCGATTATTTCTGCAGTGTAATCATGGCATGAACTGCAATATCTTATAGAAGGACATACAATACTGAGCACTTAAAACGAAAAAAAAGTCCTTTTGTGAGAGGGTTTGATTTTCCAAAATCTAGGATCAGGCTGAATCTGAATCAAAACACAAATATGAGAAATCATTAAAAATTAGTTTTTTTTCTCGAACATATATTTTTCAAATGGTCATTAGACTGCAGATATTGCAATTGGAATTTATTTAAATTTGACCATCTGTATTCTTTGAAATATGTTAGTCGAAACCTTTCAGGAGATATCCTTGCTCTGGTTTCGATAGAGATTAGTTCTCCTCGTACTGTATACCAAGAATCCATTCTGTTCACATTTCATACCACGAGTAGAGGTAGGAAGGTATGCTCCAATATGCTATTCATCACCATTTGACGTTCACGTTCAAATACTGTGGAAGGCCGAATAGTTGAGTGCTTCAGAGCATATTTAATACAGTTCATGACAGGTGACTCTAGCAGCCTATGAGGCACGGGTTGACTCGGCGAACGTAAATGCGGTACGTTGAGCTGATCACAGCTGGCATCAATGTTTTCTTCGGCATCTGGAGCATAAACATCTCCAAAATTCCGTTCGAGTTTTCCTTCCTTCTGTAAAAAAAAAAATAAATAAATATAATATAAACTAAATAAAAGAAAATATAAAAATGTAATACAGTATAATACTGTAATAGATTAAATAAAAATCCTCTTATAATTAAATAACAGCATTACAGAAAAAAATTTTAATGACTCAAGTTTTGAACTGAATTCTATATAATTCACTGAGTGCAGACAATGTACAGTGGACTTACTTGAGTCGCTTCCCGTTTGTACTTCTCTCTCAACAAAAAAAAAAAAAATCATGAATTCCACGCTTCAGAACCAAGAGCTTAAAATTATTCTCGAAACTGCGTATCAGCACCGGAAATGTTTACCTCGTCACAGCTCACGCACTTCCCTGGAATTTCTTGACCGGGTTTCAACAAAATTATGTCTCCAGCAACGAGCAATGCCCAAGGTACATTGACCAGCAGGCCATCGCGTACAGCCCATTGCACTGCTATGCACGGCGATAAAGGTGTGAAGAGATTTGGGAAGCATCCAGTGCCCCAATGTATCTGTTCAGCGCATTCTAAAAAGCACAAAATATGGTTCAACTTCTAGTGTCCTCGAAAGATAAAATAACCTTCAAGTACGGTGGAAGAAAGGATCACCTGCAAGCTTCTTCGCCAAAACTTCACATCGGTGCGGGATTTCGTTCGACCGAGATACATCGATCCATCTCGCAATCCGAATATTGACGCCTACGATGAGCAAAAGTACTACACATTCTCCGATTAGGGATGAATACCTGAAAATTCAACATTAATGGAGAGCAATTACGCAAAGCGTCGAAGAACGCAAGCTAACCTTCCATTTTCGTTCGCCACAAAATACGAAGCAAGATATACGAGGGAAACAGCGAATGTCAGCGCTGCGGACGTCCAGAAATACGGCGAGAAATTATTTCTCTCCAGAAGAGGATGCAAAAACCGCTGATGCCACTTCAACCTGAAACGAATAAGTAAATATTTGTAACCGACGGATACTTAATGGCACTACAGAACTCATACTTCGCACTGTCCTCGGCGAGTTCACATCGATGTTGAGAAACAGCATCCAGTATTTCTTTCCGTAACACATTGAGAGCTTGATTATTGGATAGCCCAGAATAAACACCATTCATCGTCTACACATATGAGCGCAAGGAATGATCTCGAAGCCTCGTTAATGACTTCATTATTCAAATGAAAAAGAAATGGCAAGATTCAGCATCATGGCTGGATTTTTCAACTCCATCCGTCCTGTCGCCTAAACCGACAGAATGCAGATTGATGCACTCAGTTCAAAAGATCAGTATGGCACAGTAATTCTCTAGCTAATAAAATGAAGACATGCACATTAAATTTTACGAGCCATCACAGGATGATAATCCAACTCGTCACTCCGCGGATTCGGCATAAACCCAGTATAGTTAACAAATCCTAACCGAAATACGAATGGTTCTCGCCCACGAAATTCATGTCTGAAACTTAATGACAATCCACACTGGACACAGCAATTCACGAATCTTTATGAATGAACGAACTTCTTCTCGAACTGACCATCGAAAGTTCGCAACTACGCGAGACTCGCGCCATACTACGCAACGGTGTTTATACTGTATACAGTACATCGGGAGAGCTCTTTGTCCTAGCTGTGTCTCTTGTAATCGGTGGACCTGTATGGCGACACTACGTCCAGGATGTCATCGCCGTTCGAGCGACTGATCCGTCGGGTTGAGTGGGGGTGAGGCCGTTTACAGTGATCTGTGATTGATGAATGTTTTTGATGTCTCGGGTCGGTGATAATCTGGAAAAAAATGTACAAAATCCTTCGGTTAGACGTACTGTATGTTTCCGAAGAGCTACGGGCATATAACTTTCGTGCTGTTCGGTGACGAGCCACCGGGTGTGTGCAGGTACGTTGGATGTCCACTATTCATCTGCCCGAATTGAATCTTGATTTTCTTGCCGCAGATTCGAATGAACCAGATCGCTGATCCAATGATGCCGTGAGCCATCAAATCTATTGTTGTTTGGCGTTTTGGTTACAACTTCATTAATAGAATATGTCTTCGTGTGTTTTTATGCGATTGGGAAAGGAACCCTGCAATTTCATTTCTTGAAAGCATTTTGTGAGTCTGTTATGATTTCTGTGGACAGTCAGAAAATACAGTCCTTTGCATCGCCCATTTGAACTCTGGGATGTGGTTTCATGATACCTTTTTTCGGATCCGTTTCATTCATTTTTCCTTCGATTTTTTCCATTGCAGGGTTTCGTATTGGTTTCAAATAAACCTCCTCCTTTGCGAAGCGGATCAACTGATAATTGAAGCACATGCGGCACGTCTGAAGTCCGTGGCAACAACCCATGTCAGTTCTACAACGACTCCAACTTGCCTAAAATTTTGAATACTACTCGCGAAGTTCTAATTTTTATAGATTGTTTAACCTGGGATGCTAAAATGTAATCTGCAGAGGTCCATCGGGAATTCGATACGCTTGGAGACATGGAAAATCATTCAAATCCGCCTCCTCCAGCCATGCATCCAGCAATGTTGATGGCGGCTGCAAATCCATTTGTCGCGTATGCTCTAGGCAATCAGTTTATTCCTCACACTCAAGCATCAGTCATGCAAGGTCAGTGAAAAGTGATCTCCCTAGTTTTTTGTCTGCTTTCAGATCAGGAATTTTTTCGAAGGTGGGATTGCCTCTGTCTGCCTTTCACCTGTTTCAATCTAGAGTATTCACTTGGCATGAGTTTGATGAATATTGCTGTAGTTAAAAAAGGGAAAAACATTTTCCAGGGCCCTCAGATACGGTTCTAAGAAACTGCTAGTGTTCATTTCTGCCTTATAGAAAGTGTGTCAGGAAGAATCCCGCATGATTTTCTCGTTAGTTATATTTATTTTCCAGCTTTGTGAAATTGAAGCCGTTTGACCATTGCTCCGAATACCATCGTGATTGAGGATGGTGTTCGTGCATTTCATTCATTTCATGTCACTGCATTATCTACATATTCTGCCATCGTCGTTTTCGTGCTCCAGGGGCGGCTTTGATAGGACCTCATGGTTATTTCCAAGGGTTCCCGCGACTGGAAGGTATCCCGGGATACCCCGCTATCGTTGGTGAGCTTTTGTTAAAAGCGTATTTAAGTTCGTCTCATGTATAATCCGCCGGTTTTCTTTGAATTGCATGGGAAAGCATATTCGCGTTAAGGTCAATTGCTCCGGAAATTTCGCGTTCTTCTAATAACCGAAGATGTATCTTTGATTACACGCGCACTGTTGTCTCAGCTTCATCTGGGACGCAACCGGTTCACGAAAGCATCGATCACGGAGCGGAGTCCAGCGAGACGTGGTCGACGAATCCGACGTCTAGTAACCAAGAACGACGTGGTCGCGACGACGAACGTTACAAATATGACGACCGTACGTAGTAGTCCGAAAAATCATTGTGTGATCGAATGCACGTGCGTGATTCAGTGCCTTCATCAATTTCGTTTATCAGATCCTTCCGTCAAATTTTATTTGTTCTGAGAAGTGCATGTGTCAAATGTAAAACTGTGTCATTCTCGTGGTTGATATGTGTTGGCGTGGGTGACATTGAAGGTGTTTATCAAGTTTCTCGCCATGAACAGGGAGAAGGGACAGAGGAAGAAATATGCGTTCACCATCTCCTCGGCATCGAAATGGAGATCGAGATGGAAACTCCCGTTATTCGTCGCATGGGAGCAAGTCGGTTGTTGACGTTATGTATATGAATGAATCTTCGACGCACCGGCCGCGTCACGACGTCGATGAACGATCGACGAATCGGCGTGATCGTAACCGTGACCGAAGAGAACGAGGACGTCGTCGTAGCCGGTAATTTGTGTACCGAATCTTCTTTTCGAAAAATGAATTTTTTTGGTTTCGAAACTATTCATGGTTTCGTTTTTGGTCGTATTCACTCTAACATGGACAGATCCTCTCGTTCAGCAGGCATTCCAGGGAAAGAAGTACCATTTGTTTCTGAAATGCAATATTTTGTGAGGAGCTCTGTCTTCACATGGTTGAAATATAAATACTGTACATTCAATGTGTGCGCTTCTGACGCACTGAAAGATTATTCTGGTTTGGATTACAATGATTGTTACAATGGTGCCTCCTAAAAACGTTTGATGTTGCACTACGCGAACTTTATAGAAGTAGTTCGTTCCTTCTTTTCAAAACGAATTCATCTTGAATTTGAGACATTATCGCGCGAAGACGTTCTCGTAATGAAACTACAATGAAGTCTAGCGTGTCTCTGCTCATTTGTTTTTTGCACACCACGTTTAAATTAGTTCCCGGAGTCGAAGTCGAAGTAGGACAAGGCGTACGAATCGTTCTCGCTGGAGTGATGACGACAGTGATAAGAGTCGTGATCGGAGTAAATCTCGTGACGACGACGATGACATGGAAGAGGAAGAAGGAGAAGTTCGAAAGGATGCTTCAGAGGAGGATGATTTTGAAGAATCGGATGATCGCAAAAGTCGGCGTAGACGTAAGGAATCTTCCCCTGCGCGTCGCCGAAGTCCAGACCGAGAAGCTAAAAGAGAGAAGTTCGTTGTCAATTTTTTCTTATGGAGTATTTTCTTTCGGTTTTTCGAATTGTATGTTGGAACATGTACATGGAATATATTTTCCAGGCGATATCGTGAGCTAAGAAAGGCTTTTCGAGGAGCGAATGTTCTTCTTCGTAATGTAGACAAGGCGATGGACGATGTACAAGTGAGCAACAAATTTTAAAATATATTTTTCACGCTAAGAGAAAATGAATGATGGATTGCAGTTGATGGAAGAAATCAAGCGTAGTGGCGTACAGCCGGTTGAAGTTCGTGTACTGCGCTATCGACTCAGGAACGCAGGTAAGTTGACCAAACATTTCTCGAACTATTGATGGAAATTAATTACATGTGCTTTTTTTTTCAGAGCAAGCTCAAGGATTTGGCGTCATTGAATTCGAACGAAAAGAGGATGCGAATGCGTGGGTTGAGAATTTCCAGGTCAGTGGACTTGGTATTTTTGAGAATTCGAAGGAAGAATTGCATATTGATGCAAATGTAAGAATGAAGTTGAATTTGTTATAGACTCGCAAAAAAACAATGTGCCTTTAAAGAATGAGAGCCTCCAAGATTCGCGTAGAAAGAAATTAGTTTATCCGCCCTTTATTTTTTATATTTACTTTTGAGACTAGTTTCAGAGTGGTACTTGGTTATGATGTTGGTTTTGAGATTAATTTCCGTTGAAATATAATTTAAAAGAGCTAGTTTACAGAGACATTCTTGTTCGGTATTGGATTTCATTTTGATCCACGCTGGGTAATCGTGCTGGCCGAAAGAGAAGGAGAGTACTGTTTGTCTTGAATGTGCCATTGAAACCTTTCTTCTGTTCACAAATGAACGACAATTATTCTATCAATGCACAGAACCGTATGGTCTTGAGCAATGGAGTGGAGTGCTCAATGGAAGTTTACGGTACTGCCCCGCAATCGATGACGTACGAACAGTTCGACCGGATTCGTTCGCGAACGAGCTGGAGCTGCGTTATAGTGAGTTTTGGCGTTAATTTTCCATTGCTAGTCATAACGAACTTTTCGGTAAAATCAGTGTCGCGGTCGAACCGGACGGAACGAAGGGAGATGTCATAATTGCTACGGTCGACGAGAAGACGTCGAAGTCCTGGATGGCCTGGACCTTGTGTCAGCTCATTCAACCACGAGTGAGTGATTTTTTGTCGAAACTAACGAGAGAACTTGTGTAACCTTGATCCTTGAATGACGCTCTGTATATTCATTATTCCGTTATTCTTCGCAGCAATTTTGGTTCGAAACCTGGAGCCGTGGACGACGGAAGACTCCATTCTCCGTATTCTACAGACTACCTCTTCTCTCCCCATCAAGAAAATTAGTTTACGTGAAGCTGGAAAGTCGGGCGTTGTGTGCCTAATCGAAATGTACAATATTTCGGATGCTGGGGAATTGTTACGTGCTTTGGAAGAACGCGAATTTGTCACTCCTGCTGGTCGTGAACGTGAGTGGAACAAATCAAGGTTAAACCGGTGTATGGTCGATTTAAAGAGCAAGGTTTTCTGTTCGGAGGTGGTATATCTTTGAAAAGGAAATATTGTGTTTCGTTAATTCGGGTATGATTTTAGTCTTTTTCTGGATTATAATCGGAAGATTCTTTTGTGTATAATACAGTATTGTATCTGCCTCCTCTTATTTTCAGCTGTTGTGACTTATGGTAAACCTCCAACGTCCAGTGCAGCGGCAACTTCAAATGCAATCGACTCTGCACAATGGGCGTCGAAGTCTCAAACCGAACAGCCGGTCTCATTTGCTGATAAAAGTTCTGCCAATTCCAGCAAAGTCGGCGTTCCGATTGTGCAGCAAATGCCCACGTACGATCCAAAAAATCCAGAACAGAGCTTGCGGAAGCTCGCCGAATACTCAGCATCAGTTTACGCTGCAACTCCTGAAGAATGGCAGTACTACATGAATTATTACAAGGATTTTTACGCAAAACAGGTACAGTATTTAAAAGTTCAAGGACCTGTAAATTATGCTCAGGTGTCGGTAGAAGTATATGCAATTCCCGAGTGCTGTGCATTGGGAGATGCTCATCATTTCGGGTGTACACTTTTGCCTTGTATGACATACTAGTAGCATACATTAAGATACCGTATTTTCATCACTAGTGGGACTTGAAGCATATTCCAACGAAAGCAAGATCAGTGAGCAATTTGATTTTAAAAACTGTCGTGTTTTTTTTACCACGTGAACGAAAATTTAAAATGGCTTAGGCGATGGTAGGCGTTACTTGCAGTTGGGAAGGCAAAGGATATACCATTTTTCTTCTGATTTCCAGGCCGCCAGTGGATCATTGATCAACTCTAAAACACAATCAAGTGCCGCAGATGCTGCTGCGTTGGCAGTCCAAGGCGCAGTTGCGAAAAGCAGAGACGAAAAAGTAAGTCTGCTTTTCTCTCTTAACAATTGAAACTGATTCACGAACGCGAACCGCTTCCTGCTCGATTAATTTTCTTAGGCGAACACGATGGGTATTTTGCAAGCGAAGGCTATTCTGGGAGGTAAAGAACCCCTCATCGATATTGGTAGAATCGGGGAGAAAGGCGTTCAACTGCGTGAGTGAACTATTTTTTTCAATCTTCATTGAATATCAATACCGTATGATGTTTTCGTGCAGCTCCTCCAGATACGTTGAAGTATGTGTACGACCCGTCTAGTGGTTACTACTTGGACCCTGTGACTCATTTGTATTATGATGCGAATACTACGTATTACTATGATGCGCATGGATCGAGGTTCTTATACTGGGACCGGGAAGAGCAGAATTATCTCCCTGTCAATGGTGCATCGGATGCGAACAGCGGGGATCCAAAGAAGGATAAAGCTCAAGCTGCAAAAAAGATCGCCAAAGTGAGATTTTACATTCTATGCACGAATTTTCTTGCCACTTTTTGGCGGACGTTTTAGGTTTCGATTCACGAGAAGTCAGTTGCCGTTTCAGAATTGGGCATGTTCAATATTACCCCCTAAAGGCATAATTCAATTGTCAACCAGTTTTTCCTGTCTGATTAAGTCGCTCAGGTGCTTCTGCAGGAAATTAATGTCTGGGAAACGGGACGCAGTTTTGAACGGATTGTCTTGAAAATTCTTGATTACCGGCTTTCTCTAATTTTCGTTCTTAAAATCGATTATTTCAATTCATTTCAAACTTTCATGCAAATCCCTGATGTCCATTGTGATGCGAGTCTCCATGTAAGTGTCTTTCAAAGATTCAAACGCTCCCGAAATTCTGGATTTTTTCATGAAAGTCGACACTTATTGTTTTTGCTTGTGTTGGCATTCTTGGACGAATTCTAGCACTGGAAATGAAAGAAGATTCACCTTGTTTCCAGTACGGTACAGTACTTGTTATCTTATTCACGATATGCCGGCTATGGAATAGATTTCTGTACATTATTTTAACTTCATTTCGTGACTTAGTATAGATAACAAATCAAGCGTCGATTTCCATTCAAAAGTTCATCATGACGAAGAAGTATATTTCCATTAGGATATGGAAAAATGGGCAAAATCAATGAATCAGAAAAAGCAATCCAACTCGTCGACCTCCGTCTCCGCCGTGCCAGCGACTACTGGAACACCAGTCGCTGGGTCTTCCGGGCCGACCTCTGGAGCTGCAGACGCGGGTTTCGCTGTGCTTCAAGGGAAATCCGTTGCTCCGATTCGCTTCGGTAGAACTCCTCTCAACCCAACAGCATCGGATTTTGACGAATCCAATGATGCGGAGTCGAATAATGACGACGGTGATGCGTCGGAATTCACGGATTGGAACAAGCTGGCGTGTTTACTGTGTAAGCGCCAGTTCCCGTCGCGAGAGGTGCTGATGAAGCACAACTCCCTGTCAGCGCTTCATAAAGAGAATATGGAAAAGTGGCGTATGTCTGTTGCGGTGGAGAGGAAACCGGCGACGGAGCCGCCGAGGTCCATGTATGGGCTTCATGGCATCAAGCGACACCGATGACAATGCCGGATATTGTTCATAATATTCCCATGTTCTCGAAGCTTTCTCTGCTATATTTTTCTTTACGAATTTTGTGTTCTATGATTGAATGTCCTTTGAATAACAATGACTGCGTTTTGAAGTCGGAGGGCAGGATTTTATTCTCATGCGTTGAAACATCAGGATTTACCTGTGCTACCCGATACGAACGATTCAAGTCTTGATTCTTTTCTCTGGATGCAATTGTGTAGTCATGATCATCATCTCTGTTTTTGCCGTTTTTTTCTATAAAACGTGAATCTTCCACTTTTGGGAATGCTACATCGTATTTGAATAAATTATGGTTTTATTTTTCAGAAAAAAAAAAGGTTCTTGAAGAAATACAGCTGTTGACCCCATCAGGGTCCGTCGAATTTGGAGAAGGTTGTTTTTTCTTCAAGGTACTTTTGTGTTCCTAAAAGTTTTTCTTTTGTACCGGAAAGTTTTATGAGAATTGATGCTGTTCTCGCGTCCCATGCTGGTTTTCTGTCCGAGCGTGTTCAGTAAAATACATTTCGTTCTTCTGATGCGTTCTGTACTGTTGAATAATAATCGCGGGCATACAATTTAAGCAATGTACATTACATCATAGGTGGTGTGGTGGATGTTGATACATTAGTGTAGTGATTCCTTAATGGTGCTACTGTATTTTCGTTCCAAGTTGCTGAATTCAATAGTCAGTAGCGTGTGTTACGGATTTGAAGGAGGCAGTGTGCTGAGAAATACATAGGTGCTGCGTTTACGTGTGGCGTGGAGAAGCCCGTAGCCAGAAAAATCTCGGTTCTGGTTGGTACCACTCGTGTGGAGAAATCAAGACTCGGGCATGTCTTCGTGGGATTTCGTCATACTATAAATCACGGTATCGTAAGGCTTCATTATTATTACATCATGCTAGCCAGAACATGTTTCACTCATTGGTTTGGATGCGCAATTTTTTTCTGATTCATCAGCAAATCTAAAAAAGATTGCATCATTCAGACTGCGGCACTTGACACAAAAACTGCAGACATTTTTGTGCTAACCCACAGAAACCCGAGACGTGCTCTTTAAAGGCATTTTCCTGTCAATGCGCTTTCCCATTAGAATCTAGGAAAAAAGGGTTTGTGGCAATTGAGGAAAATGAAATTCATCGAGATCAAGAGAAGATATTCTTCGTAATACTGCGTCACTCGACTGTTCATACAATATTTCGCGATTTTAATTTTTGAATGCTCACTGATAGCTACTTTTTGAAGTCCCCTCGCTTCACTCGTTTATTTTGGTAACCTCGAATATCTATGTGGATCCCTGGTATTCCGTGATTGGACTTCCGTTCGCGTTCATTTCGTCTAACGCTGATATTTTCATAAGTGAACTGTGAAGTCTTCATGGTTACATCAGTCAAGGCTTAACTTTTGAACGAATGAATTTATTGGAACTTCGTCTGAAAGGAAGTTTTAGAAAATGTGTCAAGTGCGATATTTCAAGGGATATTGCTTTCTCCAGGTGATTATTCACAAATAACTTCGTCTTGCCCTGACGTGGCAACGCTCTCGAAATGATAGTGCATTTTATTTCCGGGAAAGTTCGTCGAGCTTGGAATGGGTTGAGACGTTCCAGGCGCTATTTTGAATGAAAATGACAAACTGTTTACTTTATCTTCAAGGGTGCCGTACGGGCGGATGACGATTGCGAGCTTGCGATTCGGGGAATGGAACTTGTGTCGTCGTTGTTGTTGGAGATACTTAATGTGACAATCGGTATTGTGCTCGACTTCACCCATTTTTTCGTCAGACTGATACAGTTCTCGGTCGGTATTGTCCCTGAGAGACTAGTGATGGCGGAGAGAAATCCGGAGGGGACTTCAAGCCAGCGGTGTGCCTCGAAAACTAGGAAAACTGTGGTTTTAGTAGGCACTACCGGAGTGGGAAAATCCAGCCTCGGCAATGTTTTATTGGGGCTTCATCCCACTAAGAACCCAGGTAGCAAGGGTTTCGTCACGTCGGCGTCGACGAAGTCCTGCACCGACGCTGCGGAGTGCCGTGACGGGTTCTGGTCGGGGAATACGTCGAAACCCGTCAGGATATTCGATACCCCGGGTCACGGGGACGCGGATGGACGCGATTGCTCATTTCGCGAGTCCATAGCCGAAAGCATGCGGAAGGAGAGATACGTGGACGCGTTTGTTTGGGTGAAGAATTTCGAGGAGCCTCGATTTGATCATCAGGATGCGTCATTCTTCAATGTCTTTAGCGAGATGTTCGGTCCGTGCTTCATGCAAAACGTCGTTGTCATCTTGGCTAGGTGATTTTCTGAAGCGTTGTTTTCCCTACATTTTTCTAGTATTAAAGGTTTTCCGCATTCCATCCTTTCCTAACACATGATGCCAATTCCACAATTTCTGAACTTCAATTACCTTTTCAACTTATCTTCCCATAACATATGACAAGGCGCCTGCCTACCAATAGATACTTACCACGTTCAAAAATCCAAGCAGTAAAATCTTTGTTATACTGTACAAACTCTTGGGGACTTCAGGAAAAGTTCTTGAACATTACTGAATGACTTGTAAGAAGATTTTCAAAATTGTTGACTTGAAAACAAAATTATCATCACACCTGCCTGTAATCAAATAGATTTTGCTCTTCTGGCATTCCAAATTTTTAAAATTATCGTTTGAAAAAATGAGTGATAGATTAGCTTCAATCAGGCATTCCATCAATTGCACCACTCCATTAATTCTTTTCATTTTGAAAGGATGATGCATGGAACCACTCATGTTCGTCATTAATAACAGCTTCCATCTATGCTACAAGAGAACCAGTCAGTCAGTCGCATTTGGCAATGAAGTTTTAGATACTGTAACACAGGAAATTTTCATCTGGAGAATCTATTCAATATTCCGCGAAAAAGTTTGTGATACTGGAATTGGGAAGTTTCCTATAACGAGATGATTTTAACACGTACTCTATGGGTATTCTGCTGGGATTTAGGAAAAAGCTTGTAAAACTGGAACATTTGTTGAAGCAAAAATTTACTGTACAGCACTAAACTGAAGTTGTGTCATTTTCCTGAATTTGTCTGTAACGAAGTGAATGTTGAATTGAACGCTTCACGAATTGTCGACACTTGTATTTTTCCCGCACGTTTGATGATTCTTTAGGATGAGGGATTGTCATCTGGTTTCACGGTCGCTTTTCCGGGTTGATGTGTTTTTATACTCGCTCAATCATTCACTGGAAAGTGTGATTATTGCAGGTACAATTATTCTGCGGATGCTGAACGGAGACGTCAGCGTGGAGGAGCCTCTCTCGAAGCAACCATGGAAGGAATCCGCGATCAGCTTCAGGCTGAAAATCTGCCGATTTTTGCCGTCGACGCTTTGCACGACCCGGAGGATGCGATCCAACTCGACAGCTTTCAAAATAACTCCATTGCCTTGTGGGAAATCATTCAGCAATTTTCCCGACAACCCGTTGCCAATGTCCATGCTGTCAAAACTGAACTAGAAGAACTCAACCAGCGCTACGACGAACTGCAAGCGTCGCTGGCCAAAAAGGACGAAGCTCATGCGAGAGAATTGATGCAGATCAGAGCGAAGCAACAAGAATTGATCGATGCTCAGGCATATGAGAAAAGTAAATGGGACGCCGTGATGACCTCGATAGAAGCAAAGAACGAGACTTTTTGCGCTCAAATGAGGCAAATGACTTTGGATCACGGAGCAAGAATGGGAAGGTTAGAAGAGGAAAATGAGAAACTGAGGAAGAAGTACGAGAGGCAGAAAGACAAGGTGGAGAAATTGGAAGCCAAGAAAGAAAAGCCCTGGTGGTGGTTGGACTTGTAGACCACCGAACGACCCAACTCGTCCTCGTCCGGGTCCTTTTGATCCAAGACCTTCCTCTAGTTCCGCTACCAAGACAATACTAGATGGCTGGCTCAAGCTTTCATGATACAGTACTTGAAGGATTCGAAGAATTTTTTTTGATTTTGAGCTTTGTCAAGATTATGCATAGCTTCCCAATGTAACAAAAACTCCATACTGGGTTTCCCGGAAGTGCTTGCAAATTAATATGGGTCGAACAACAGCAAAAAATTGGCACCACCTTGTCGACGCGTGCTTTTCCCTTCAGATGAAGAGTTGAAAAGTGGACTGCGAGTTTAAATCCATCACTTTTTTCCGAATGCTTGCCATTGTCTTGAAATTTTCAACGACTGGGCGAGAAAACGAAATTTTTTTGGTGTACTTTGAGTGTGAGCCGTTTTTAATTTTCCAGGAAGAAGTACTGTATCATGTGAAAAAGCCTGGAGTATGACGTTTCACCGTGACAAATTTCAACCTTTGTTTTTTGGTTAAATGCGTCCATATCTTATGATGAGGTTTTTTATGTTGCTGCTTCAGTTGTGATTCGATTTCCGTTGATTGTTGGGCGATTCTAATTTCCTTCGTGCACTAATCCCGGTGCTTGATGAAGTGCTGACTTCGAGCTTATAGGTACTGTGTCCGATTCTTGCTTTTGAGGAGTGTCTGTGAGGTACATAGGTTTCACCTTCATAACGCGTCCGAATTTCGGAATCCGCTGCAGATAATAAAGAAAACACCTGGTCTTCACATTGCCGAATTTGTGCTGATCTAATTTTTCTGATGCATTCCACTGCTGCACACGAGTTGATTTTGAAGCACACAGTGCTTGAATTTTATAAGTCTTAACCTCAAGGAATGTACCTAATCCTTGTGGAGAGCATGCTTACAATGATCTGCAGTTTATTGCTCAGTTTTTTTGTAAAACAATTTTAGCAAAATGCAGCCCCATTTGATTAACAGGAAGTCTGATTAAAATTGACTGCAGGTTCATATTGCAGAAGGTTCAACTTGGAGGGATTAGTCATGCATTATTGCCTGCAAATTTCAATTTGAAAGGTTGGACTTGGCTGAGGCAAACTTCAAATTTATGCTGATTTTCATTAAACCACTGCCTGTATGAATCCATGCTTCCTGTTGGGCAATTTTAACTGGTAATTTTGCAGGAAGCGAATGTACTGCAAAACTTGAATTTTCAACTCATTCAAATCAATGGAGGATGGACGTAAAATGTGCGATAACATCTTGTAAATATACAACAAAGCCATTGGAACAAGCAAAAATGCATTAAAAAATCAAATTACATAGTAGCTATTTGCCGAATTTGTTGCAGTATACAGTACATGAATCTCATTCCTACAGTACTTTTGAAATGTAAAAAAAAATTGAAGTCAACTATGATTCAAAATTTAGAACTGAAGCACTTCTGCCTGGAATAAAAATCATGGATGAACACTGTGCAACAGGAAGAAAACTCCAGCAACAAAACATGGACGGTATCTAACCCTGCTAGACTGGTGTCATGTTATCCTGCCTTCAGATCTTGAGGCAGAAAAACAGAATGTCTCCTAAAATCTCAAGGTATTAATTAACATATCACAAGCAGACGCCAGGGTTTGAATGTTTTTTTTTTCAGAGAAAATAACAAATCCTTGGAAATGAAAAATTGCTTATGCAAAATGGACTTGGGTTCTTATTTGTTAACAAAATAACCATTAAAATTTGAAAAAAATGTAGGAAATATTCTAAAAAGGATTTAAAAATTAAACTTTTGTCTAGCAAGAAAAATTTTCAACAGCTTGTGACATGTCAACATGTCAGGGTTTTGTATGGAAAACCCTGCCACAACTAGAAATTTTTCATTTATTGCCTTAGAGTAAATCTAAAAATTTTAAAAAATCAGAAAAAATCCTAGAAGCTTACAATAGGGCGGGCTAAATTGTATATTTTTTTCAAAGTGGTACCTAGATTGGAAATATCCAAGGTCAATCAGAAGTGGGACAACCCTTGTGTATATTATTGTGAAAAGCATACAATCTAGCATACATAAAAGAAGTGTCCATCCGCCTCAACTACGAAAATTCCATCCTCTCATTCATATATCACATTGCATCACATATGATGTTATACCCGCAACCTGTTTCACGATATATTCATCTTGCTGTATACGTAAGTTGTTCTGTTCCTTTCATCAGCTGCTGATGTATATTCTGAAAAATCTTGCATCATCATTTAAGGAGCCCGTTTTTTAAGTAAGAGTTACAGATAAGAGTTGATGCTGCCAAACACCAGTTAAATATATTTAGCTGCCGTTGGGTGCAGACAAATCGTTTGGAAGTGTTCATGTCCGCATTAAATTTTCGTCCTCGCGCAGCATAACGCATTAAATAATATTTTCTCGTGCTCAAAAGAAGTGTCGACAACTCTGCACCGCGTGAAACTCAATTTCTATTTGTTCTGTGCTATATATGCAGTGCTTGATAGACCATAAAAATAAATGATAGACCATAATCGAAAATAAAGTCGACTACTTGTTAGAGAAACTGGCTGATATATATATACCATAGATGGACGATTTTCGGTACAGTACTAAACATTCAAACCGCGTCAATATCTTTCGGGACCATAAAAACAGCTGACGGTGACGATAATAATGGCGGGGAATCTGAAGAGCAGTGTTTGAAGATGGATTGAAATTCATAATTTTTCCAAATTTTTATTTCCTGGATCTGGATCGAAACTTTCGATTATTATTGCAAGGCGACTGCTGATGTCGTAATCATACGTGACTTCATAAACATGGATGTTATCACAGAAAAGGTTCTGCGCGCGAAGCCTGGCCGTTTATTTACACGTTATACCAGCACGTATGAACTGTCTGGTTATTTCCCCGGAAACGTGTTTGGTATATTTTTTTTTCATTCCCAAAAAGTGTGCGTGTGCTGCCATATATGACATCAATGTCTGGCTTATACAGTGCTGTACTATTCTTTAATCAAGACTTTCCTCTTGCTTTTGAGGATATTAATTAGCTTGGTCATTTCATCGCCATCAGGCTCATCCAGAACTTTGAGATTGCGACGTTGTATAAAGTCAAGCGCATTGATATACTGCATCCGTTTTTCTTTATAAATACCCCAAGCATATCATCATGCAAATTTAAAGGATTTCGGGTTGAGGGTAAAATTGCTGTTGTAAAATATTTTCTTCAAAAAATTTTTTCAAAAGTTTGCAACAGAAATGCCATATAAAATCAAACTAAATATTGAATTCAACCAATTTTCCATGCGCATATATATTTATGTAAAATATGTCTGGGTGATCTTTCTAGGTTTCTGTGGCATTCTTTGGAGTTTTTTAACTTGAAGGGAAACAGAAAAGTAAGAAAAAATGCAGCTGAAAATAAAAAAGAATAGATTAAATCAATAAATGATGAATCTGACACAGTTTCTTGAGGATAATTTTATTTTCAAAGTTGGGAATCTTGATTACTAATGCAGTGATAATCCGTGTTGTGCTTCTGCCGTTCTGTTACGTGATTTTTACTGTGATGATTTTTTTCAGCTTGGAAAATGTGCTTTACATATTATGATTTGGCCAAAGCAAGAACTGGGTGTGAAGGAATGCAAATTCAATTTTTTGAAAAAGTAACGTTTTTTTAATATTTAAAAAGCCTTGGTTTCTCACTATAGTTCCCTATATGAAAGTGTCTGGTCCTTATATGACAGTTCGCGTGTGTGTCAATATATTTAACGACATCTATTCTCCAAGTGAAACTCACGATTTCATCCACCTTCAGCAGGTGTCGCTCGTGAGTCAACTAAGCCATTGTTTAGGTACAGTAGTTCCCATTCACAGCAAGAAAACGCGCATTCCGCATTACAGTATAATGGCGGGTTAATGGCGGGGAATCTGAAGAGCAGTGTTTGAAGATGGATTGAAATTCATAATTTTTCCAAATTTTTATTTCCTGGATCTGGATCGAAACTTTCGATTATTATTGCAAGGCGACTGCTGATGTCGTAAGCATACGTGACTTCATAAACATGGATGTTGTCACAGAAAAGGTTCTGCGCGCGAAGCCTGGCCGTTTATTTACACGTCATACCAGCACGTATGAACTGTCTGGTTATTTCCCCGGAAACGTGTTTGGTATTTTTTTTTTTTCATTTCCAAAAAGTGTACGTGTGCTGCCATATATATGACATCAGTGTCTGGCTTATACAGTGCTGTACTATTCTTTAATCAAGACTTTCCTCTTGCTTTTGAGGATATTAATTAGCTTGGTCATTTCATCGCCATCAGGCTCATCCAGAACTATATGCTTTGAGATTTCGATGTTGTATAAAGTCAAGCGCATTGGTATACTGCATCCGTTTTTCTTTATAAATGCCCCAAGCATATCATCATGCAAATTTAAAGGATTTCGGGTTGAGGGTAAAATTGATGTTGTAAAATATTTTCTTCCAAAAATTTTTTCAAAAGTTTGCAACAGAAATGCCATATAAAATCAAACTAAATATTGAATTCAGCCAATCTTCCATGCGCATGTATATTTATGTAAAATATGTCTGGGTGATCTTTCTAGGTTTCCGTGGCATTCTTTGGAGTTTTTTTTTAACTTGAAGGGAAACAGAAAAGTAAGAAAAAATGCAGCTGAAAATAAAAAAGAATAGATTAAATCAATAAATGATGAATCTGACACAGTTTCTGGAGGATCATTTTATTTTTAAAAGTGAAAATCTTGATTACTAATGCAGTGATAATCTATGTTGTGCCTCTGCCGTTCTGTTACGTGATTTTTACTGTGATAATTTTTTTCAGCTTGGAAAATGTGCTTTACATATTATGATTTGGCCAAAGCAAGAACTGGGTGTGAAGGAATGCAACTTCAATTTTCTGAAAAAGTAACGTTTTTTTAATAATTAAAAAGGCTTGGTTTCTCACTATAGTTCCCTATATGAAAGTGTCTGGTCCTTATATGACAGTTCGCGTGTGTGTCAATATATTTAACGACATCTATTCTCCAAATGAAACTCACGATTTCATCCACCTTCAGCAGGTGTCGCTCGTGAGTCAACTAAGCCATTGTTTAGGTACAGTAGTTCCCATTCACAGCAAGAAAACGCGCATTCCGCATTACAGTATAATGGCGGGTTTGAAACTCACGATTTCATCCACCTTCAGCAGGTGTCGCTCGTGAGTCAACTAAGCCATTGTTTAGGTACAGTAGTTCCCATTCACAGCAAGAAAACGCGCATTCCGCATTACAGTATAATGGCGGGTAGAAGTTCATCTGAAGAGACTCCAAGTCAGCGGCGTGGTTCTTCCCGAGATAAGAAAACCCTGGTTCTCGTGGGCACTACTGGCGTAGGCAAATCCAGCCTCGGGAATGTGCTCCTCGGACTCGATCCCACCGTGGAATCGGATGACGACCAGCAGCAGCAAGAAGGGTTCGTCACGTCTGCGTCAACAGAGACGTGCACTGAAGCTGCGGAATGCCGCGACGGGTTCTGGCTGGGGAATACGTCGAAACCCGTCAGGATATTCGATACCCCGGGTCACGGGGACGCCAATGACCGCGATTACTCATTTCGTGAGTCCCTAGCTGAAAGCATGCGGAGGGAGAAGCACGTGCACGCGTTCATTTGGGTGAAGAATTTCGAGGAGCCGCGATTCGATCATCAGGACGCGTCTTTCTTCAATGTCTTCAGCCAGATGTTTGGCAATGGGTTCATGCGGAACCTCGTTGTCGTCTTGACCAGGTAATTTTTATTCAGGTAATGCAGATTATTTAAACATTTCTTCAGATGATTTTATGCGGACCCCTTTTTTTCACTGTACGCAAAGATTCGCATTTTTCAACGTTCGAATAAAAAATAAAAATGATCAACTGCATCAAGGTGCATGCTTGAAAACTTGAACTTACGATGATGATATGATCCCAAAGTCAAACCAATGTTGGTGATGAAACCTGCTTTTATCCATTTTTAAGGCTTTTGTACGATCAATGTTGATTCTCAGTATATTACAGGACAGCTACAGTATTCCGGAAAACCAGGAAAGAAAAAAATCACATTACTTTTTCTTCAGTAATATTAGGGAAATTATTTCTGCGCGTAGAAAATCTATGAATATACCGTCTAATGAATAGTTCAAAAATGATGACCAGAAGGAAATTTTCTGAAGAAACTTTTTTGAATTCAAGAATCTCTCCAAGTATAGTTGACATAAAATAAAGGCCTTCCTTATAAAAAAGAGGAGAAGTTTCTTACTTTCTGTTCTTATTTATATGGCCATAAATTTACATGTCATAAAAGTTATTAAGCAGTAACAAATAAAATTCTTCTTTCAAAACTTTCCATTCAATCAGCATACAAGGGGTCCAATAAAAAGTTCTTGGAGTAAAAATATATATGACATACGATTGAGGTGAAAAGCAATTACAGCACAGTATTGTTCAAACATTATTTGCTGGCAGCAGCGAGACTTCTGCAAAAACAAAATTCCGCAATATGCGCCAAACAGAGCGGCATTTTTTTTTTCTTTGAGAAAATTATATTTTTTGGAACAATAATTGTTTTTTTAGCTAAATCCATTTGCTGTTTTAATTTTTAATCCGAGAACTTTTGTTAGACCCCTCTTACATTGTAAATCCCGATTTCCCCTCAAAATATAATTGATCTGGCTCTATTAAAAAAAATACCAGAGCATATATCAGATGGACATTTGCGATCCTTACTGAACACTTGCCAAAATGCAAAAGATGAATATAATATATGCCAAAGAACAAGTTCGCGAGGGCATATATAATGTTGCCAGTTGGCGTCATATATCCAGGTTCCATCATGTAGCTGTATTATAGCATTATTGGGGACATTAATTTTTAAAGAATCAATAATCAATAAATCAATCAGAATCAATAAAGAATCAATTTTACAGAAGCGTGTGATTTGGCTCGTATAATATATGGAGTTCATCATGATTAATATACAGTACACGCTTTTATTTGCCATTATTGTCTGTATTCACAAAAGGTTCAAAAATGTTTACTACACCCTACGCCATGCATCCATTTGACACCTTGAGGCCCATAAAAATTAATTTACTGCATACCGTACTTGCATAGATACTGTACAGCATTAAAGAAAATACCTCACAGTATGTATACAAATGCACAAATAATGATATTGATTTATACCTTTTAGCGAAATCAGCAGCCATCGCAAATAAAATGCCCTGCTTTTGCAAACGATCACATTTTCTCATCAAAAATGCCAATAAAAAATGTACAATATAAACTGTGACAGAGATTTCGAGTTGGACCAGACAAACAGGAAATTTGTGGAATGACTCCTGTAATTCAATTTTAAAATCTATTATGTCAAGTAACCATAAGTCGAGCTTTTTGGTTGTTGCAAATGTTTGGGAAGAAACCCATTTCCAAACCCTCAGATAAACCATACTCACATTGCCTGACTTGCTATTGCTCAGACGCAGTTTTTAAGCCCCTGTTATCCTGGCTACAAAATCACTGAAGTGGATTTTCCGCACTCTTTACCAAATAAATTGTTTTTGAAAAATCATGACGATTAACGAAACAAAAAAGATGTGGGAATCACAGTGAGACCCCCACATGCGGACGCCTCAACATGGGGACGATTCGACATGGGAACATTTATTTTTTAACAAAAAAATCGTAAAAAAGACCCAACATGAGGACACTGACTCGACCTGGGGACATTGCAGGATAAAATTCCAAAATAAATTTTAGGAAAATCGATTTTNAACATGAGGACACTGACTCAACCTGGGGACATTGCAGGATAAAATTCCAAAATAAATTTTAGGAAAATCGATTTTCATAAGGCTTAATTGCAAGAAACAGATGTTTCTAACCTAAAATCTATGCAAGAAAAATTCTTCGGTACTTTTCCCATCATTTTCCCATCCATTCAGCTAATTTTAAAAATGCCCTATAGCACAGAGGGACTTCCTTCTAGCTCTCTTTGTGACATGGATGTTATTTTTCCGGATACCAACTTTTCAATTTACTGTAAAGAGGTACACTATTCAATGTTACAAATGTTCTTATTGGTTTGAAAAGATATTTATTGAATCAAAGTCAAGTGGCAAACATTTTTTTTCATGAAATTCTGAAAAATGTTTCTTCCATAAAACAACAATTAAAAATTATACAATGTAAGTCTATGGGAAAACAAGATTCGACTTGGGGACAATCCGACATACGGACACTCTTGATGCACCAATTATGTCCGCATCTGGGGGTCTCACTGTATAACACATTAATTTAGACAGCATGCATGCCCAACAGGTGTTCAGCCGTGTTCAGTCTGTTTCTAGATAATTCAAAATCAAGTATGAACAATTTAGAAATTATTTTTTGAGAAGTTCATGTGGTAATAAACTTGAAATTCGATTCTCGCAGATATAATTATTCTTCGGACGCTAGACGGAGACGCCAACGCGCCAATTCCTCCCTCACAAGAACCATGGAAGGCATTCGGAATCAACTCCGCATCCAAGACCTGCCAATTTTCGCAATCGACGCCCTGCACGACCCCGAGGACGAGACCCAGTCGCGCAAATTCCAGGAAAAATCCGCCGCCCTGTGGGACGTCATCAGAGACTTTTCTCGACAACCCGTTTCCAACGTACAGGCAGTCAAAACCGAGTTGGAAGAACTCAATCGGCGTTACAAAAGACTCCAAAAATCTGTGGAGAAAAAGGACGAGGCTCACGCGCAAGAAATAAAGGCGATTAAAGCCAAACAAAAGGAACTTCGCAGGGCGCAAAAGGACGAGGAGAATAAGTGGGAGTCCCTCCTCGACTCGGTCAAAGAATCGTACGAAAATTCCTGCGCAGAAATGCGACGAATGTCGTCGGATCATCAAGCGGGAATGAAGAAGCTGGAAGAACAAAACGCGGAACTCAAAGCAAAGTACCAGAGGCAAAAGAAGAAGGTGGAAGATTTGCAAGCAGCGCAGAATCAACGACAAGAGCCATTCGGAGGTCTTCTTGGTCCATGCACAGGTCCTCCTCGTCATCGTCCATGGTTCTCATGAGTGTGCAGTTCTTATTGTAAAAGATAAGAAGAGGAAAAGAATAATCGAGTTTTGCTCCCTTTTCTCTTCATGCTTTCGAAAAAAAAAACCGAATTTTGAGTTCCTCATCTCCACAAAAGCCAAACTATAAATAAAAACAGAAATCTGGTTCCCTCCGAAACAGCGAATATGTTTGACGAATGGATTCTTTTCTGCTGACTTTAAAATCCCCAACATTCCACTTACTGTATTTCTATAAATTTTGCCGGATCAGGTGTTCATCATTATGAGGTGTAAAACCCACTGATGACATCTCAGAACCTACCGCATTATTCGTTTTATTCTTTCGATTTTGCGTCTCAAACCTGCCACAAAAAAAAGGATTGAATTCATGGATTTAAAGAGGGTGGCTGAAAATTTCAATTAGTCTACAGCGAGAACTTTTTTTTTCCATCAATGAGTTGTGCATATAGTAAAAAGCTTCTGGACTTTCGTATGAGCAAACTAATGACGTTCCATATCCTAATCTGCACGTGCCAATAAATAGAAAGCAACAACGGGTTTCCCGCTTTTCTTGCATAATACTGTACTGTACATTGCTTATACAAATTTCATTGAGTGAAATTGGACAGATGTCGCTTCTGTTTCACCTTTGCTGATGACGTGTAACCTATTCAAAGAAATATACTGTACTGCATATACAATATATGCAATGAAGGCATTCTAAAAATGGAAAGCGTGTTCTTTATTATTTGAGCTTTTGATTTCCGAAAAATCCGATAATTTTGACGGAAATATGCTAGTACACAGCAGGTGGACCCTAACTAAAATGGAATTGAAGTGACCAGAATAAATTCTTTACAGAGAATTCCAAATATAATATGGGGAGAGAACCCTATACAGTATGTGTATATGCCGGGGAAAATTTTTTCGTTACACAGAGATGATAATCTTTGTAAAGAGAGTCCAACTGCATTATGTAAATGTCCTTACACTGAATTCGCGCATATATAGTAATGCTTTTTACGGTCCCTGCTTTTATAATCGCGATGTTTTTTTCAATCTCGACGAAACGAACTTTTTATTAAAACAATTTTTCAGGCCCCACTCGCTTTGTGGTAAAAAAAAAAATATTATAGTGTGAAGAGTATTTATATACTTTCCTATACATAGGCATCAAATTTTCACTTTATAGCAAATGCAATATTAGTTTTAAAAATATGGGAATTTTACCATCAGCCACCGATAATCTTGCTGGAATACAGTAGTTTATGAAGGTACATTAGAATTTTGATCATCAAGACTTCGTTCACCCTAATCCGAATAATCCAACAAATCATTCTAAATTCTCTTACGATTTTTTGATGCATATCTTATATTTTTAACGCACAAGTTGCAAGCAATAATTTACGCACTAAAATTCACGTATAAATGTCATTCAGTTCTTTGAACCACATTAAAAAACAATAAATATTTATGCAACGATTTCAAAGGGAAACTTTTTGTAGTTGCATGATGAAGGGCGAAATACAGTAGTGTACTCTGTAAGTTCGTTGTCCATCATCATCTCGATGAAATGGATGATGCAAAATTTGACATGAATGTGTGGGATGTATTAGGTTTAAAGATTAATATTTTCGGACAGGGGTAAATTTTGATACACAGTACGGTATTCTTAAAATATCCACGTATTTATTGCCGAATGCAGAATTGACAGTCGATCGGTTAGTTTCCAAGGTTCGAGTTTTTAAAATATAAATGCGTAAAAGACTTTTGAACTCTGATGCATAACAATAAAAATTTTTCACAATCCAGAATCACCAATGCAAGGGAGTCTCATCTTAACAATTAAACGTCCCTGCTAAAAAAAAACTTCATGTTTTTAAGATTTCTGCTCCTATACTCACACCCACCAGCAGGGATCCAGCTTTCAACATTTTTTTGGATGCAAAAACTTGAAATTTTCTTTAAAAAAAAAACATTGGAATTTTTCCAATAAAATTCAAAATCATTTCCACGTACATAACAGACCTTGCGCTGGAACAAATTGTGTTTCTTGAATCGACAAAATGCATAGGTCCTGTCTAAAAGCGAAGAACAAAGTCATTCATACATATACTGTATCGGAAAGGAAAACAATTTTTAGTTTATAAATTTTTCGCCCAGGATCACTATAGCCCTATCGTGCCATAATGAAACCCAGAGGATCCCAATTAATGGAGAAAAATGGGGGGGGGGGGGGCCATTATTCCGATTGTATAACCGAATCGCGTTCAAATCCCATCATCCTCTCCACGCGTGAATGACCTCACCGTAACCTAACCTGATTTGATCCAACTGTACTTATTGCACCAAGGCAGTATATATATACACAGACTGATTCACACTCGATTGTTCAGTCAGATTGCTGGGCGAAGCAATGGTGTGAATTAATAGCTGTCGCGATAGGAATCTGGGTCGTGCTGCGAGTCCATCTGTTGAGCAAAAATCTAGAAAGAGAGAGAGAGAGAGAGAGATAGTCAGAAAAAGAAAAACAGATGATTATATTTTATAACAACAGCGACCCCAACCGCAACTTATTGCCAGCTGCTTATTGCATGCAACTCGACCTCGTCGTCGCTGATGCTTTTCATGTACTGTACAGTACAATAAATACATCGAGACCCCAAGATGCGGACGTAATTGGTGCATCACGAGTGTCCCTAAGTCGAAATGTCCCTAAGTCAAGTCTCATTTTCGCTTAGACTTACATTATATAGATTTTAATTGGTGTTTTATGTACAAAATACCATAATTACATGAAAATAAAAATTGTCTCCCAATTTAAACTGATTCCAATCAATGTATTTCAACACATAATATGGACAATTGGGGAATTGAATTCTGATACCTCTGTAGAGTACACAGACAATTTTGAATTTTCTGGTAAACAAAAAAAAACATTCAAGCGAAAATGAGAGGAGGAAGTCCATCTCTGCTGGAGGTAAATTTTTTTTTAATTAGCTGAATGTATGGTGAATTGGTGAGAGAAATGCCAATAACTTTTCTTACATCAATTTTAGGGTTGGAAATATCTGTTTCTTGTAATTTTGCCTGAAATGTATTTGCAATTTTCATCACAAAATGTCCCAATGTCAAGTCAGTGTCCTCATGTCGGGCCTTTTTTTTTATAAATTTTTCATTTGAAAATAAGTGTCCCTATGTCAAATTGTATGCAGGTCGAGGTGTCCGCATGTGGGGGTCACACTGTACACATACTCAACCATTGTGATGAGCATTATTGCCACTCGGGTCCCGAATAACTCATTGCCATCTCCCCAATCCTTGTCATAAATGAAAATTATAAACAGCACTTGTGCACACGAGGGGTGTCTGATTTCTGTATACGCAGTCTGCTTTTCTTTTTCAATAAGCTTTCAATTAGTTTTTATAAAGCAATAATTGAGCAGTTTTGATCCTCAACCTTCAAATTTTTTTTTATAAATTGCAGCACAATATAGAATCTCTTTACAACAAATTATTGCTTACAACGAATGAATTTTTTTCAAGTTCCTGCACAATAATCACGATTTTATTGGTCCCAATGGTTTTCTTTGAAAAAAAAACCAGATTGTAACGTATTAAGAAGAATTTACCACTTTCTAGGACCTGCAGGAGGTGCATTCTTGTCATTTATAACAAATGTGCTTATATAAGCTTGACAAACCGACAAAAGTGTGTTCCAATTTCTGAATGCTTGCGGGAAAATTTTTCCAAAAATATCCGACTCTGTTGCAAAAGTATAATTATCTCTTCTGTATCCACTCGAATGGCAGTTGAAAATCTCTCCAACACTTACTGAAAGGTATCATGACAAATTGTTCCAAACCTTCTCCAGCTATGGCTTTTGAAATCATCAATCATTTGCAAGTACTCTACTGTACAGTATCATTGATGCTTCAGAAAAATAGCCATTTGAAGTTTCAAGGGGAAGAAGTGCAAAAATTATAGCTTATTGAATTTTGCAAGTACAGCCTTGGGCATATGCTGGGGCTCAGAAATGTTTACACATCAGCTATGGGGAGAACAAAAATAAAAGAGGCATAATATAAACATATATTGACATTTTCCCCAAGCGATATGGCATGCAATAAATCCAACATTCTGTGCTGATCAGGCGTATCTGTTGCCCTCACTTATTCACAGCTTCAAAATAATAATAATAATCATCCACAAGTAATTTTAATGAATAAAAAATGCCTGGTATTTTTTATTCTCGTGTATAATACCAAATCTTATACAGTCCTCGTCATTTTGTTTACCTGAGCTCTAATCCTCAACAAGAAAAGCTTCATTATTATTATTATTTTCCGTACCCTTGCAAAAGCGCGCGGGGGTTCAATCGACGCCGCCCGCATTATGTGTCTCCACATTCCTTTTTTTCTTCTGATAATTGTGCGCGCACTTTTTCATTGAATTGCTCTCCGAGTTTCTCAACTATGGCTTTTCTTCTTCTTTTTCTTTTTTTTTTTTGCAATGCCATCTATGATCTATCCTACTTGTTATTTCGGCCTTCCGCAGCCCCGGGAAACGAGGATTCGCTTCGCAGGAACAGCACTGTGCTGAACCATGCTTAATCGGGTTCTTCAGTTGTCAAAATGCGAAGTGTTGTCCATTAATACAGGTAGTGTGATACACGCGCAAAAAACGGAAAGGAAGAAAAAATAATAAAACTATTTTCAGTCAAACACGATTAAGGTGAAATTATTGTGAAATGGTTCTTCGATCCGAATACAGCAGATCTCCAAGTACAGTATATCAATAATTCAATTAATTTTCAGCTGCTTTTCAAGAAGTTTGCCCGAATTTTGATTCATTCAGGATTTGCCATATATACTCGGCTTCACAATCCTCGCATTTCAACTCGAGCGTCACTCAATTTAGCAATAAATAATTAGGCGGCTGTTGCACTAGTGGCAACATTTATTGGATTTTGCTGAAATTAAGTAACGTAATCGGAAAATACAACTTCGCGATAGTCATTATTTTTCAGACTCACCTGACGAAGTATTGTTTTCAGGTGTTGAGAATATGAGTTTTGTTTCACCAACGTTCGCGAAGAAAACAGTACAAATGCAGCAAATCCAATTTGAAGCATTTTGAAATGGACTCAAGTTTCAATATCCTGTTGTCCACAGACTCGGAAAAATTATCACTCACGAGTAATTTTAATGTGAATGCATTCTGGACATTCTTCTTATCACGAGTGTATACGAATGATGACCTAATAAGTACAATGAACATGATCTGAGGTAAAAAAAAAAAAAAAATCTACTAAGGAACTAAGCTAACTCATTTTTACACGCAGTCTTGATTTTTGCAAATTAAAAAGCGAGTGACGCTCGAAAATTTGGGAATACTTCCCATTACTGGGATGCCAACGTATTTTAGCGTCATCCGAATTTATTTACCGTGGAATCACTGGAATTAATGGTTGACGTGGTGTATAATCTGCAAGGAATCTAGCAGTAGCAATATGTTTACGGTATATTCACTACAAGAGAGAAACGAAAAAATACGGTACAGCATGAATTAAGATAAGAAGAGCTTATATAGAAAATAATCTATTCGGTGTCGCATATTTTAGAGTAAGGGTGCGGGATGTGCGAAAACATTTTGATATGTCGCTGCTTAAGATGATAATAAATTGTATACGAAGTTACTGTCGTTTCATAAAAATTGAAGCTTTTTTTTTTGAAATTGTGGCTGCTGCCAGCATAGCTTTACACGTGAATAAGCCTCCCAATGCTCCTTGATTTTATTCTCGATGTTGAAAACGTAATATTTATTGTTCAACACATGTTAATTGAAAAAATTACTCGGTTGATGGAATTTTCTGATAGTGCATTATTAAAATATTATCAGTAAGTCCAGTAACCAAGGCCAGAATAATTGGGAGAGAAAAGCTTTCGAACGCTGGCACAACACTATGGGCAATCAATAATTGAGTAGACTTTGAAAAAA